GCTATAAAAGCCGGTCGTATTCTTCTCGCGGAAGATATTAACCGCGGAGAGGAACTACTATATAGGGGACGGGGAAATGCTAGCTATTATACACGCGTTTAAGGTATAAAGACACTACCTCGAGTCGCCTGCGAGTAGCACGATAGTCCTTACGGACTATAAGGCGCTATAGAGTTTTATAACTATAAAGATGCTGAATAGGCGTTAAATGCGCTGGGCCGAAGTACTAGCCGTATACGACTTTTAGATCTAGTAGAGGCGAGGAAAGGATAATCTAGCTAATAGGCTATCCCGCTGTCTAGACTATATAGATAAGGAAGAACCCCCGGAAGAGAATCCCCTCTAGGTATTACTTAAATATTATATACTTATCGAAGACGATAAAGACTAAGGATATATATAAGTAAGTAGCGAGGTCTTTATCGGGGTATTAACTCGGGCTATAGTATAGTATAGTCGAGAATTAACTAGGAGTAAGTATAACGTCGTAACTTTACTAACCCTAGAGGCTAAGTTAAATCTATAACTAAGCTTAAGCGGGGAAGAAGCGAGTATACTAGGAGTACGCCGTGACTCGCTCGCGACACGCCTAAAAGAACTTTAATACTAGGACGAATAGTGTCTAGAAGGGGCGTAAAGATCCGCACTAAATAAGTAAGTCTAAAAAGGTATATTCTAAGGAATATAGACCGTGGACTCATAAGGTGTTATCCGTCGCGGCGGAGCCGTATATATCCCGCATAATCCCGCTACAAGACAGGAGATTCTCTAGGTAAATTATAACGACCCTTAGTAGGGGGGATATTTCGGCCGCCGGCGGACTGCTGAGACTATTATACGACATTACTAGTAGCCGTAGATAAGAAAGGAGATATATAAGTATATCGACTTATATAATTTATATTAACGGATAAAGGTACCGAGGCATAAACCCTATAAGTACTTAAAGAGCCTATTTATACCGAAAGGTCCCTAGAAGGATATCTTTATAGACTTTATAATAGGATTACCGCTATTAATATATAGTAAAAGTGTATATAATATAATACTTATCATTATAGATAAATACTTTAAGATAGTTGTCTTAACGCTATATACTAGCACGGTAAACGTAAGCGACTTAAGTAAGATTATCCTTAAAAAGATCGTAGCGAAGTATAGAGTACTAAAGTCTATTATAAGTAACCGAGGATCGGTGTTTACCTTAGCTTACTAGGGAACCCTATACTTATACCTTACGACCCGTAGGCTTTTCTTTACCGCTTTCTACTCGTAAATAAATAAGTAGACTAAAAGAATAAATTAAACCCTTAAGGCTTACTTACATTACTATATAAACTACTAATAGTCTAATTAGGCTATACTGCTCTTATCCGCTAAGTATACGATAAACTCGTAAGCTAATGTAACTACTAGGGAGACACCATTTTTAAAGGTCCTTACCTTTACACCTTCGCTTCGTATAAACCTCGAACGCGACTCGGATACAACACAGCCCGAGAACGCGCTTACAGAAGGCAGGGCGAGAGTACTTATAGAGTTAATGCGAGTTGTATAGAAGGCGCGCGAGACTATAGCAAGACACTATAATAAGAGGAGAGCACCTAAATACCTTAGTATCGAGGATCGTATACTACTCTTAGTATAGAATATTTAGACCCTCTATATAAGTAAGAAGATAGCTAATTAATTTCTAAAGCCTTTTATAGTACTAAAGCGCTTCGGGGCGAACGTATATAAGCTAGACCTACTTAAGAAGTACGGTAAACTACACTATACGTTTTATATATCGCTATTACGGGAGTATCGTATATAAGCTAGGATAGAGCCGCTCGAGCCTATTAGTATTAAGGGAGAGGAAGAATAAGAGGTTAATAAGATTCTTAATAAGCGTACCTAGAGAGGAGAGCGATAATTCTATATAAGATAGAAGGGCTTCGGGGAGACGAATAACTCCTAGAAGCTAGAGGAGAACCTTATAAACGCACGCGAGAAGATTATAAGCTATAAGCGAGATACGGGAAGATAAGGGTGAAAATCCTTTATTCGAAAGCCGGCTTACGACTGCTCGCACCGGACCCGTAGTAAGGGTCGCGGGAGAGTTAGCTGCGGCGAGCGCGGCCTCTACTCCCAGCCCTTCGCTCCTATAAACTCCACTAACGCCGACTTAATGCCCTCTCGCGCTGGACCCTATAAGGGAGTCGTAGCCGAGTACGCTACGGAACTTAATTATCCCACCCGTCGAAATCCCTAGAGGTAAATAAGTCGGGGGTAGACGGCGAGTTAAACGGATCCTCCTTATCTTCCTCCTCCTCCTTATCCTCCTTATCCTCGTTATCCTCCTTATTCTTCTCGTTACTAAATACGGCTAAGATAATTACCTTCTCTATATAATTAAGTCGCTACTTAAGACTATCGAGGCGAGTAGTTATAGTCGCTTATAACTCATTAATAACTCGTACTTAATTATATAGAATCCGCACTTACCGCTAAAGTATCGATAGCCCCTTATAACGCCCGTATAAATTATAAAAAGGCATCTATATTCGGGTAGGCGGGCGCCGCGGGGGCCGAGAGAGAGGTAAGAATAAGGGTAGTCGCAGCCGAGTTAATAGCGAGAAGGCGGCGCGAAGCCGGGGAATTAGGAGGCGGGGCAACTAAGGACCGAGTCGTAGTTAGGTCGGCAGTAACCGCACCCGCCGCACGCGCTTGCTTATTAACTACGCGCGTATACGACATTATGTCGAGGTGCAGCCGCTCCGCTAGCGACTCCACCTCGGCCTTAGTCACCCCGGACCCCGCGCGCGCTAGACGCCGATTCTTATCGAGTAACTCGCGGGCGTCGTCCTCGAGGTGCTCCGGGATTTACTACGATTAGTATACAGCTTAGATATAACTAGGCGCGACCTTACCGAAACGTAAGCCGAAATCATCCGCTTACTTAAGCCGTAGCGGCGATAACGGTAATAACCCGCTAGGGTCTCGCACGAGACGAGCTCCCTAGCGCCCCTACTCATCGCGCGCAGCGTGCGGATGCAGCGCTAGTAGGGTAGGGGGTCGCCGCCGCGCTTAGCTCGCTTACGGCTTAGGCGTGAGGGGGAGGGGGCGTTATTTAGTAGGTCTATATATATATTAAATACGAGTCCTATATAAGCCGTATATATATATATACTCCTTTTTTAACTACCTAGTAGCTTATAAGGCGGATCGCCGAAGGGAGGTATTATAATAGCAGTATTGACTATAACTATTATATAATCAGTATACGAGTTAAGTGTAACTAATATCTTAACTTACTACTAAGGTTTTTAAAGTCTACTATATATATATAAGTTAGTACCAGCACTTAAAATTAAACTATAATACAGCGTAAACTTATAGGTAAAGGCAGTAGCAGGACAGAAGGCGATCTGCAAGAGTATCAGCGTATTGCGAGATACAGGGTATGCCGCAAAAGATGCAGAGTACGTACGTTGTTATTGTTGTTGCTGTTGCGAAGAGAGAGAAGAGAGGAGAGAAGAAGAAGACGAAGGTAAAGAAGTTTTAGCCGTAGGCGTGTAACTATTTATAGGGTGCGGCAGCGAGCTCACCGCCGCAGGCAACGATATAAATAGTAAGGCTGCGTATTCACGGTAAGGCTATATATTTACGGTAAGGCCCTAATAGTTATATAGCGAAGTAGCACTATAACGGAAGTGCTATATATTAACATCTGCCATATGCGCACAGGCACACCTATGCTCACGGAAAGACTTATCGAGCACGTGTCGCATGCGACTAGCCTGCTTCTCGAGGACGAGAAGCCTAGGGAGGGGGATAATGTCAGGAATGGCGACCAGAGCTTACTAAGCCTGCTAAGAGGACGCCTTCATCTCTCATGCAGCTCGCATGAGAGTCTCACCCTCCTTTCATGCTTTGAGTCCTGTTTAACCTAGAGGTCTAGGGACACCTAATATCATTGAATCCCACCACTATTACTCTCTACCTATCGCTATAGGCTGTTCCTAACACGATATGAATATCTCTTATTAGTTATATTAATAACTCTTTAGTTAGTATAGACCCCTATAGCTAGTCCGGATTTATTAAAGTTCTATATATTAGCTAGTTTAATCTAATAACGGGTAATAATAACGCGGAAAAGGGTAAAGAAGGTCTAAAGGGTATCTAGACTAGTATTTTTAACGCGCAGGTACTTAATCTTCCTTCCTACCTTTAATTTTATCTCTAGATAATGATTGAGAAAGCGTATTACCCAGTTTATACCGACTAAAGTTAGGCTATCCGAAGTCTTTAAGATAAGGCTAGTAAACTCGCGTACTTAAGAGAAGGTTAGGGGGGCGCCAGTGTAGTTAAGATCGATAATCCATCGAATAAGAAGATCCTCTTATGTAGAGGACAGTAGCTGTTGGTCTTCTCTTACTGATTATCGAGTTTAGCCTCCTTTCAGTCGACGACTTATAGTACTCAAGTCAACGCGGTATACTGTCGCTGCAGATCGAATCGAGGGGTAATCGCCGCGCTAGAAGGCCCGGATTGCCTCCTGGAGGGTTTCTTCGGTATAGGAGGGCATGCTGACCAAGTATGAACAAGATAAGAGAGGTTTGTAGTGTGCTGGTGTGATATGAAAGAGAGAGGGTTGTTAAGAACGCGATTTGACGCGTAAATGCGGGGCTGTTGCAGTACGCGGTTGTTGCATTACACGGTGGTCTGACTTAGGTCATTTCCAGTACCTCATACGGAGTACTCGTACCAAGCCCGGAATATCTCAAGATCCGGGCCCGGGACGGTGCCGGGCCTTGAGCCTCTGCCACAGTCAGGCGCTTACCTCAGGCTGCGTGGCTGCGCCAGAATCTCATCCCGGGTTTGCGCGCCACTTTTAGCTCAGAATCTGGAGAAAGCCTGTCGCATGCAGCCTCGTCTATGCGCATGGTCTCGAAACAGACACGGCAGTAGGACTCAGACATCGATGAAAAGACAGCGCGCCTTCCACGTTCATAATGTCTCTTGGTAAGCCCGTCACTGTGTATTTGACATCAGTTGAAGCTCATTCGGAGAGAATACTAACTCAGCATCTCTCATTAGACGAGCGCGCTCTCGAGCAAGTCGCCAACAATGGCGAGATGGACTAGTATGCCCATTGCTCGTCTCCTGCATGACAAGGCAACTAACCCTGCTACAGTGAGAAGTGGCCATCCATCCTCGAACCGCTCCTCCAGCAATTGAACCAGGTTGTATATACCGAGTTCCCTATGCCACGACCATATCCCGTTGTCAACCGACCTGCACCATCTTCCCCCAGCCAAACACAGCCTCCACCTCTGCGAGACCCTAATCCAGTATCGCAAACACCATCGACACCTGCTCGCAACCTCCCGCCAGTGCCACCGTTCCCAAACTCATCCGCTACCACGACCAGCCATGTCCCAGACTCTCTGCCACCCTCACAAGATCCTCCCATTGACACCGCAAACGAGCTTCCACCCCTACTACTCCAGATCCTTAAGAGCGTGACGCATAATCTACGCTCCTCTTTCTCCAAAAGACCGCCTCACACGATCCAACGTCTCGCTGAACTCATATTATACCCTACAACGCACTACAAAACACTTCCCGCGTGGTTGCGTGCAATAGATAGAGTCGTCAGCGTGAGCAGCCCTGCGGACATCTTTCCCCTCTCCGAGGCCCCGGCTCTCGTGAACGGGGTAAACGGCGACGGCGGCGGAGGAATCCTCTGGAACAATAGCGACACAAGGAACGGCTACGATAGTGCCTCTCTAGGTAGTGACGAGAGTCTGGGCGGAGCTCTCCTCACACCTATACCATGGCTACGGAACGGGGTCACCGGTAGCGAAGACTCAAATGAAGAGTCCGGGAATTTGGACTCAAACACCAGCGCGAGCACCGAGGGCTTGGAAGACTCGCTGGGAATGCCAGTCACGCGAATGAATGGAGATACCCTCGTTCCTGAACGGCCGGACGGAGCTGTGACGCAAGGGGAGCTGATTCGGCTAGAGCAAGAGGCAGGCGTCGTGCCTGTGACGCGGAATCCTCCCGATTCCCACGTGAGCGGCACACTGGAGGAGAATTCGCTGCTCGAGGACGCGGACATGGTACCGCATGCGCGGGGACCTGATCTGGTGGGCTCAGTTGACATGGGTCGCGTCGACGGCCAAGACGTCGAACTTCGCATTGGCAGTCCGCCGGGCGAAGATGGTAAGCGGGAGACCGATGCAAATGATGCACAGACTGTCCTACCTGGAAATGTCTCATCCGCCGAACCAGTGGGAGACCCGAAGGCGTCCTCCAGCGGAGCAGCATCAACGGCCGATTCAGAGGACTTTGAAATCGTGCTCGAAGACGCAGTTGGGAATGGTGACTTGGAAGCAATGCAATTAGACGACACGGGTACGGAAGCGCAAGAAACTGAACGCTCACAGCCACCAGATGATCAGGTTGTGGATGTAGTCCTCGTTGACGCAGACGGGAAGACCGAAGACGAAAGCCCGGGTAGGAACAAAGAGCCCTGATACTGTCAAAGTGAGTGCCGTTCACTGGGGCACGACATCCACAGAGCCTGAGACAGGACCCGACATCAAACAAACTCCGAAATGGTGTATTGTTGCTACTCAAGCAGAGGTCGAAAAATTCGGGTCTTATCTAACTCTTGCAACAAAAGCAAAGCATGCTCAATGCTCCTCCTCACCCATCGTTTCAAGCCGAACATATGCGCCTCGCGCAGCAGCCGCTTGTCCCCATCACCTCATACCCGCCATCCTTCGAGTATACTCCGCATCCCCTCCAAGACCATGGCACAACCTTGCATGCTCAATGACTTCCTGACTCCGAGGTAGTGTCGACGTGTTACTGCTGCTGTGATGGCCAGGAACACAGAGGTGGTAAGAGGGACATGATCAGGCAGTTTAGCGAGACTTCCAGGCCGTGGATGACTCCCATTCTGGCCTTGACTGTGCCGAACAGGAAGTTGGCCCAATGACACCCAAGTGGTCAATTCTAGCAAGTCTCGACATCCGCGCTCGTGGGCAAAATGAGGTCTATATTCGTATCAAGGGTCGCTCTGGTAGGAAACAGTATATCTCCAGACTGTGAACGTCGCGTGGACGTCGCGAATGCGATGCTGATGATAACGATGACATGGTTGCTCGCGGAAATGTCATTTAATTAGCCTCGAAAGCGTAAATAGCGGATACGCCAATCCTCGAAGATCTCCCAGGTCCCGTTTGCAAGTCGAAGGTTTGACAACATGCCAAAGACTAGGAAACCGGGGAGAAGATCCTTAGGGCGCGGCTTCCTGAACGTCAGCAAGACAATCGAGGGAGCGGGATAATCAAGTAATCCGCAGCTTTCCACCTCGATGCGGAGGACTCGAGGGGGGCGATCGAATTCCATGAGAACAGCCTTGTGCAGTCCGATATCGACATGTTTACTAAGTCGACGATGCGAAAATCGAGATCGGAGCAAGGACGTGGTGATAGCGGAACTCGAGCCACAACTGGAACCATCGAGGTTTATATCGTCGGGTTCGGGAAGTCAACTCCTTGGCCGTGTCGGGAAGCCAGCGATCTGCTCGAAGGAGTCTTGGGAGCCGCCTTCGGGTGGCCCAGTCAAGTTTCTTTACACAGCTGAAAACTTATCTCATGTCGAGCCCGCAGAGCTAGACTGCTTAATGGTCGGACGCCCATGAGGATTGGGACTCGAAGCCTTCACTATTGTTTCATCTGTAGTCCCGTTTGCTGCTGCGTTGGCGTCTGCGCCACTGTCGTCTACCCCATCCACAGCTGCCAGACTGCTCCTCTTCTTCTTCTCCCTCTTGGCCCAGCGTAATCCACAGGCATTGCACAAGGTCTTTGGCCCATTAGGCCCTTTCCGCCACTCGGGACTATCGAGCGTGCCGCAATCGGTACAGACATATTCGTCCGCGGATTTGACCTTTTTGTGTTTCTTGTCCATGTAAGAATACCGCGAGTCGGCTTTGTCGATGGGAATGTGGATTCCTGCATCTCCGCGGATGAGAGCTGGTGACGTGCCACCGGTCGAGATACCGTGTGAGCGCTCGCCTTCACGGTAGCGCAGACCCGTCAACATCTCGATAGAGTCAACGTGCGAGGAGCCCTCGTAGCGGGCCATTTTGTCGCGGATGCTATCTGGGCGTGCGGAGGCGTTGGCTTCATCTAGAGCTTCCCGGGTCAAGGCGATGTTTGAGACGGTTGGCTTGGCGGGCGGTGGCATGCTTGCATACTCCGGGTAGGCGGGTGTCGAGTTCAGGGACGGTGAGCGTGGTGGTAGGTCCGCTGAATTTGAGGACGTGCGGGATTGAACACCAGATGCTTGTTTATGGTAATGTTCTTGCAGTCCATCCGCGTCTTCGGCCTCCTCACGCTTAAGCGCGGCAATCCTAGCTTGTAGCCGGACGTTCTCGATCTTGTGCTCCAGGAAGGAGTCGAGCAACTCTGAGTTTCGTGTCGGATAGGGCCTTGCCATCATGAAGAAGCCCCGGCAGTAGCCTGCGCGTCCGACTGGAGGGCCGGTCTGCTCAAGCAGGGTAGCCTCATTGGTGAGATGTGGATGGCCATGGCATTCGAAGATGCAGTACTTGTCCTCGGCGGTGCGGAAGCGATGAAAGAAACGCAGAGTATTCCCCGTGGCGATGCTCTCGTTGAACTCGCGAATGAATAAAGAAGAGTCGTCGGGGTGGACAAATTCTGATATCGATTTCCCTATGAGGTCTTGGGGGCTGTATCCTGTGAGCGGTCTGGCCGAGGGCGAGACGTAGAGGATCCGACCGTCGGTAGTCAAAATGTACATCAAGTCTTTGAGCTCTTCGACCACACGCTGGGACCAGTTTCGTCTCTTGGTGAATTCGGTCAGCGTGCTCGTGCTAGTCGGATAGTGTGTATTCTGAAGGGCAAAGTCAGTCGGTAAGGGTCCAGCACCGACGCCATTCGCGGGCGTGTTACTTTCAGGGGTCTCAGATTTGCTGGGAGGATCTGCTATCAAGCTCGGCTGGCCGGAATCCATCTGATCGAAACCTGGAGGCGGCATCGAGGTCAGATCGAGAGACATGGCAGGATCGTAGACGCTCAAGTCGGGGTTCGTGACCAGCGACGCATCCAGCAGGCCTGGTTGGAGGCTGAATGTGGGATCCAACATGGGACTGGGGTCGGTCTGGAACGTGCCCATTATGCAAGGTCAAGCCGACAGGAATAGCTGTGGGTCCCAGGATCGAATTGTCGGCTGCGTGCAGCCTTTTCGTGACCTGCCCAGTTCGATAGCCAACAGTTCGTCGGTGCCTGCGCCAAGGGGACCTTGCTGGAGGGCAGACACCGTGCTCGAACCAACGAAAAGAGCCTAAGCAGGCTTGGTTGGGAGCGAAACTTGCAATAGAGGGCCGAAAACACACGGCGGACAAGCGTAGCACAACGGAAAAGGCAGCCGGAAGACCGTGCGAAGCGAATACTCGTAATCTGATACGACGGCGATGACTCGATCGAAAGTCTGATAGTTGCGATGGACGACGGGATCAAGATCTCGCGATGACAACTGATCTCTCGATTGACACGTGATTGAAGCCTTACGGTGAGGCTATTGCGCACAGCCGCTGAATATACGGTGGAACAATAGCTGTCGAGTAACAGACGCGCCGGCGCGCTAAATTCAAATGACGCAGGCAGCCACGCCTCACGTGCCGACTTTACTCCACGCGTTCCTTCATCTTGATATGAGGTGACGACCAAACCACAGATGGTCACAGTATACTGACTGCTTTGTATTTGACTTGGACAAGGAAGTTGACATTCGGACCGGCACGCACTGCCACTGCACTGCATAGTCTTTGATAATCTCTTCCACGTCTCCTTAAGCTCCCCTTCCCGATGACCGCTTCTGGCGTCTCCATCAAAAGCTGAGCAGCTGCTTTCCTCTTCGGCCAAGATGTCACGACTGCATCAACTGAAGGTACAAGGTATCCGCTCCTTTGACAACAATGGCGCCGGGCAGTACATCAGATTTGAGACTCCATTGACTCTCATCGTCGGTCAGAATGGCTCCGGCAAAACGACCATCATCGAATGCCTCAAATATGCCTTTACTGGAATGCAACCTCCAAATACCAAAGGCGGCGCCTTTGTGCATGACCCTAAGCTGAACAGCGAAACTGCGGTCAAGGCGGCGGTAGCAGCCTCCTTCAAGTCGGCCGATGGCTCTGTTATAACTGTCACTCGACGATTGGAGCTGAAAGTGGGAAAATCCAGGCGTGAATTTCAAACCTTGGAAGCGACGCTCTCTGTGAGTAGGCGGGGTGAAAAGACTTCCATGTCTTCCCGGGTGGCCAACCTGGACGTCATCCTTCCGCAGTACCTCGGTGTGTCCACTGCGGTTATTGACAACGTCATCTTCTGCCATCAAGACGAAAGCTTCTGGCCCCTCAGTGAGCCAGGCACTCTGAAGAAGAAGTTCGATGAGATCTTCGAGGCACAGAAATACACAAAGGCTATTGCCAATATAAAAGATATCCAGAAGAAGCAAAAGATTGAACTGGACAAGTACAAGCTCCTGGAGGCCCGGGCCAAGAGCGACAAAGACAGAGCAATCGAAACCAAAAAGCAAAAGGACAAGCTCGCAGGAGACATTGATGGCCTGCGAAAAGAGAGTGAGGATTTGGAGAGACGCATTTCGCATGCTCGAAAGATGGCGGACGAGACATGGAGGAAGGGGGAGGACTACGCAAAGATTCTCGGGGCGCTTGAAGGGAAACGCATCGAGGCTCGAGGCAAACAGTCTACCATTAACGACCTTGAGAGGCATCTGGAAGAGGTCGGTGAGACTGATGAGTGGCTAGAAACCACTCTAGAACAGTTCGATGCTCGACAGGAAGAACTACAGGACGAGGTGCGTAAGAAGAAGGGGGATTACCTTGAGCGAGAAGATCAGTTGAAAGCCCTCAGCAAACAACGGGAGGGGAAAGTGAGACTAAAGGGCAAATATGAAGAAGAACAGGACGCACACGAGAGACAACTCGCACGACGGAAAGAAATGGTCAGAGAAGTCGCTGCGAAACATCAAATCCGTGAGTACGAGTATCTTGACGATGAAAGTCAAGTGGACGATTTCTTGCTCAAGATCAGAAAGATCTCGAGGCAGCAGAAGGATACCCTTGATCGCGAGAAACATAAACATACCGCACAGCGACGAGAGGCTCAATCGCACGTGAATAAGTTGATTGAGCGCAAGTCTGCACTCCGGGACCAGAGAGCTAGCGCAAGGAAGCAGATGGACTCGAACGACCAAGAAGCTGGAGAGTTCCAGCGCAAAGTCGACCAGATTGCTTTCGACGAGGGGAGCAAAGCTGTGGCCGAGTCAAGGTTCGAGGACCTCGCTAAGGAGCTCCAGAGGGCTCGTGAGGCTGCAGAAGCGGCTGCCTGGGACGACAAGCTTCAGAAGGCACACGCAGAGCTCCGACAATCTGAGGAAGTCAGCTCGAGGTTGAGCGCCGAGTTGGTCCAGTCGACAAAGAAGGCAGCGGAATTGGCAAGATTGTCACATCTCAAGCAAGAGTTGAAAGAGCGACAGAAGCGCCTGGAAACTCTGATGGCTGCTCACCGGGATAACATTTCCACCCTTCTTGGTAGTGATCAACAATGGGATGCTCACACAGTCGAAGAGGTCCATCGGGAGGTTCTGAGAGGTGCGGCAAATGAGGCTCAAGTTGCGGAGCGCAAGAGAGACGGGATAAGCCGGGATCTGGAACAGCTGCAGTTCAAGCAGAATACTGTCCGTAAAGATCTCTCCCGCAAGAAGGCTGAAGCGAGCAAGTGTGATAGCCAAATCCGCGCTGTGGTCGAACAAGGTCCCGAAGCATACGACGAGGCACTCGAACAGGCCCAGAAAAGTGTGGATGAAGCCAGAATCGACAGTTCTGGATACAGTGGACTTCACGACTATTTCCAGAGTGTCTTGGTGGCAGCAGGTCATGAGCACAAGCCAGCTTGCAGGACGTGCATGCGGGCTTTTGCGCCTAACAGCGAAGCCTTGGCCAAATTTCAACAACGCATCCGAAACTACATCTCGGATACGGAACAGAAGGCCATGCAGTTCGATCCCTCTGCAGCCGAAGCCGAGTACAAGCGGGTGCTTGATCTGGCGGTAGTCCGTGACACCTGGAGGAAGCTTGTTGAATCTGAAATCCCGGCAGCCGAGAAAGAACTGCAGGACCTCGATTCAGAGCGACAGTCTTTGCTCTCGAAGCTGGAGTATCATGACAAGGCAGTCCTACAGAGCCAGCGAGTCAAGCGAGATCTTGAGTCAATAAGCCAGACGGTCGCTTCCATCGGTCAATGCAATGGGGAACTCGGCAATCTAGATCGCCAGGTCGAGGAGCTTACTGCCAAAAAGAGCCAGCCAATGGCCGGGCGAACCTTGGAAGAGATCCAAGAAGAACTCAATACCACTGCTCAAAATATTCGAGGCACGCAAAACGTCATCGATTGGTTGAGAAACGAGCAAGAACAATCTCGAACAAACATCTCCAGCATGGAGCTCGAATTACGCGATCTCAAGAGCAAGCTGGACAACATTGGGTTCCAACTCGAGAAGAAGGCTTCTCTGGCTGCCCGGGTGAAAGAATTCCGTGCTATGAACGAAAAGCAGAAAGATATCATGGAAGCTCTCACCAAGGAGATAGAGGAATTAGACCCTCAGATCTCGACGGCTCAGGCCAAGTACGACGACATTGACCGGCGTGCCGCCACCCAGGAACGAGAATTATCAGAAGAGCTGTCCCGACTAAGCGACAGCATCAACAACCTTGACATTCTCAACGACCAGATCCAATCCTACCTTGATCGTGACTGTCCGAATCAGCTGGCACGGGTCGATCGAGAACTGAAGGATCTGGAGGGTGAGTTTGATAGTCTTCAGACCGAGCAGAAACGACTCACAAGCGAGATCAACAAGATTAACGACCGAATCAAGGACGGAGAGACTACCCGCAGACGCTACTCTGACAATCTTCGGCATCGGCAAGAGACGCGAGCTCTTGCTCGTCTTCAGGCGGAGATTGAAGAGCTCGAGAGTCACAACGCCGAGGTCGATCGTGATCGATTCCAACAGGAGTCGCAGAAATATAGCATGGAGTACAACAAACTCACTGCGCAGCAGGCAGGGGTGATGGGCTCGATGAAGACAATGGACGTCCAGCTCAAGGGAATCTTAGTCGAGTATAATCAAAACCAGAGAGACGCACCGCAGCGGTACAAAGAAGCACACATCAAGGTCGAGACAACCAAGGCGGCCGTGGAGGACCTGGGACGGTATGGAGGAGCCTTGGACAAGGCGATCATGAAATACCATGGCCTCAAGATGGACGAGATCAATGCCATCATCGAGGAGCTCTGGCGCAAGACGTATCGGGGGACGGATGTCGACACGATCATGATCAAAGCGGAGAACGAGCAGGCGCGAAGCAATCGGTCTTACAACTACCGTGTCGTCATGGTCAAGCGGGGGGCGGAAATGGACATGCGAGGTCGCTGCAGCGCCGGCCAGAAGGTCCTGGCCAGCATCATTATTCGATTGGCATTGGCGGAGTGTTTCAGCTCCAGTTGTGGATTGATTGCGCTGGACGAGCCGACCACCAACCTTGATCGCGAGAACATCGAAAGTTTGGCGCAGTCGCTGAAGGAGATCATTGAATACCGACAACAACAGAAGAACTTCCAGCTGATTGTGATCACCCATGACGAAGACTTCTTGCGGCAGATGGAATGTTCCAAATTCACAGGCAATTATTATCGGGTGTCGAGAGATGCGGCGCAGAACTCGGTCATTGAGCGACAGAGCATCGCAGAAGTCTTGTAAGCGTTATTCAATATTTAGGCACCCACGTACACCGTACGTGCGGATTGCTCCTCATGCCTTCGAGGTATGACAACTTTCGAGAAGACTTCGTTCGCCGCCTCAGAGAATCCATTAGTATCTGGTACCTGAAACAGCTGGCGTGGCTGTGCTGTGCCTATTGTACAACGAATACCGAGTGCTCCAAGCCTTGTGCATAGCTGAGTTGTTGGGTTCAAATGAGAGCATGACACGTTGCGAGAGACCAACAGCAAGTTGTCAGCTATTCAGGCGTGCCAGCACGTGGATTTAGAGTGTCGGGCTGGAAGCCACAGTGGCGGCCGGGGCGTGACATTGGCTGGGCGACGGCGCCAGGGCTGGCTCTGCAAGGGACCATCGCCCAGGCACCAGGGGACCGAGTGGAGGTTCACCACACTGTGTGGGTAAGCGAGATATTCATTGCTCCGAGCAACAGCAGCTGAAGCATCTGCCACTGTCAACTAGAGCCTCGATGTACGCAGTGGAGCTGTACTCGAATTCTTCGCCTGGATCCGTCTGTCCGACCTCGGCTTGAGTTGTTTAAGCAAAAGAATGCAAATGCTTCGAAGCGTGTCGTACGAGTGGCAGCAGTGTTAGGGTCACCCGACACGGAACCGCGGGTTCGCGGGTTCTCTACACGTAGGATGAATTGAATTTCGCGGTGATGGTTGGCTGTGACCGGGCAGCGATGACGCACCTGAGGAACATGTGAACAACAAGTGAACAGATACAGCTCACATTGGGCATCCCCTCCGCCTTTGCTTCCCAGTTCGTGCTGATCTTCAGCGTCGATTACTTCAAATGATAGCTAACCTTCCTGGCTCCGCCCACTTGCGAGTCTGCTCGCTGTCCTCTTCGTCGTTGCTGCAGCAGTCTCTGAGCGGTCAATGGTCACGGGTCTCGGATGAACCTTCGTCGGCCTCGTCTCCTCCCTTCCTCCCTTCAGTCCTTCTCCACAAACATTTCCCACAGGTTGCATCACGTACCAGTCGTCCAATCGTAGTATGTGTTGGAGCACCGAGCTTGAAATGAGTGGCCCTTCGTGTCCATCACCAGCTCCCAGCTGGCCCACACATGCTCCTCCACCACCTGCCCGCAGCTTGAATAGACGACCACCCAATCCAGCCGGTGAACCTGCGAGCTCCAGCATTCTATCCACAGCTTCGCAACACAGACCAAGCTGACAAGCTCCCTTTAGTCACGTCAAAGAAAGTTACCCATCGAATGCGCATCCCTTCGATCGGCGGCATGGCCACCGTCATGCTCGGTGCTCGTACCCATAAAAACTACATTCATCGCAATGATCCCGAAGGACGACATGGCCAGCTTCTCCTAGCCGGGGTTTTCTCTATACCACATGACACCACAGCGTGACATCCCTAAGCAGCTTTCCCCTCACCTTCCCTAAGGTACTGCTGCTCTGAACCAACCAAGTCAACAGCAACCTCGTCATTGAACGTTTGCTCTACTTGCATATCCTCCGGGTCCAGGGAGGAAAGGTTACACGCGGGAAGCCGCTGTTTGACCTCCAGATTTGGTCCCTTTGTCCCGGCTAGAGAAGCTTCAGTTATTTATACCGGAGCCCGTGAGCTCCTGTTCATCCTGTCGTCTTCACCCACTTCGTATAGCATCATGCTGGCTGTCAAGGCTTTCCTCGTCGCTCTCTCAGCTACCGCTGTAAGCAGGTAAGCGACCAGTCTCCAACGCATGGGCTTCGGGTACTGACATCTGCGATCAGTGTTCCGTTGGCAAGGCGTCAGTTCCCGTATGGATCGACGCCGGTAAGAGGCGCCAACATCGGGGGCTGGCTCGTGTTAGAACCATGGATAACGCCGTCCATCTTCCATCAATTCGGCGGTTCAGTGATCGACGAGTACACCTTGACCCAACGGATACCCAATGCGGGAGACATCCTTCGCAACCACTGGGACAGCTGGGTGTCCCTGGCCGACTTCCAGAAGATCGCCGACCACGGCTTCAACTCGGTCCGGATCCCTATAGGCTACTGGGCCTTTGAGAAGTATAGAGGCGATCCATACATCCAAGGCGCGGCAGATTATCTCGACAAGGCCATTGATTGGGCTCGTCAGACGGGACTCAAGGTCTGGATTGACCTGCACGGTGAGTCAAATTGTCGCCAAGTGCGCACCGATCGAGGGCTGACTTTCGTTCTTGGACAGGCGCACCGCTTTCACAGAATGGACAGGACAACTCGGGCCAATTGACCTCATCGCCAGGCTGGACGTCTGGTAATTCCGTCCAAGCTACGCTCGACGTCATAGGCCAGCTAGCCGACAAGTACGGCAGCTCGGACTACGCAGACGTGATCTCCGGTATCGAGCTGCTGAATGAACCCAGGATGAGTGCTCTACCTGGTGGGCGAGGCGCAACTCAGGGGTACTACCAAGCAGGCTTCGAGACTGTCCGCAGCAAAGGTCAGACGCCAGTCATCATCCAGGACGGCTTCACCGATCCGTCGTCATGGAACGGCTTCCTCACTGGCCAGGGAACTTCCGGCGCCATCGTCGACCACCACGAGTACCAAGTGTTCACTAACGAAAATGTGGCACTGACTCCGGAAGAACATGTCAACTACGTCTACACCAGCGCCGACTCTTGGGCCCAAGGACAAGACAAATTCGTCATTTGCGGCGAATGGACCGCGGCCATGACCGACTGCGCGCCAGCCCTCAATGGCTATGGCGTCGGCGCGCGGTATGACGGCACCTATTCGACCCGCAACGCGGACGGCAGCTACTCCGGCTCCGCGTTCGTCGGGTCGTGCGACACCATCAACTTCATTGACCAGTGGAGCGAGTACAACAAGACAACGACAAGAAACTACATTGCCGCACAGCTGGATGTCTTTGAGAACCAGATCCAGGGGTGGTTCTTCTGGAACTTCAAGACCGAGGCCACGGCCGAGTGGGATCTTTTCAGGCTCATCGACGCCGGTGTCTGGCCTAGCATGGGCTGACTTCAATTCAGTCAATGGCTCGTCCGATGACGGGAGGAGTTCGTCAGAATCCGGCTTTCTTCCTGTCGCCACAGGCTCACTAACAATGGTGGAACTCCCGCCCATCACGACAGCTGATTTTTCAATTCAAGACTCTCGTTCCCCTGCATGGCACCCTTCACCTGCATACTGTCGGGTCGTCACGTTGCGCTTCCTTCGATTTCGATACCCCCGGGCGCAAAGGCATGCAGGCGTAATGGATGGACGAAGGAGCGTGTTGAGCATTTCAATGAATGGATCCTTCATGTGTAGTAATCAGTATATTCGCAGACTGGATGAAAAAGAATGGGCAAGGCTGACATGCATGCAATGATGCATGCAAGAGTGGAAGCTCAAGTGGCGGCTGAATCCGTCCCCACCACATCATAGCACGAATGGCATAATTAGCGTTCATATATCATAGCTTAGGCGCGGTAAGAGGTACCGGGTAATGATAATGGCGGGTCTCGAAGATAGAGATCCGTCAGTCTAGCATTCAAGGCTTCTCATCATATCGTTTTATGCCATCCACGCGTGCGACTTGACTTTTGATTCCATCAAGAAGGCACTCCTACGTTATACAGCCGCACCGTGCCTTGCGTAGCGTAGCGTAGCCTAACCCACCAACGGAGACACACGAACCACCGCCAACATCGCTCTAGAACTGGGAGAGCCAAAAAACCCATGCCATCCCCATCGATCGTCATACATGGACATGGCCATGTACGTCTTAGGCGATCGTGATCATAATCGTAATCTCACCTCCGCCCTCACTCAATGGCGAAACCCTCGGCACTCGCCTTGACGACCTTCTCAAAGTCAACTCCTTCCTCCATGCTCCCCTCGAGCATTCTGACCTCCCTCACGTCCACGTCCACGAACGTGCCGCTCATCTCGAAGCCAACAGTCATGGGGAAGAACTCGCCGTCATCCTCGGCCTGGGCTTCGAACTCGAAGCTACCGCTCGGATTGTCCGCGTCAATCACCCCGATGTTCCATTCCAGACTGTCGCCCGTGACTTGGTAGATGGCGTCGAAGGACGAGACCGAAGGTTCCGAGGAGACGTAGGGGATCGTGATGGACACGTCTCGCAAGGTCGTGCCCGTAGGGTTTGTCAACTCGTATTCGATGGTGATGGTGTACATGCCGTCGGAGCCCTTGTTTACCCATGCCGTAAATGTCACGGGGAGAATGTCGGTAGGATGGTCTGCGGGTGCTGTGACCCGCCAGCGGAGGACACCAATGCTGTTATTGGCCGGGAATCTCTTGGACGTGTCCTTTAGCTGGATGAGCTTCTGGGACGTGAACAGGGCTTTGTCTACGTTTGGATGAGTCCGGAATTGTGCTTTCAAGGGACCCTCGACTGCTTGCACTGACAGAGCAAGCTTGGTGAGGGAGGGGTCGGTGATCCGAAGCTGCAGATCGCCCTTGACTTCCATGGACTTCAGGGCGCCTTCGCGGGTGAGCTTCGCTGATAAGGTCTCGGTGATGGATATTAAGATCGGAGTTGCGGCTGAGGACGAGAAGGTCGTGTCGTGCGTGCTTGCTGCGGGGGCAGTGCGGACGGGCAGCGTGGTCTCTGCCGCAGCAGGCGGCTCCTCAGCGCCAATCTCCTGCTGCACCTGCGCGAAGGCGTTCGACGTCTTGGATTTCTTGCCCAGCTGCATGCCCTTGGTGGAGCGGGACGTGAATTTGTTGGCGAGCTTGTTCTTTTCGGCCTCGTACGTGTCGTACGACGACGTTTGCGGCTGTACTGGAGGTGTGTATGTAGGTTGGCTGGGCATGCGCGGAGCGACGCCCCGTCCGTATGCAGCAGAGCGGGCGGCTTCTTTGCGCTGCACCTCGAGCTGTTTGGCTTTACGCTTGCGCTCCTCGGAGGCTTCTAACTCTTTGTTCCGTGCGATGATCTCTTGGATTCTCTCCTCGTGGGACTCCCCTTCTAGGAATGTCTTAATTTGGCTGAGAGTCAAGTTCTCCCTGTAGCCCATGGTGACGAGCTCGTCAAAGGCGGAGAGTAAGTCGAAGGCATTGCGAAGGATTTCCCGTTCGTCGGTCTTCTTGCAGATGGAGGTGACCACCTGGCCGAAGAGATGGAGACTGTCGATATCCTGCAGGATGTTGGATTGCTTGTTTGTGATCAGGACGAGGTAGAGTTCATCCAGCGGTTGGTAGACGAAGCGGACGTTTTCTTGTTCGACCGTCGTGTGTTGGGTGGACGAGTCGGCGAGTTTTGGAAACGAGGCGAGCAGGGCTTCTATGCGGGTTTTGGGGATTTCTCTGAACGAGCGAGATAGTAACGCCTTGCCACCCCTTGTGATTATCGACGCCGCGAGGACGACCATGGTGGCGGTGTTGGGGTTCTGTGAACTGAGGGCAACGAACAGTGAGGGAGGACTGAGGCCAGGTGTGTACTCCGTATGTGGTAAGCCGGGCGCCAAGGTTGTGCATAGCCTTGTGGGCGAGGCTGACGTGCTCGGCAGTGCTTCCTTCCTGGGTCTACGGTGTCGTAGGTGTTGGTGCTGATAGCGCAGAACCTCACGTGCGTTCTCTGATTGAGCGGCGGCACATCTTCTTGCGCTTGTCAGGAAGTTGCTAACCTGTGTGCGCTATGTTCCAGGAGTAAGAGAGTATCTCCTGTGCATCATTATGTTGGCCGTGTAGAGCGACGAGGGACCATACGGCGTCTTTCGTTAGACGACTTTGGGGAAACACCATAGTAGTGGGTTGACTAGACCAAAATGACGTCGGCCTTGCTTGCCGGCGTTTCATGTACGCGTACAACCTGACATCATATTCGCGACAAGCAAGCGCGTGCCAAAGTCGCTCAGTTGGGTGTAAGGCGCTCCTAAGGCGCTGCTGTGACGAGTACGAGAGTTTGGCTCGTAGCCATGGGGATTTTCCTCAGCAAGACCAAGACACTCGAGCACTCATCGGAGTCGGCGTCTTCCAGCACATATACGTTACACAAACATGGCAGCCCTCGAACGAGCGAGTTCCGGGTGTTTTTCAAAAAGGATGGAATTCCTATATCACCGTTCCACGACATCCCTTTGCACGCGGACATGGAGAAGCAGATCTTCAACATGGTAGTCGAGGTGCCTAGATGGACGAATGCAAAGTACGAGGTCAGGGCATCCACACTCCCGTCTTCATTCTGAAGTCAAAGCGAGACTGGATCTTGGACTAGGAATTGGGGAATCAACGCGTCGGTGTGCTTGCCTTCCGATACTGACCTGTCTTGCTTGCATAAATAGATATCACGATCCGACGTGATTAATCCCATCCATCAAGACGGGGAAAAAACAGGACCTCCTCGCTATGTCAAGAACAGATTTCCACACCACGGGTATATATGGAACTACGGGGCCTTGCCTCAGGTATGTTGCCGGCATAGACACCGGGCCGGAAACACCTTCCGCTGCTTCTTATTTGGCCAGACCTTGACACATCTTCTCAATCGAAAAGACCTGGGAAGACCCACACTACGTCGATAAGGACACGAACGCCCGGGGCGACGACGACCCGATCGATGCGGTTGATATCAGCCAGCACATTTCGTACACTGGCGAAGTCCAGCAAGTGAAGGTGTTGGGTATATTGGGCCTGATCGACGGCGGTGAGACTGACTGGAAATTGATTGTCATCGACGTGCGAGACCGGCGAGCGGCTGAACTGCATGATATCGACGACGTGGATCGACTCATGCCGGGCTATCTGACAGCAACTCGGGAATGGTTCCGGCTGTACAAGGTTCCAGACGGCCACGGCCAGAACGAGTTCGCATTCGGTGGGCAATATCGAAACAGAGAGTATGTAGGTCTTCCGAATCGGAGACTCCCACCCAACTAACGCGTATCGTACCCTTAGATTTGCACTGCGGATCATTCACGAGTGTTCCGAAGCGTGGGAGCGTTTGATCACGGGCAACACAGAGCCCGGTGACGTCGATCGGTATGTATCGCAGCTTGATGGCTTGCTCGAATCGACACTGATGCAGTTATCCAGTACCAACACAACTCTTGAAAGTTCGCCATTCAGAGTCGACCCTGGGAAGCTGCACTTCCCTGAAGGGGAGGACTTACCACCAGCACCTTTGCCCAAGCATGTCGAAGAATGGTTCTTCCTACCCAGTCGTGACAATCCCGGGCAGGACTGAGGGTGGGAGGGACATGAAGCCTGGGGAGTCATCTGGAACAGCTCAAACGAAAAAGGAAAGCTTTGCTACCTGAATGTCTTGATGCTTGGATACCCAGATGAGAAGACACGCAAAGTATCCTATGCGCTTATCTCTCTTCACAACTCAGACAAAGGAGGCATGGAGCATGTAATGCTCCCTGGTCCAAGGTCAGGCCTTGCACCGGCTAGATTAATGGATTGCCAACCACGGCAAATGGTTTTGGGCCAGAACTTTCTTATGCTGCACCAGGGCGAAGGTATTACGTGCTCGCTGGTTCCTTGACGTTCTCAGTGCACAGCCGGTGATTTGCAAGCGACCTGGAATTTGAGCTGCACAGATATGCATATGCACACACAGCAGGCACACAGCAGGATTTGAGCACGGATGTTACATAAGATCCTGCACCTCGCAACGGACAACTCTAACAGTCAGCAGAGGTCAAAGCATAAATTACAGGGCGAATCGCAGTCGATTTGCTCTTGCCTATTTCATGACAAGCCCTGCGCCCTGGCACTCGTGCGGTTGCACTACCCTTGGTTTCCCCAGATCTGCTGGGGCCGCGGAAGAGGGCTTGAACACAGGCGAATCTAGGGCTGCAGAGCCAAGCAGCTAAAAGTGACACGATGCAGGACGCCAACGGTCGGAAAAGTCATTGTTGGGTGTCTGAGCCACGGAAGAACTGGCGCATCCATTGGCGCACCCATGGCGAGAGGACGGCGACAGGATCCCAGCTGCTTAGGTAGGTAAAGGGAAGCAAAACGAAGCAAAGCGTCGGTGAAGGAATGCACAATTTCATATGTAAGTGGCAGATCGTGCGCATAGCGGTCGCTAGGCGACAGCGATTCCTCCTTCGTACTCCGTCTGTACTTGTGCTCGTCCCAATGCCACCCTGCATCAGCCTCAGCCTCAAACCATTTGTAAAGGCGACAAACCTAGATGCAATACCCCGTGTACGAACAGTAACTTGAAGCTTCTGCCAAGCTCGCACTGCTGGATGGGCTTGACGTCGTGCGTGCCATCGAGGCAACTTTCGTCTCGAAGGCCTCTGGATCGGACGAATCTGAGGAACTCGAACCCTTCTACCAAAATGGTTAGGTGGAAGGATGCAGCTCATTAAAAAGGCTGGCGGAGTGGCTTGCCTCAAAAGTCGAAGCAGGCTCCTTCAAGGCATAAGAGACTTCTCCGGCATTGCACCATCGACGGTAAACTGACACGTGCACGGCGACCTGTGGAAGCATGGCTGCTCCTTCAACGGTCCTTCGACGCAGCCAGGGCAAGTCGAAGAACGGCTGCAAGACATGCGTTGGCAGGAGAATCAGGTGCGATCAGGCTAAGCCAGCGTGGTGAGTAAAGGCTTAAAAACTGTCCAGTCTCGCTGCTCAAACACTAACCGCTCCACGAAGCCAGAAGTGCACACGCAGTGGGCGGGAATGCATCTACGCGAGCGTCCCGGGAGAGGCACTCTCAGAGCACGCGACCTCGATGGCATGGCTCGACGACATTGACGGCTCTTGCCAAGCATGGAGGGACACGGGAGAGACCCCTTTCCCTATACTGATGGTTCCGTCATCGCTCGACTGGCATGGCCTTGATGCCCGCGGCCTTCGATACTTCTATTACATCGCCTCGCTCGGGGACGTGCTGGACCGGAACAACAGTCGGCATTTCTGCCTCTGGTGGATGGGCTATGACCTGTGCGTAAACACCCTCAATCACCCGCCTGACACCACCATTGACTGTGGGCTAGAGGCCTCCAAATGGCAGCGAGTATCGACTACGTCGCGTACGCCCATATCCTCGTGGCGGCCAATCGACTCGGCAGGGTGACAAAACTGGCCAGCGTCATGGAGGATGCACAACACTACCAGGGGCTGGCGATCAAGGGTTTACGACGCGCACTCGCCTCGTTCTCGAAAGAAAACGCCGACGCCGTCCTTGGAGCATCCATCTCGCTGATGAATCAGCAGCAAACCCCGGCTGAATGGCAGAGAGTCACGCAGGGCACGGCAGCCGTGATCAAGGCCATGGGACCAGCATGGATCAAGACTTCCTCGCACTGGCCGGTCCTCAAACACATCTACCACGCCACGGAATCCACCACTGTCGTGAAGAGCGAGCCATCCGCCGACCCGAAGACCACGTGTCCCATGGTAACCGTCCAGTCTGTCGGAGCTGCGGTCGAGTTCCTACTCGACCAAGGCGTGACCGCGCTCAACCGACTCGCGACATGCACGAGGGCCCGCAAAGAGCTCTGCACAACGGCGCGGGGTCTGGCGGACATGCTCCGCCTGGCCCACGCGAAGCACCAAGCCGGCCAGAAGCACGACCCGTTCTGGCTGGCCCATCCTTTCTGCGAACTCACCAACCGGGAAGCCATATCCTTCACGGACATCCATGCTTCGAATCCCTTTGTCCTCGTCATCCTGGCACACATGTACAGCGCGCTGGTCGTCCTGTCGATGCTGTACCCTGAGCTCGACACCGCATGGTTCATTGGCATTCGTCTACACTCGCTGGACGGACTGGCGCGGTACTTCCGAACCGTCGCGGCGATCGACTGCGAAGTCTGCCGCGAGGCGCACAATAGTCACGAACTGCTGGCCTTCCCCTGCAATGCAATGCAAGCGTACCGACAGTGGCGGAGGGATCAGCACTCCGTGTTGTCGCAAGAGGGTCACTGCGAGTCATTGGTGGGAGTGGACCACAAGCAGAGCATCTCAGCTCCGGTGTGGAAATGCCATCCATAAAATAATTGGGAGACAGGAAGTCAGGACAATATCTGATAATTCAATCCTTGCTTTCACGGACAGGACCACAATATCAGACATCAGACATCAGCTCGTCTGTTCTGGTTGCTACGTGGTTGAGCGTGTATCGTCAGCTCGTCTCCCTCCACCATGACCAGCTCCTCTCAAGTCGTTCGAGCTTTGACTTCCTCAACCGTCACTCAAGCACCTTTTCACGCTGGGGCCACATGCTTGTATGTCTCCCCCCCACTTCACAATTCGTTTCATCCTTCTTTGCCGTAATTTCCCCTTTCACTTTCGTGCTGCGCGACACGTAATCGCCTCATCCAGTCACAGCTACAGCTCGCTCCTTCACTGACAATTGAGGCCTCAGTCCACGTCAAACCCTGACAACCCTCGGTCTCTGCGAACAGTACTCTGTGCGGACAGTCCATCAGCCCTATGCACTAATACCCAGCAGGATGTAATTGGCCAAACCGACTTCCTTGACCCTCGCGCTGCCACAACGACAAAATAACCCACGTAGCTCGTGGCCCCAAGATTGAGGGCTGATTCCCTATCAAGGTCCCTCACGATCCGGTTGAGCAGCTCAGGTGGCAAGCCGAAGAGGTGAGGTCGTGGCTCGAGCGGAATCTGCGCCGGACAGGCGACGTGGAAATGTGAGACAACTGTGAAGTACTTTCGACGTGTGGATAACGCGAACGACTGCGCGTCCTGGAGGTAGCGGATATGAGAGATTATGTTCTGGAGGAGTTCGGTGCTCAGATTCTGAAGATGTGCAGCCACACGAGTTGATACTGAGAACTCAGGTTGAGGACCAGTGTCGGCGGATCGAACAGGAGAAGAGGACTCGCCATGGACCTCCTCGCCCTCGCTTGCCTCGACAGTGTGTGCCGGATCCGACATGATCTCGACGCGTGCAGCGAGTCGTGGTTGCTAAACTCGGGATGTGAGAGTTGCGATCCTGTTGATGGGTCACCAGAATGGCTGCGAAGACGGGCGCATCTGTGAAGCAGACGAAGTCAAAGTGAGGAACAGCTCAAGGAGGTATCGCTATTAAAAAGGCAGTTTGTTCGAGGGTAACCTGAGTGCGTGGCCTGTTTGTGAAGCAACGTCCTTCCCTGGACAAACATGGCTCGTTGCTGCAACGGTCATTCGTACATAAAGTCGGTCGCCCATCGCATTTGGTCTTCAACAGCAGTTCCGAGGACAACAGCCTCCTGACACACAATCTCCAGATCGGACCATGGAGTCGTCCCTATATCATTACGCCGCGCGATGTGGCTGTGACTTTATTATCGGGTCTGCCTCCAGGCCGTTCCGCCTCGCTGGACATCCTCCAGTAAATCCATATGGCGGACGCTACCGGTGCAGACCGGATCGGATTCGCTCTTCAATCCAAATCAATCCTGAGTAGATATGTCCGTGATACCCAAACTCTCTAGATACCTTTCGCACAGTTCGTCGGAGTTTGCCTGCCCTTCTGGGTACAGGTCCTGGCGTGTGAAAGTTGGAGGCGAGCTTGATGAAGCGTCGCAAAGCCCGCTCGCGCCGCATCTCGCGCCGCTTCAGTCCCAATACCGAGGTCGGCTTCGTCTTAATCCAGTTATCGCCCAGTCTTTCCCTCAACGCCATGAACTCCACGCTCTCAATACATTGCTGATTCCAGAGATCCAGCATTAGTATGAATTCGCGGGCAACATCCTCGAAACACCGGGTGAAATCAAACGTGGTTCTGAGGTACGCCCTGGACAATGGCGTGTCAAACGAGATTTGTGCCCGAGGATAAATGCGCACAACCGGCAGTTGAGCTTGGTGTGACGATTGCGCGTTGCCCTCAATTTTGTGTTGCCACTCCACGTGCCTAATATAAGCTAGATGTTTGGCCATCATGGGCCTTTCGCCGGAGCGGTAGCCGTTGTGATGAAGGACTGTATCAGGAATCTCTGCGTTCTGACAATTGTTGATCATCCAGCGGTCGGGTGTTTCGCTTGTCGGTGCGGATTCGCCTGCTGTATCAAGGGCAAGAACATTGCATGATTGTACATCGATGATTTTAGGCAGTGGCTTGCCAACATCTCTGGGACAGATGTCTTCGAGCTTTGAGCGACGGCATATCGAGAGGACGGAGTCGTAATTTTGGTGACAGGTCAATGCCAAGCAGACTGTGGAGGGCGCATCGAGGAAGGATAGGATGTGTGTGAGGGTGTCGTGATTGACTTCTTGAAGCATGGTTAGACAGCCAGTCATCGACGCGACCTCGAACGGTGCATCCAGCGGCGCTCAAATATGTAGCCTACAACATGTTAGTCGACACGGTTTAGGTGCATTTGGAAGGAATTCCTTCACCTTTCAGAAGTCAATCGGCTTGCTGGTGCGTTCTCAAGTTGACCTCGGACTGCATGGAAGACTTCACATCGTTGTGAAAGTAAGAGTGCCCAAAGGCTGAGAGGTGAAGTTTTTGTCAATTCACGCGTCCGTTTCTGTCGGACCATCCATGGACACCGCCTTTGATCACTTCTCAATCTAGCTCGTCTCCTGGACCATACAGCTACTATGATGTTTCACTATCTGTTGGTGAACTGCCGTCCAGCTGTCAATTCCAATCATCTCGACATTTTTCGGACCATCCAGACACCATGGGAGAGCATATTCTTGTGAAGCCGTTCAGACCGTGACAGGAATATCGACACCTTGACCCACAACCGTCTCCCGAACAGTGGTGTCCGAGCTGGATGTTTTAGGCTTTCATTCCCTGGCTGTACCCTTGCTGCTAACACTGTCCTTCGCATCCTCCACGCAACCGGCTTGACCTTTGATCTTGTTCTCTTGGATCTTGGAAGGATTACTGCCTTGCGCTTCCCGGGGGGCGCGACGATTGCTCCAGTATCCCTTCTTCTTGCTGGTCTTGTTCTGACGAGCTTTTGGATTCTGTTGTTGGACTTCAGTGCCGGACGCAGCATTTTCCTTGTTAGAGCCACTGTCACCTGCCGCTTCTGTCCCATTTCTGTTCGTCACAGCTTGAGTAGTGTCTTTGGCGCCAGTCTCTGCCGGAGCTTGACTTGGAGTGCCAGCAAGAGCATGTTCAGCAGCTTTCCCGGCAGCCAGATGTGCACGGCGATCTTGTCTAGCGAATTTCATGGCGGTCTTGGGATGTGCTTGGCTTCCGCCTTGTATGTAGGCGACACCACGAACAATAGTGTCCGTAGCCTGCTCAACCATCAGTAACAGCAGGTTCTTGTAGCCAAAGTCACTTACGATGTAGGCGGCATTCATAAGCTTGACAAGGTTGTTGGCGAGCAATGTCAATTCTCGGATGTCCTCTTCTGACTTGAACGGGTTGTCTCCGCCATTCGCAACTCTGCGAACCTTGTTCATCATGTCTCGGACATGATCTTCCATGGTAGCATCGAGCTCTGGTGGTGGGCGAGACGGCTTGCTGGCTGGTCCAGAGATTATATTGGTGTTACTGTCATGGGTCTCAGGAGAAGCAACCTCAGTTGAGCTAGACTGAGGGGTTGTGGCGTTGACATAGCCAGTCTTCTGAGGAGTGGCAGACTCTGGGCCAGGTGCGGTCTTCGCAACGCCATTCATAGGAGCGGCCTCAGCTTTGACGATGGAAGAAGAGACGTCGGCCATGGTTCCTGATGCTAGACGGAAGTCAGTGCTGAAAAGCTGCTGAGGTGACAGGGGACTCACTCACTCTAGGAATGTGCGGTCACAAGATGTTGAGGATGGATGGCTTCGGGCTTGTAGCAATGTTGGTGCGAATAGCAGGTAGAGGTTAGAGATGGGAAGCAAGCAGAGAGATCTGCAAGACAAGGTGAGAGTAAAGATGAGCAAACGAGACGGATTCACTTCAATCTGTTTTGACACACAATACCAGAGACAAAGGAAGGCACCTACCCGCGCCCAAGCTGCGAGTCCTGGAAGGGCAGGCACAAGACGCACGCAAGGTCTGGCAGCACAAACAAGGTCGACGGTCGTAGCGAAGGCATATTCAGTAGAGTAATTGGTCATTGAACATCTTCATCTTCACACTTCATCATCCAGCCAGATCCGTCTCCAGCTTTCAAGGGCCATTCAGTCAGTGTCTCTTGATGGGACCTGCATTCCTCTTAGGCAGACCACTGCTTCTTGCCTACTGTTACTGATGCTGCTTTCACTGACCTGCTAGTACGCCATCTACGAGAACAATGCCTGAACGGAAGATCTGGAAGTGGGAGTGAGGAAACCGCTCGGCCAACCTGCTGTGTTGCGCATCTCCGAACTGTCTTGCTTTATGATTACCACCCAATTACTCCATACTTGCGGATTGATCGACTCCCTTGTATTGATCCAGATCAGCTCTACTGTATCTGGTGCTGAGAGACTAGGCCCACGGTGAATACAAACACCCGTTTGTGTACTGTACCTCTACATACTATCCCAGATAGACGAGGAACTTGCGACCACAGTCATGGCAAGCCTGCTAAAGAAGCCCTTCAAACTTGCCCTCGTGCAGCTTGCATCAGGTAAGTGGTGAGTACTTTGACTCGAGCAATGCCACGAAATCAAACTAACACCCTACTAGGCGGTGATAAGACAGCGAATCTGCATCATGCTCGGTCGAAAGTCATTGAAGCTGCCAAAGCTGGCGCCTCGATGATTGTTCTTCCCGAATGCTTCAATTCTCCATATGGCTGTCAATACTTCCCCAAGTATGCCGAGACCGTGCTACCTTCGCCGCCGTCGGAAGAGAAGTCGCCTTCATGGCACATGCTATCGAAAGTCGCAGCAGAGACAAAGACATACCTGATCGGTGGGAGTATACCTGAGTTTGTACCGGATACAAAGGAGTACTTCAATACCTCGCTGGTCTTCTCACCAACAGGGGAGTTGCTGGCAACCCATCGAAAGACACACTTATTCGATATCGATATACCTGGGAAGATCAAGTTCAAGGAGAGTGACGTACTATCTCCGGGGAATAAGGTGACTATAATCGATATCCCGGATTACGGTAAGATTGGACTGGCGATATGCTACGACGTACGATTTCCCGAGCTTGCCATGATCGCAGCAAGAAAGGGTGCATTTATGTTTGTTTATCCTGGGGCTTTCAATACGACAACAGGTCCGATGCACTGGACCCTACAGGCGCGGGCGAGAGCAATGGACAATCAAATCTACGTTGCAATGTGCAGTCCGGCAAGGGATACTGAGGCAACTTATCATGCCTATGGACACTCGATGATTGTCAATCCAAAAGCGGAGGTGCTTGCTGAAGCCGAAGAGCATGAGGATATTGTGTACGCTCAGCTTGATGGGGCGAAAATTGAGGAGACGAGGAAAGGAATACCCATCTATACACAGAGGCGTTTTGATGTGTATCCTGATGTGAGTGCTGGCAAGGTGCGCTATGAGGAGTGAAGCGAGTTAGGGAACAACCAGGGTCAATGAGAAATCGGGAAATGATACCATGCTGCTTCGCCCGTGCTCAGTTATGGCCGAGGTTTTCCATCACAACTCGCGGAGATACCAACAAGAGCCTGCAAATGATCATCAAAATCCCTTCGCTCGCTGTTCATTCTCGTTTTGAGAGATGAGCCCGTCCGGCTCTTTGGCTCTTGATAAAACTGATCACGTGATCATAGAAATCTTGGCAAACTATTCCCTTTCCGAGCATCCTGCGCTCCCACATCCCAGAAAATAATTGACGGGCCGAGACTCTCACAGACACCCAACCCAGCACGTCGTCGACCTCCTCTTCCCTCAGCGGCCATTCCAAACAGTATGTTTAACGGTCGCCCTAATTTTTGTTGAAACCCTGTTTGGGTTATATACCACGAGTCTCTAACCTTCCTGTCGCAGAATACCGTCACAATGGTGAAAAACAACCCCAAAACCCAACCCAAGAAGTCGACCCAGACGCCCAAGAAGTCGCGCTCCGCCATCACTGATGTCGTGGCCCGCGAGTATACCATCCACCTCCACAAACGAGTACGTTCCATACCTTGATCACGGACAAAGGTCCACAAGAAAGCAAAGAAGAGGAGGAACCCAAAGAAGAAAAATCAGTTTCATGAAGTCCACCCGAATGGCTTGCCTTTGTGCACCCTTTCGCCTCGAGTAAATCAAGCATTGGGACGGAAGACTGATGATATTCGGAATAAAAGGTCCACGGCGTATCGTTCAAGAAGCGAGCCCCCCGCGCTATCAAGGAGATTCGAAAATTCGCGACCCTGGCAATGGTACGTACATATACGCCCTTTCGTCCTGTCTACAAGCAACCACTGGACCTATCTGTTCCACGATCCACGCTGCATTCTGGCCGTATTCCGCTGGGTTTTATCGGCCCCGTCCACTGCAGTCCAAGTCTTCTAACTTCTGTCTGTGTGTAGGGCACAAGCGACGTGCGTCTCGACCCCCAGCTGAACAAAAAGGTCTGGGAATCCGGCATCAAGGGCGTGCCCTTCCGGCTGCGCGTGCGCATCTCGAGAAAGCGAAACGATGAGGAGGGCGCCAAGGAGAAGCTGTACTCGTATGTGCAGGCCGTGAATGTCAAGGAGCGGGAGGCCAAGGGGTTGAACACCGTTGTCGTTGAAGAATCATAGACGACGCTGTTCGCTGAAAGAGAAAGCAGGGAGTGCGGATAGGTCTGCAAGATGCAGAGGTGCCATACTCGCATGTCCACCCACCATCAAGAGAAGCTCGATGGAGAAGGTCCATGTCAATATGATGAGCCTCACCACGCTGTCGGACGGTAGACCGCAAGGGTACACGATGCCACCACTTCCGGCTTGTGGCCTGTGGTCGGCATTGGTGCCATGGTGGACGTTCAGAAAGCACGCATTGATGAAAAGCACTGCAAAGCCAAAGTCTGCCTGCACCAGATGCAGAGACCACACAAGATATCATGAGAATTACTCGTATTTTGCAGTTCGGCCGTTTGGACTGTTCCGCTACTCATGCTCTCCGCAATGGTTGAGTCGTCCACTTTCCAACAGCTCTCTTAGGTACATCCAATCCAACTCGTTTCAAGGTCTGCAATAGCCCAGCATGTCGTTGTCCGGAGGAGCTCAAGCGGCGAAAGAGGGAGCTCAACTCAATTCTGAGACGAAAGGAGAAGCCGCGCCTCTTCTTCTGCGAGCTGCACTCGCATTGCCGCCAACCAGGATCGTCACTGCGGAAGAGGGAGCTCAACTTGCCACAAGGACAAGGAGCCGCGCCTCTGCAGAGACCAAGGCAATCTGACCAAGATCCACGACCGACCATCACTGTTGCAACGAACCCCTCAAATCAGATAGTCCGGATGACCTCTCCACCCACGTCCACGTACCGATGCACTCCAACTGTCCGTCTGTCACTGTACATTTCGCAAAGTAATCCTGTCCCAAGAACTCCATCGCTGTGCAAAGAACTCCATGTCTGTTCTTCTTGCCTTTGCTACATGCAGTTGCTCGTCCAGCCCATATCAACGCAATTCCACATTAAGTAATCACATGGTAGAAGAGACCTGCGCTTAAGCACCTTCTGCTCTACCCATCCAAGCCCAACACAACCAATTGGATCAAGCACTCTTGTTCTCCTCCAAGACCTTGGCCAACTCGTCGGCCATCTCCGACGTCTTCAACTTGAACACCAATCGTGTGAGGTTGCCCTTGTACATGAGCGCTCCTCGCACCGCACCACTCTTGTTGCTCGGTACGCTTTCGTAAGTCGTACTGCCCACGAGATGGGAATTAAAGAGAATATTCGCAGAGGGCTCGACCCGGAAGACCATGCGAGTTTTGTTGCTGGTTGTGTCCTTGAGCACTCGCAGTTGACCAATGCCCACAGAGTTCCAGTCATTGGGCGTATACTTCGTGCCTTTCGCCGTCTCGGCGTTGACAAACATGAGAGCTTTAGAGCGTCCTTCCCACAGTGCGGTTTCATTCTCTTCGCCGGCACGAGAGTCCATCAACGAAGTCTGCGGGTCCTCATTGGTATCCTCCGTTTCATTTGTAGCAACAGATTCATTTTCTGAGACACCCGGCGATGTCGCCCGAGAGGAAGCTGCAGAGCTAGCTGCAGATCCGCCTGCAAGATGTGAAACCGCACCTAAAAAGCCTGGCGCGGGAGCGGAAGTAGGGGCACCGAATTGGAACCCAAGGTTGGGTGTCGCAGTACCGCTTGAGCCAGGGGCAGGGGTTCCAAAGAGCGTGCCGAAAGGACTGGAGGTACTCTTATTCTTCTCTCCAGGTGAAGCAGCAGTGAACTTGAAGGTGGGAGCACTCGGACCATTGTCGCCATTTGCGAAGGATATGCTGTTGCCCGGTTTCCAGGTGTTGTCAGTTCCCGTTGGAGAAGTGAGGACTGATTTGGCGAGATTGCCATTCTTCTCTGCGTTGCTAGGTGTACTCGGTCTTGAGCCGAACAGACCTTCCCCTGGCACTGGACCGCCTCTCACAGCACCGCCTGAGAAAATCGAGGCACCTAGAGCCGAAGTAGGGGTCGTGGTTGGCGCTGGAGTGAAGATGAAGGTGCTGGCCGGCTTCACAGTCGAAGCACCGGTAGTAGGCGTCAAAGGCGAAAATGAAGGCTGCTCGGGCGTTGACTTGCCAATGTGCGAACCCCAGACAGCAGGAGGGAACGAGGAGTTCTTCGCTGACTGCATGATGGGACTTGCGTCCTCAGTCTCCTTCTTGTTCCCGTTTGTGGTTGGGGTGGTTTTCTCTTTATCTGGATTGGGCTCGATCCGCTCGAACAAGCTCTTGCCAGCATTTGGGTTCTTTCTCGCTCGATCCATGGCAGCTTGTAGATCGTTGTCGTCGTCGTCCTCATCATCTCCATCTTCTTGAACCACTTCATCTTCGGGTAGACTCTCTTCGCGGTGCTCTTCCTCCCCGTCTGCATCACCAGCCTCTTCTTCATCACCGTTGTCGGTCTGATTACCGCTGGATGCGCTGGCTTCGTCCTCGTCCTCGTCCTTATCGTCGACGTAACTGCCATCTTCATCGTCGCCATCATCAGCTTCTGGTCGTCCGTCGGTTATCGATGTCGAGGTAAGAGCGGCGAAAGGATTCGCTGAAGTCGCAGAGCCAAAGCCGCCGGAAGCAGGCTTGCCCACCTTCTCTGTTGACGCAGCCCCGAAAGAAGGCTTGAAACCGCCCTTTGCAATGGCATCGATCTTTGCGCGCTTGGCCCGATTTTCCTCTTCGACTTTCTTACGGTACTGCTCTTCATCATCCTCGTCGGAATCAAATTCTTCCGCTTTGCGCTTCTCCAGGAGATCCTTTTCAAACTTGGCTGAGCTTTCCTTCGCTTGCTGACCGAATGCGCTGAGAAAGTTGGTGCTGCTCCCACTACCAAATTTGGGCATCTCAAACACAGGCTTTTTCGGCGGCGACTTGATTGGAGTCGTCGATGGCGCGGATGTGGGGGGGGTCGAGCTTGTATTGAGAAAAGCAAACGCGTTTGTATTTGTACCGGATGTTGAGCCAAAACCTGCAGTATCGGCTGTGGTTGGCCTGAAGCCGGCTGTGGATTGTGAAAGACCACTTGTGCTTGCGGACATTGGTTCCGGAATCCCGCCGTGCTGAGGTTTTGTCGCCTGTGAAGATGTCGACGCCGCGCTGTTGGTTGCAGAAGAAGTCAGATGCGAGGAACTGCTACTACCGAAGCTAAATGGCCTTTGCACAGGTTCTTCTCGGCTTCTCTTGGTTTGCTCCGGTTCCTCGTGATCGTCAACCTGGTCACCCTTTCGCTTCGTGCCCGCAACATTTCGTACATACAGCCCCAGCGAAGCTCCAATATTGTCACGTGCGGCGACATAATGACGGATCAAGTTGTCAAAGTCATATGAGCGAGGGTCCAGGGACGCAAGCTTCTGTTGCAAACCGTGATTCAACGAATGAAGGCGATAGTCGCGGTCGTATTCTTGGAACTGCTGGGCAGAGGTATGGCCAGGTACGCGTGTTGGGCCTTTGGTATAGACTGGTCGTTTGCTGGGTGCTAGCGTTACTGCAGAGTCTGGTGTGTTCTCGGCAGTGCTCTGAGCTTGAGCAGCCTGGCCAGGTGCAGCAAAGCTTGGCTTCGCTGCGGGAGACTTGCTGATTTGGGAGGATGCGACCTCGGACGTGGCCGCGTTGGATTGCGGTTCCCGCGCAGGTTGAGACTGTCCGGACGCTTGAAGTGAGGCAACACCGAAAGACGGCGGCGCAGACTTGATCGCCTCTGGTGCACCCGTTTTGCTATCAGTCCCCACCTTGGGCGTAGATGTGAATGACGGGGTCGCCGACTTGGGTTGAGCACCAAACAGCGGCTGCGGTTTGGCAGATGTCTCTACAGCACTATTCAGCTTGCTGAATAACCCGCCCGAAGGTGCACCATTGTCTGCGGGCGGCTTCGCAGGAGAAAACAGCCCACCACTGGAGACTGATTGCGACGGACGGATGAAAGTGAAGGGGGGAGCCGAAGTAGTTTCCTTGGCCTTGTCGTTGTCTTCTTCAGTCGTTCTCGGTTCAGTTGTAGCTTTTGGAGCTTCTGGCTGAGTAGCAGGCTTCCCGAACAGCCCTGATGTCTTCGAAACTCCCGGAGAAGCCGTTGAGCCGAACTTAAACGATGATGCAGACGTCTTCGGGTCAGAGCTGTCCGTTCCTTGAGCTGCAGATTGACTTGGTGGAGCAAATGTGAATGGTGAGGTAGCTGGCATTGATTGAGATGCATCGTCTGTCCCTTTAGGTACGGGTTTGCTTGCTGTTTCAAAGCCGAATGTCGGTTTAGATTGCTGCTTCTCGGCCGCCGGCGCGGGTGGCTGACTGGGTGTACCGAAGCTGAACGCCGGCTTGGATGCTGGTGCGACCTGCGCTGTGCTGCTTGCACTGCCGAAGAGGCCGGCAAAAGGATTCGCGGCTGGTACATCAGACCCTGAAGTCTCTGGCTTCTCTGGGGACGCCGATGCTGGCTTTGACTCCGCCGCTGGTTGCGAGCTGCTCGCCGACTTATCAAAGGAGGCGGGAGCAGAGTCGGCAGCTTCGGGCTTCGAAGGATTGGAGTTTGCGAATGGGTTGGATGTGGTTGTAGCTTGGTTCGAGGTTTGGCCAAACGTGAATCCTGAGGAAGATGGTTGAGAAGGCGTAGGTCCGAAGAGGTTCCTGCCACTGCTTTGACCTAGCGGGCCCGACGAGCCAAACAGACCTTTACTTGGAAGCTGAGAGGTGGAACTCGTCTGCCCGAAGACGAATTTCGAAGGTTGGGATTGAGTTTGCGTGTCAGTACCTTGCTGAGATCCGAAGGCTGGCAGTGCACTTTGGCCGGCGGCCGGGTTGTTCTGACCAAAACTATCAAAGGGAGCACTCGTGGTGGCGGACGAGTTGTTTGTGGTTGAACCAAACCCCCCGAAACCTGATGTCTGAGCCTGCGTTGCGGAAGGCTGCGGACCACCGAGGCCACCGAAAGGATTTGATTGAGCCGCTTGACCAAATGGATTAGACGGCGCAGAAGTCGTTGTGGACTGGCCAAACAAGGTGCTGCCATTCGTTTTTGCCGTTTGATTCCCCTCGAGGTTACCGAACGGATTTGCCGGTTGTTGTGCTGACTGCCCAAACGTGAAAATGGTCGACCCGAAGGTGTTCCCGAATGCTGTTTTCTTTTGAGGCGACTCCATCGATATGTCTTGCGCGTCACTCGTTCCGTTCAGGTCCGCGAAAGGGTTTGGTGCACCGGAAGGAGCCCCGAAGGTGAAGGAACTTGACGAAGGGGGTTGGAAGTTGAAAGAACCGTTATTTCCGGCCGATGGTTGAGGGAATGACTGGCTCGCGCCGAAAGACACACCGCCATTCATCGCGCCGAAGTTCTGTTGTTGTTGTTGTGCAGGAGGATTTTGGGAGAAAGGATTCGGGACGGAATTGGAGGACGGCGTATGAGATCGGTTTGCGCCTAACCTGCCTCGAGGCTGCGCGATCCTGTCAGGCAGTTAGTGTTTTGGTCTTTAGTCACTTCAAGCACATCAAAAGCACGGGTGTGGGATAGAGGCATTTGAAGTGAAGACGGGTAGCGGCAGCGAGCAAGCCGGAGCAGTTAATCGCGGCGGAGCCACCGGCGATTTTCGAGTTCAATCTCAGGAGGGCAACAGCATCAACGCGTAAATGAGATGCTGGGTGAATGACTTACTTGCGCCTGGCCTGCTGAGCGGCGGTCGACATTCTCGGTTTATCGTCTTGTTCGTTCGCTATAGAACCGTGTTCCTTTGTGATATATTCGGATGGACCACGTTTTGGCATGTTACTGGTTGATTGAAGACGGTCGAGAAGAGGGGAACGAAGAGAGCTGAGGTCCTAGAAGCTGTACCATCGAGTCGAACGCGTCGGTGAGGTTTCTGTTGTGACTGTTTCTTTGTTTTGAGAAAAGGCGACCTCGATCACTGGACGAGTCGATGAAATAATTGTTGCTGCTACTGTTCGAGTTTCTTTGGGCAGCAGAAGTTGAATCCGGGGTCGAGGGCAGTCACGTGCGTTCAGCTTGGCGTCAAACCTCTTTCATTTGCTGTTGCCTCCTCCCTTACTTTTCATTCACCGTTCATTCACTGTTAAGTTGCAGAATAATACAATGGCTCGAGTTGGCAATGACAGCGCTTATTATGTTGGCTGCCTGGGCCGCTTAAGACATTGTTTCCTCCCCAAGTCTCCTTCCTCCTGTGTCCAGCAGCTGCCTGACTCTAAGATGTCTTGTGTTCGACCTCCGCCCGTGCCGTGTTCTAGCTCTGCTACTTGTCCATACAGCATGTCTTAACAGCATTCGCTTCAAAAATTGCAGTACATGGTAAACATCAGTATGAGATCGACAAGGCTATAAGGCTGCTTCTACCGCAGCTGATTGCTGTCTCGAAGCACGGTCATTTCTGTGCAGCACCTTTCAAGATGAAGCGGTGCAACCTACTAGCAACACAAACATTCCGATTCCAGGGTATTGGCCTGGCGGAAGAGGCTCGCTGGGTTGCAGCTTCCCAATGTCAGGTTCTTAGCCACTGCCGTCCCCAGCTATTGTGCGGGTTTGCCGTCTGGAAGAGCCCTTATCGCTTGACATCGTTTTCGATCTACTTCAATCTTTGGCCCTCGTTGAACTCAGCACCCGTTACCAGCTTCTGTTGCGTGTGTATGTCTCGTTCCTCTGTTATTGTTCTAATGACTCGGAACTGCGAATGCTGAATCATGGTCAGAGCCATTGCGGCAGATTCGTATTCAGCACAATGGTTAACATTTGGCACATCACCGGCCTCCACAGTGTTTTGCCACATTGCCCTGAGCCGCAGGTCTCCATCACGAGGGCTCAGGCAGATAAGAACAGTCAGGATGGCCACAGCGTCTATGGGTGACACAGACGGTCTACATGATGCAGACGAGGCTGATGATATCTCACCATGAAGATTGGCACGTACGCCACGAAAGGGCTAGCTTCAAGGTTGTGCAACATGAGACCGGTTGGCATATTCCTCCGAGCTGTACCCCAATCTCAGGTGTTCGCATTGAAACTGGCGGTGATTGCGCAACTGAAGTACTGTTTCACAGTTTAAAGCGAGCACGTGGCGAGGAAGGATACCTGCGGGTGAATGTCTACATTGGTGTCTGGACCAAGCAAGCATCACCCAAAAGTCATCCGCAGCTGCGGGCAAGAGGGTCCAATATTGGCATACGCTTGAGCGTGCCTTGCACGATGCACTGGAAGTACTCAAAGCTAAAGCACCGACATCAACGCCGCTTAAAGTCCAACCTACGCTCATCATCAGCACCAGTACACAGACATCTTCCTTAATCATGCCACCATGGCAACACTTGTCTAAGATCTGCATTAGTCAAATATGTGTCCCGCCGCCAGCGAAGAGGTAGTCAGATGCGGACCCTGGCCTTCACCAGTGCCAACGCCAACTGTGCCACAAATAAACTGACAAGGGAGTGCGATGATCCACGTGTGAAATCACAAGGCATGTCGAGCGGGCCCACGCGGTTCACATGTCTCTTCCTCAGCGCGACAACTAGCTCCGGGTTGTAGTTACGAATGATCCCAAGCGCCAAAGGCGAATTGAGAGAGGAGATCGAGATGGTCTATTCGAGCCGCGTCTGGTGGCGCAGCAGCGAGGTCTGAAAAGGAACGTCAATATGGAGGAGACTCATCTCAGTGGAAGGCTTATTGCCCGAGCCAGCCGCAGTTGCAGCCTACGAACCAACCACGAACAAGATTCCGATGCGGTCCCCCGCATTGTCTATACGGGCTCATGAGGAGAATTGACGCTTGTCAAAGTCTGCCACAGCCACTGCGGGTTTTGGCGAAGCACCATTAAGCTCATTTCTTAGCTGATGGTCCTAACCTGGACAAGCCTCGGGGCATTTGTCAGGCCATCCCCAAAAATGGCGAGCTGTCAGTGGCCATGCCGCTTTCCCGTATCTCGAAATAAACCCTGTCCTTCCGCGCAGAGAAACCCACGGCCAATGCAGACCACACCTACCTCGCCAAACTGCCATCCTGTCGCCTTACCACGAAATCATACTTGTGTTATGCAGCCACACATGCATCCCGCCTGACAATGCTTCACAGCCGCGGCTGGATGCTGCAGACGAGGATGGCCGACCCGATGAGAATCGCTCGTGTCGCGCCTTGCTTCCCAACCTGAAGGTTCTATTGACCAGTATTTAGGTCGGTGTATCCCTTCTCTCGAGAAGGTGACCTCTAACTTCTCGCACGGGGTCAAAGGACACATTGGACACTGCCGTTCGCTGTGCTGTTGTAGGCTTTCTCCAGATTCACATACTTTGCCCATGATGCTTCACTCGCTCTTGTCCTTCGTTGCCATCACCGCTCTCCTCTCTAATTCCTTCGTCTCTGCCGCTCCTGCAAGACACGTTGCCAGAGATGGCTCCTCGTGCACGCCCGACAAGATCAAGACCAGGGTGGATTTCAACAAGATGCCCCCGGACGAGCGAAAGGCCTACACCGACGCGGTGAAATGCCTGATGGGCAAGCCCTCTAACCTCGACCGAGCCGTGTACCCTGCCGCCACAAATCGGTACATGGACTACGCCGTCATCCACGTCAATCGCACCCAATATGTGCACCTAGACGCCTTCTTCCTCACCTGGCACCGCTACTTCCTGTGGATCTACGAGAACGACCTCGAACAATCGTGCGGCTACTGCGGTCCCTTCCCCTACTGGGACTTTGCCTCCACGGCGTCAGACCCGCGCGCCTTCCCCATCTTCGACGGCTCCGAATACTCCATGTCGGGCGACGGGATCTTCAACGACACAGGGCCCATCACGCTCGGTGCGGAATTGACGATCCCACATGGCACAGGCGGCGGGTGTGTCACGACAGGTCCCTTTGCCAACCAGGTCGCGCCCCTCAAATTCATCGACCCCAGCCAACTCATCCAGGGGACTCTCCCCGCGGACGCGTTCGCGTACAATGACATCTGCCTCATGCGCGACCTCAACGCCTACGTCTCCCAGACGTACACCAACGGCACGGAACTCGTGGCGGCCGCGCACGCGACCAACGCTTCCAACTTCGAGTTCCTGCTCAACGGCGTGATCGGGTCATCGAGCCTCGGCATCCACTCGGGCGCCCACTTCAGCGTGGGCGGCCAGATGGACTCCATCCACGTCAGTGCGCAGGATCCCGTCTGGTATCCCCTACACACCATGATCGACAAGGTCTACTGGTCGTGGCAGCAGAATTACCCAGAACTAGCGGACCAACTCGATGGCAGTACGGGCACGGCGCTGAACACGCCGCCCAGCGACGTGGTCACGCTCGACTCGACCGAGCCGGATTGGGGGTACTTCCAGCTAAGTCCCATCAAAGTCAGGGAGTTGATTTCTACGACGGGCGGGCCGTTCTGTTATCAGTACGATAACGTGATTGGATGAAGCAGGACGGGGGAGGAGCTGGTGGTGCATGTCGTCTGCGGCAAGGGGATACACTCGATAGTAAGCATTAAATTAATTTCATCATGCGGCCATTCCATCGGATGAACGCTTCCTTGCTTGCTCGCTTTGGGGCTTCTCAAATTCCCTCCGTGCGAGGTGAGCTGCATGCAAGTATGATTGATCATTGTATGCTTTGAACTTCTCGAATTTCCCCCGTGCGAGGTGAGCTGCATGCGAGTAGGATTGCTTATTGTATGCTCTGGGCTTCTCGAATTTCCCTTGTACCGCGTGATGTGGCAACTCTGCAGCTTCATGCGACTGTGATTGATTATTGGATGCTTTGGACTTCTCGAGTCTCCTCCGTGCGAGGTGAGATGCATGCGAGTATGAGCGTGAGTATGATTGATTAATTGTACGCTGTGCGCAATAACTTGCGCATGTCACGCAATGAACCATGGTGCCTGGTCTCTTGGGGTTATGGAGTTCCAACGGCGCTGCATTACGCGTTATGCGAGAGAAGTGGAGGTGGAAATCGTGGAGCGGGAACGAGATTGCAGGATCATGCGCGGCAATGCACGTATTGTACGGAGTACATGCATGGTTCCGTTGCATATTTGCCGGGCGTGATGGGATTTGGAATCGGGCAGGCGGACACGGAAGGACGTGGTGGGAAAATTGGTCTTGAGAACGCAAATGCATGCAGATGCAGATGCGATAATCACCTTCCTCTCAGTTGAGATAGTAGCCCCCCCTCGCATAGGTGTCTACCCACGTAACTACGTACATACATATATTCATATTGCCTGTAGGTGGAAAGCAAGATCTTGTGGTCCATGTCGACCAACGCGTGTTAGCATTCGACGTCCTGCCGCGTCCTGTGCGTCCTGTGTGTTCTGCGAGAGGTTTCTCTTCTAGTCCTTACTGTACTTATTTACTCGCTCGCTTGCCTGTCTGTTCACACGACACGGCACGGCACTCATCGATTGCCTGTACATATCGATATCCATACAGTAATCGGCACGGACGCCCATACCAGTACATGGCTGGACTCATCATGCACTTGTCTACTCTAATGTAGCTCCATGCTATGCAATGCAGCCGACGGCAACCTCTGCGCCTCGCACCGTCACCAATTCCTCGTCTTGAGCCTGAACTGACTCATCCACCGCCGTTCGTCGGCCTGGCGCTCCAGCGCCTGTCGCATCGTCTTTGAGTATTCTTCTTCCTTCCTCTCTTGCTCTTCTTTCTCCCTCTTCTCCTCTGCATTCCCCTCCATCTCATGGACCATGTCCTCGTGGTTCCCGAACTGTGGATTCGTAGTCACGATGCCAATCTTCTCGCCCGTCCAGATCAGCAGGTCGGCATCACCTCTTGCGCCTCTCTCGGAATCTGGTTCGGGGAGTGGGATGATCTTGCGCGCGACCAGGTCGCCTGTCGTGAAGGCTGAGGTGGCCATCGCGTTGGCGTTGCCTATCTCAAAAGCGTTGATGTTCCACCTGCGTGCCAAGCTGTGGCCGTCCCGCTCCACCCACTTCAACCCGCCCTCGGAGTCGGAGAAGACGATCCTCGTGCCGTGCGCGGCGACGGAGAGGATTTTTGATTTCGCGGCGTCTTGTCGGTTTTTGTAGCTGAACAAGCCGGCGTCCGAGGGAGGGGAGGTGGATATGCGAGAGCGGGATTTGCCTATGTCGACATCATCGTCTTCTGGCGGGGTGGAACCCGAGGAGTCGAAAGTGGGCGGATGGTGCTGCTGGTCTGGTTTGACGTGCGGTAAGGAGTAGAGTTCAAGGGAGCCTCGACCACGATATTCCCCGCATGCGACGAGCGTGGATAAGCCGGTCATGGTTGGGGATGATCCAGCGGGAGGGTGGGGGATGGATGTCATGGCGGAGAGGCTGGCGCTGGAGTGGATGACGTACTGTAGTCGAGGGAAGAAGCGGCGGTCGTACGACAGGATGCTGGGAAACCTGCCGCAGATGAGGATTTCGTTCTCGGCCTGATGGAGGATATTGAGCGGACCGGGCTCGACTTTAGCAAAGCTATTCCATGATGGGTTTCGCAGGCTTTGGGGTGGTAGCCAGCTTGGCGAGCTGGAGAGTTGTGCTGAAGGGAGAGGGTTGGATGAAAAAGGCGATGACCTTCTGAAGATGGCGGGCAAGACCGAGGAGTCTCCGGGTATGTCGCTGAGCAGTAATGAGGACTTGCCGACTATGTCTGGAAGCATGGCCGTCAGCCTCCCTGGGTGGGCTGATATCTCTTCCATGCGTTCTTCAGAAGATGAAGAGGAGTGCCGGACAGGCACTCGCGGATCAAGAACATGGAGACTCCATTGAGTGCCTACCGTTAGCGGAAGATCCAGCGGCCCCGGTTGCGACAAAGCCGTTATTGGGTATGGGTAACTCGAATGTGACAGCAATGTGAGAGTGTTGAGGTCGATCTCCTCCACAACGTTGCCAACGGCCACATAAGCTTTCTGCGGCGACGCAAAACTGCTCACGCAGTCAACGACCAAGTTCTCGCCCGTATGTCGAGGGCCGTCGGGTAGCGTAGATGGCGGTAATCTGCTTCGTCCCAGTTCCCGGAATTTTCTCCTTCCAGTCGACGCCCGAGTAAGATCCCACACGCACACACTATGGTCTTCCAGGTATCCGACCACTATATCGGTGCCGGGGAGCAACGATATGCCTTTGACTTCCGTGTGCGCTGTGGCGTCGTCGGATAGCCAGTCAGCGCTCAGGGGCGCGTATCTGCCCTTATACTCTGAGTACCAGTCGACTATTTCACCATCCGCTGAAAGATCCCACCGATTGACCGCACGGGCTCGGGCACTTTCGGCTACTCGGTCTGAGCTGCGGCTGCTTGCTGCGGTGTGTCGGGGCTGAGCAGGGCGTTCTGAGAGAGTCAGGCCTTGGAGCGCATTGGTCAGGGTATTCAAGATACTACTGGTCTGCCTCATCGAGGCGCTGGGCGATTTCTCGAAGCATTTGTATCTCCATAGAGGATTGGAACGTGCCGCATGAGACAGAGACGAGCATGTCCTTTGGACTGATACAAGTTCTTCGGCGTCGAGGTAGTCGAGGATATCAACGAGGATCTCTGTAGGTAGTCTCTCCATGGCTGTTGCGTCCAACACCGAAGTAGCGCCTCTTCGAACGAGGGTAGCGCTCAATGCTGACAAAGCTCGAACCAGATACTATCTCAAAATACTAGCGGCCACGGTTCATACTGCGTGAGCCCAAAGGGCGAAGATATTCGGTATTGCTTAATAGTTGCCTGTGAGATCGAGATGCAGAGGAACGACGGCGCTAGAAGACGATGGCATTGGCTGGCACATCCGCGGCCTCGGCAAGCCCCACGTGGAAACTCGGAGTGCGTCTCGGGAGTCATGGTTCGCAGTAACCATCCACTACGGCAGTCTGAAAGGCTGCGTAGCGATACTTGGGGCGGCCAACCGAAGACAACAACCTTCAACTCTTGTTTCAGGTACCCATGCGGTGGTAAAAGATAAATCAGTTGACGGGGGCAATATGGCCGCCGGAAAAGCAGCTTCTACAGAGTACATTCCGAGGTACTCATAGCTCAGCAAGTTTGCGGGATCTTGCCCTTGTCGATAATTGTGCCGCCGACGTCATCGAAGTCCCGTTCTTGTGCATCTCACTTGTGGTGTCACCACTCTCACCTAATTCTTGGTGCTCTCTTCCAAATGCTCATACAAGGCGTTCACCACGGGCCGCTGTCCTCCTGGGGTCACATGTCCTAATGTAATGTTGAGGAGCTTCGTCACGCTAGGATGCTAACGTCGAATCACTCCCTGCCTTCGACTATGTGAAGCATTCGTGTATTGTTGGTAAATAGGCGTCAGCCCATCTCGAGCAATGCTGGCCCAGCTCTCGAGGCGCGTCGGACGGCGTCGCTTCCTTCCTCGACACCGCCGGTTCAGCAGGTCCGTCTTCACCAAAGACCAAATCAAGACGGCCGAGCTGCAAAAGACTCCTCACACGCCGAACCAAGTGGTGACCGAGGTCCCACACTCTACAGAATCGTCGTTCATCGATGTGCCGAGCCCACTATGGTACCACCGCCTAAGTCCTGTCAAAGACTTTTTCAGCTGGTTCAGTCGAATACAGCGGCGGAAACCTTTGGCCACTGCCGCCGCGACGTCGATGACGACATATCTGTGCGGAGACTTGCTGGCCCAAGAGGTTGGCGGGGAACCGTACAATCCCGTACGGACCTTGAGGATGATAGTGGTGGGGAGCATGGCAGCCGTACCAGGGTACAAATGGTAGGCCTGCGTAAAGAAAGCCATCTGAACGTGGATGTTGTAGCTGACGGCGTGTCGGGGGCGTTTTACAGGTTTCTATTCCTCGGCAGTCACTTCAATTATGCCTCCAGGTGGACTTCGATCACAGTCAAGGTGCTGATACAGCAGTTCTTCTTTGCCCCAATCTTCAACACTTACTTCTTCGGCATACAAGCGCTTTTGTCGGGCGCACCACCATCCGTCGTCATACACCGGGTGGTATCAGCCGTGCCAGAAAGTGTAGTGAGCTCGGCCAAGTTCTGGCCCGCTGTGACAGCACTGAACTTCAGTCTGATACCTGCACACCTTCGATTTGCATTTTCTGGGTTCTTCGCCGTGGTTTGGCAAACGTATCTCTCATATCTGAACAGGCGGGAAGAAAAGACCGGGCCGCAAGGAACGCTTGCAGACACGGCGCGACAGAAGTTGTACGAACACGCTCCGTCCGCCTCGGTTGCTGATGTAGCGGACGGGCTTGAGCAAAAGAAGCCGACTTAGTCACTAGGCCTTCGTGTCAGATAGGTTGGGAGTTCTGCAACCAGTGGCGCTTCGGCGGCTGTGGAGCTTGGTCGAAGCTGTGGAAGGGTTCACGAAGGCTGTCATCACAGTATCGGCGCGATCGGCGTATCTGAAAAGACATGCATGGTCGAGTATATGGACACCTCTGATTCAGGCTCATCCGACCGATCCAGTTCCCCGGCATGAATCCGACGCCCACTCTTTCGTACCGACTTGTGTTTGACCGCTGTCCAATGATGAGAACCTAGTGTCTCTGCGCGTCGCCTCCAGCCACTGATTGGCTCCGCCCAATGACGACACACTTCAGGGCCTGCTCCCCAGGTGGCTCATCTTGATCGAACACAACCTGGTACTGATCTCTGGGGAGTATCGAAAGCCGCCGAAAGGCTGAGCTACACGGAGGTTGATGGCTCTTTCCTTAACTCCATTCCCATTAGAGGCAACCGATGGGGGCCGACCGCTTGGGTCGACAACGGCACACGCAATGCTCGGACCACTTTCCTCGCGTCGTCCTTGTTTCGACCTCATCAGACAAGGGCTTGCCGACAGGCCTTTCAGCTTCAGTCGATCGAACTAATCGCTGCGATTTGTGTTCCGCACAATCCTGAAAGCAGCAGCGCTGTCCTCCGACTTGACAGGCACCATTTTTCCACGATGGCATAGCTGCGCCCCTCCAGCTTAGGGCTGGCGTCTATCAGACCTCTTGGTTTGTTCCCGAGCGCGAGCCGGATGGTTGGCCTTTGCCTTACGCCAAGCACCCTACAAAGTCCTTGGGCGCAGGAACAGTGACATCGTCAGCGAGCACTATCTTCTCTTCTTCTTCGTCTTCTTCTTCGTCTTCTTCTTCTTCCACATGTCCTGAGTACAATCGAATAGTCACTGACAGACATGCAACCTGTTACCGAATACTCCCTTTGTATCATAGCCACAGTCCTCGTGAGCGAGATCCTTTTTCACATCCTGGAACTCGTCCATGAACAAGATGCCGCCACGGCCGACCCCGAGAGTCAATCTGAGCAGAAAGACCTAGCCAGATCACGATGATAACGCTAAAAGCCCGTTTCATCGCAAGAACCCGCACCCCGTTCAGGCACTGGCAACCACGGCAATGATGACCCAGATGACGACCACACAGCAGTATCTGCTGGTGCTGCCGCAGCAACACAGAGGAACACGTCTAAGGGCACCATGGCAGCAGTCGTGGCCACTCTTCTCCTTTACATGCTGTGGCAGGTGATAAGTTTCACTTGGATAATGCAGCGTAGCAAACAGACGTCTCAGATATACTGCTGGTTTTAACTGGATAATGACTCTGGGAACTGCTAGTCGGCTCCTGTACGCGCTCAGTGCCTGTGCCAGAATCTACGTCTACATCTTCCGTCCCCACTGGTTACCTGAGGGGATACCACTCCGCGTGCAGGCGTATGTGGCTTGTGGTGCGGCTTTGACTTTGGTGATTCAGTCATCCGTTATTGTTGGTGTTTGCGTCTTGGTCAAAACCTTGGTGTATAACAATTTGGTCAAGCTGCTTGTCGTCATCCTTGGGCGTGGGAGCTCATGAAACCTTGGGACGCTTGTGGAGAAGGATCCTATACCATTAATCGTTTCCCAAGTCGTGTCCACTACCGAATATCCCAGAAGGCCTGGACTTGTTATTGGCCACCACCACAGATGTTCAGACCTTGCCTTCGATTTCGACATTGCAACTTTTGCCGGACTGATGATGGCCCGTGCCGTTGGTAACAGCGTATGACGAGCCAAGGTGCTTGGCCGCCTGGACCGACTGGCGCTTCTCAGGTACTTGCCCCTATTCCCTCAACAAGGCAAGATTCTTCTCCGCTTCCCAATTCCAGATACTATCTGACGCGAAGAGCAGGTTTCTTTCTTCGAGTGTGCGCTGAGAGGTCGCCGGGTAGAGCGCCCAGATCATGGGAATGGTGATGGCGTTGTAAGCAGCGAAGATGTACAAGGTCTTTTCGCCGAGCTTCTGGGACATGACAGGGCACAGGAGTGTCAGCCAGCCGTTGCTGATGGAACAGCCTATGACGCCCCATGCGTTGCCCTTGGCTGGAATCTCCAGCGGGAAGATCTCCGCCGGGTATAACCAAGGACACTTCAACCACGTTGCGCCAAAACAAACGTGAAGATGTAGAGCATGGCCACGGCAGCATTTCCGTAGCCGCTGGCCTTGCTGAGGTTGCCGCTGGCACGGGCATCTTGCCCGAGTCTGGAACATCCACCAGCGATGGCCATGGCGATGCCTTGCCCGACAGATCCCCAGTAGCAGGTCCACCGACGACCTATACGATCCAGCGTAAAAACACAGATCAACGTCGAAAACATGTAGAAACTGTTGTTGAGCCCTGCAATTTGGCGTTTCTCGGGACTCATTCCGGCAATGCCAAAAATGGTGGGCGCGTAAATGGTGACACCCGCGATACCAATCCATTCTTGCATGATCTGGAATCAGACGACGAGCTGGACGCGCCTGCCGATATGCAGCTTGCCGGAGCGAGCGCCGAGGAGCATATGAAGGTAAGATTGCTTGCGGAAGTTGTTGCGCTCATATTGGGTTGATTCAATAATGTCCTGAAGTTCCGCTTCAGCCAACTCCTTCTCCTCGGCAAGTGAATCACCCCGAAGTCTACCAAGGATGTAACGAGCTTCGTTCTCCCTGCCCATTTTCACAAGCCAACGGGGAGATTCTGGGAAGAACAATATCGCCGTTGCCGGGCCAATGAGCATGGGGATTTGAAAAGCGACTGGGAAGCGCCAAATGAATGAAGATTCGCCGTTGCCGTAGAACGAGCATCCGTACTCGAGCCAGTACGCGATGACAACACCGACGATATTGAGGGTAAATTCGATGGCAACGAATTGTCCGCGGGACTTGTGCTCTGCAGTCTCCGTCGCCCAAACAGGAACAATGGCGTTGAGGATACCAGTGGCCCAGCCGTTGACCGGACGAGCACAGATCATCCAGGAGTGGTTCATGGCCGAGCACTGCAGTGAGGTACCAATGACCTCGATAATTGCGCCGATGAAGATTGACCTGACCCGGCCGATTCGGTCACCAATGGTGCCTTCAACCAAAGCCCCTGCAAGTGTCCCCAAGTACGGAGTAGTAGACCGCAACGATCCCTCCCTGAAGCAAAGTGTTTGTTACAACTATGCCGCCATCTGCTCCGCGGTGGCCGAAGCCCATCCGGTTATAGTAGTCGGACCTAGTATTTACTCCTCCCATCATACCCTGATCGTAGCCAAAAAGATAGAAATGACAGCCCGGCGACACTGTTGATGCTAGAGGAGATGTCTGCAACTCGCTCATTTCGAGGAAGATGAAACGTGCACGTACGCGATCAGTAGGCTTCGCTTCTGGAGCCGTGGGGCAACATTCCACCTGCTGAGCTTTTCCATGATGGGCCACAAAGGGTTACAAACTTGGTGCGAGCTTCGGTAGAGACCGCGACACATCCCTAGGAGAAAGAGCCCCCCACCTTATATGGTCTTTAGTGCAGAGACGTTCACTGTTTTACACTGGGATATTTCCATTTTCGCCTCATCCTCACACCGGGCTAGGAAACAGCAGGTTCGACATCGGAATCTCGACACGAGCACTTTCAATTTGCATCTTTGGACCTGAGCGTGGCCCTGAGCCTCGCTGCTTCAACCTGAGATGCTCCTGCACGTCTCGCAGTGGATATTCACAGATTGACGACTGCGATTGACTGCTCTGGTCCTACACTTCGTCGTCTAAGTGAAACTCCCTAGAAATCGACAGCAGGTAGCAGATTCTTCAGCTTCAACATCGTCATCTCTTACTGTAGCTGGAGCGAGTCCCAGGATCTCCTCATTATCGGATGTTGTGTTAGGCATGTCAAGTGGACAGCCTTAGCAACAGTGCTCGGAGTGCTCTTCGTCAACCCTGTCTACCTAAATGTACCTTGCCGTTAAAATAATAGCGTAAGCGCCAGCATGCCTGAGTAACGAAGCACTTTGACTCGACGTCCTCGTGGCGATGCGGAACTGCAAGGGGGCAGTACCTCGTAGGATGATGGTGAAGTTTGACCCAGACTAACCCAATGTAGAGAAAGGGAACTTTTGGGACCATTACGTCACCTTCAATTGGGTCCAAGTTATAGTTACTATTCGACTGCGGCTTATCACGGTTCACGACCAATTGCCGCGTTGTTGACGTGTCGAGTCCGTCTATTTCGCTTTTCCTTGAGCTCATTCCCATGGATAATTCATTCACAGAGTCACTCGATACCACACAATCTCTCCTCTCTTCGCTTCGACCAGCTGAGTGGCGAGCGACTTCTACTGATCAGACCATAAGGAGTGGCGCGACAGAATCAGGCTGAGCCCGCATGCAAACATGCAAGAATATGCAAGCATGTCCAATTGACACGAGCCTGCATCAAGACATGCACTGCTGGCGGTTGCGCCCACTCAGCCACTCGCGCATCTTGCACCTTCCTGGTCACCCTCCTAGTCGTTTCTATAAAATGGGCACTCCGCCGCTACATCAGTGAGTGACGTTCGTTGTCCTTCCGAATCAGCAGTCATGGCTTCAACAGACCCATTGCTGATATCAGCTGAGCATGTTCGACCTTCAGAACACACCGTACTCGCAGAACCTGACCAAGACGAGATTCAGCCTGTTCGCCAGAAGCTCACAGAAAACACGGCTAACAAGGATACAACATCCGAACTTCCACGGCAAACTACCGAAGATATGGACCGGAGCGATCCAGGACCTTCTACGAGCGGCACCACAGTCTCGGTTCCATGTCAGTCGCATGAGGATCAGTCTGATCTAGAAGATACTGTGAAAGCCGACAGCGCAATCCGAGAGAAGAGACCGACGTTCAGGTCCAAGCTCAGATCAAGATGGCATGCATTCGCGACCGCGTTCGCCGATGGTTGGGCTTTCGAAAAGGCCAGTATTATCTGCTCGATGCTTTTGCTGGCGGCATTAGCGATTTTGTATCGCGGGTTCGACGGCAAATCTACCACAGCATGGTCTGCAGCCTTGTCGTTCGCCACGGTAATCGCCATTATGTCTAAAGCCATACAAGTAATGCTTATGTTGCCTGTCGCCGCCTCTATTAGCCAAATGGGCTGGATGCATTTCTACCGGCCACGAGCTCTTGTCGACTTCCAAAGATTTGACGCGGCTTCGCGTGGTCTGTTCGGTGTCATTGCACTGCTCGTCACTCGACCATCTTTGTGGACTGCGCTCTCCGCTACACTGGCTATCACTGCTTTGGGCATCGAGGCAGCAGCCCAGCAGTGCCTCCAAACGACAGCCATTTCTTATCTGCCAGTACTTACCGATATTGAGCTGCTTGACTATTTCGCCACTGATTATGAATCAATCAATGTCGGCATGATCAATGCAGGCACCGCCGCTATGACTACCAAGATCCCGGTGGTTGGGACAAATTACCTATTGGCACCGTCTCAAAGAGTTGAAACATTATTGCCTCAAAAGCTGATTTATCGTTGCCAGACGGCAAATTGCGTCCAGCCGAATCCATACGTCACCCTCGCCTTTTGCTCGACGTGCGAGGATGTGAGTGGTGCCCTCTTAATGAATGAATGGTGTTCACAACCCGGCGGCGACGTTGATGAACCGTGCGGTGTCTCGATGCCAGGCGGTCCGGCTTTGTACTATCCATCGCAAGGCATAGCGCTCAACGCAACGCCTATCGCACCGTCCACATCCTCACACCCTGGCCCGCTCCTTCTAGCTAAATTTACCATGGTGGAACAAATCGTTCCGTTCGAGACTGCTGGCGACCAGCCCCTGGACTTCGCGGCGCAGACATGCTCTATCACGCTGTGTGCCAATATATATAGTCTTGATATCAGTCAAGGAGATACCGGATCAAGTGGTGCCACCGAGTCACTGCTCGCGAGCTTCCAGAAAGCTACTTATGTGGAAGAGGCACAGGAATACGATATTGTCGTGCCTGCAAACTCTACCTTGAGACTAACGCATGGAACGACGAGCCACTGGCAGGGGGGTACCGTGACACTGACTATCGATGCAAACAGCACGGCCTTTTTGAGACACTACCTCTTTTCGGTCTTCACGGGCACAGGTTCACTGCCAGAATATAGCGGTCTTTTGGCGACGAACGACGACTTCACGATGACCGATCGGCTCAAGCTTGCATCGCAAGTTGCACAACAGCCTACAGGAACAGCTCTTTGGGATCGCATTGTGTACTCGCTTGTAGCTTACAAGTTCGAGAATGCAGGCGATTACTTTTTTCAAATTGATTCCGTCGTTAGTCAGGTTATTCGCTCCATGGGCAATTGGTTGCGCGACTTCTATCCATCAGAACAGGGCAAGGGATTCAAAGACGTGCAAAATGTAAATGGTTTGGCCAACGGAGTGTCCGCAGCACGCATTCAGCTCCCGAGCAGCTACAAAATCCAATGGATCTGGCTACTCATACCAGCGGCAGCCGCAATCCTCGCGTTATTCCAGCTCATCATAGCGATTTCCCTTTCTAAATCGTACAAGGTTCCAATCTGGAAATCGAATACATTGGCGGTCATGCACCACGGGTACAGGCGTCGAGATGAATTCGGAGCCAAGTCCCTCCAGAAGCTCAGTGCCCTGGACCATGCGGCTGGACAAACACAAACCATACTGGCCTCCGCAGCCACGGACCGACGGCTGGTCGACCTTGAGGAAGCTCCTGTTGAAGTTGAGCGATGGGAAAATATGAGTCGCTTTCAAAGAATTCGCTTTCGATGTCGCTGGAACTGATAGAAAATTCCACGAAAGGCACTTCTGGCTTTAAGGTCACTTGAGCGGTGCTCCTGTGAGTACGAATGAATGGTTCTCGAAAAGCCTTCGACGAAACGATTCCAATATCCGCGTCACCAATACTGCCATTCGAACGTTACTGTCATGCAATAGCAGTGTCTACGACGTCCACTATCACACCTCCAACGATACAGCGACTGTGTTAAGTTAAAAGCTGAGCGACAAAAGGACAACACAGACCGTGCAAGGTGGAAGACCTTTTCACAGAGAGGAGATTAGGCAAGACTTTCGTGGTGGAAGACAAGACGCAAGAGGAGCTGCTCAGGTCACAGAAAGTCGACTTTCGAGATGTCGGGAACACGAGGTGGGTGAGGAGGTGTCGTCCACACAGAACGGGCAGTAAGCGGGCGGCTCAAGGTGTGACGGGAGGTAACGGTCCCGCAACGGCTGGGGCGGGAAGTGTCCAGGTGCGCCTGGCAGCGCTGTTCCTGGACTGCATCTTTGCCGATAGTTTCACGTGACCTGTCAGGTGACGGCTCAAACAAAGAGCAGTGCTTGAGCTAGTCTGCATGCGATGCAGCTGGGATGCCGGTTCTACATCAAGCATATGGGCGAGGACATCGTGCTTGGTGTGTCCGTCTTAGGCTCCTTTGCGCAGGCAATCACCTTGGAGCATCACGCAGCTTGGACATGCTTTCACGGTGGCACCAGTGGTTCTTACTTCTCGGTGCATTCCAGCCCGGGCCAGGTCTTGGCACCGCTGCACTACCTCGTACAGTACCATGCAACCAGAGACGTTCTGCGAGTGTGCCTTGTATCAAACGGCTATTTCGAAGAGTAGTAGTATTCGAACCTATTTAAAGCGCAGGTAAGTGACGTTGATTAAATGGTATAGGTCGACGTCGCGGGAATCTGGACGATGACGCGCTCAGGTCGATGAGTACGGAGTACGGCTTCCGTCTTACTCGGATCTTGGAGGATGGAGTCCTCGGAGGCTTGTTTCTAGGTACCTTAGTACTCGGTACACACTTGGGGCAACTCTACCGAGGCTATGACGACCATCACAGCAGCTTTTGGTTGGTCCGAAACCATCGAGATGTCCATGTGATTGACCTGAATACTTTCTTCCTGGAACGATACCTGTATCGCGCCTGCAGCAACCGTCATTCGTAACATGTCTCGCCCAAGCAAGACTGCGAGGAGAGGCCCCAGTGTCTTGGTCAGTCGCTCCCGTGTAAATACGTGGTGCTGCCGCTGGACACCACTAACATTGAGCTCGATCAGGTCTCGGAGCCTCGAGAAGCCAGGCCGTTCCCGTCGCCTCGGAGACAGCCCTCCCGATTCATCACTGTCGATAGTGTCCTGCAGCATGTATCCGATGTTCCGTCTGCTCAGATGCGTGTGCCTCCACGACCTCGACCATTCAGAACCACCTCAGGCCGACCTGTCGACCCGAGACTCACTGGCCGATTCGTTGGTCCTGTTGGTCCTCGAATGCCAGCTCGTTCCACGAAGACATCAGAAAAGCTCGTCTTACTCCCCGAAGCTGTCGAGGAGGACGACGAGAAAGGCGACTTCGGCCTTGGTGCCGACACCGACAAAGGTCCTCCAAAGGACGATGAAGACTACCGCAAACCTGGAGGCGAGAGAGTCAAAAGCTACGCTGAGAGACTACCTAAGTCAAGACGTACGGAAAAGGAGCTTCCCAGGGTTACGGCCTATTGCACGGCACAAGCATACAAACTGCAATCCACCGCAACTTTCGTCCGCCAACGGCATGGCGCCCGAGCGAAACTCTACGATGACTGCTTATACTGCGCATATCACCTACCCTTAATACCCGGCAACGATGGATACCGTCTTCGAAGCAGCCCGCCGGTTCGGAGCGCAAAAGGTGGGACGGTCTTGGATGAGGCCATTGCGCGCAGTGAGCAAAGAGACTACCGAGAGCCGTATTATGACGAAGAGGAGGAGCAGCATTCCGTGAGGGGAAATTACACGCCAGATGAGCAGCCTGTCGACTTGGATCGCAGTCATGCGGACGAGCTGGAACCACCCCGGCTCAACGGCCAGCGCAGAAACAGCAACCATTCGCAAAGGTCAAACAGTCCCGGTGGAGGCCAGTCGTTTGACGCCTACCGGTTCGCCGAGATGTTCGTCTTCAGCTATGGAGTGGTGGTGTTCTGGAATTTCAGCGAGAGGCAGGAAAAAGATGTCCTGGCTGACTTTGCTTTCGCGACCATTGTCGACCCGAACACTAACGTCGTCTCTCCCTTGACCCTCACAACGAACGCCTTAGAGGAGGAAGATTTCGAGACCGAGGAGTTCCACTTCGAATACAACAGCGAGATCTCGCGGCCTCGGGTCTATAACGACATGATCACGTTGCGCACTGGCGACCACATGATCAAGCTGGCCATTAGCCACGCCATAGCGCAGAGCACCAAACTGGGTTTCTTTGAAGAAGCAATGGCGGGTCAGATGGAAGCTGCCAAAGATGTTCCTGGCAAGCTCGCCAAAACCGGAGAGCTCGGCATGAAACGAGAAGAGGTCATCAAACTGCTCGGCGGCTTGTTCAAGAGTCGAGTGGACGTCAATTTGTGTAAGTCCAGCTCTTGCTCACTGCCCGTCTATATGTGGCTGACCGATGCTTACCTGCAGCCTCGAATGTGCTGGACGTCCCGAACCTGATTTGGGACAGCGAGCCGACCCTGCATCCACTGTACAACGCAGTCCGGGAGTATCTCGAAATTAAGCCTCGGATCCAAGTGCTTAATGAACGGTGTCGGGTGTTCCTCGACCTGGCCGAAGTGCTGTCAGACTATATTTCGGACAACAAAATGTCACAAATCAACTGGATTATCATAGTGCTTATTGTCATCTCCATCCTCGTGACCTGCAGCGAGGTCTTTCTACGCTTTGGAATGCTGAGTACGAAGGGAGGGGCAGCCAAGACTGGACAGGCCGTGCAAATGACGTTGTCAAGCAACGTGTTCTAAGCAAGAAGAACTTGTTAGCGGCGCACTCGTTGACGGGTGTATTTGGTATTATCTAGACTAATAGCGAGGAGTTGGAAGGACGGCGTCATGCCATACCACGTGCATGAGCAAACGTCACTTTCTTATGCTTGTGCACTGGAGAATGCACAACTGGCAATCGTCAGCCAAGTCGTGTTCGGTAACGAAAGCGTGATTTCTGGAAGTTCGATTGCAGATTGCAGGTGGCAGGTGGCAGTAGTGCGCAGTGGGATGTAGAGATTGTGGCAAAGGGAAATAGGAATGTCGTGTGCTGGCGAGCGGTCTACTGTGGTACTTGAGATATCTCGTCTGTCTCTTGTCGCCCGTTGGTGCCCTCACTACCCACTGTCTTGGGCCTCAGAATCCTTGCAGCTACCCAGAACGCGGAGGCGACCGAAGCGTGGGCGATGGATAAACGGCGCTGACAGGGGAGAGATCGAGGACGCTGTGTCCGATTCGCCCATTGGAGACGAAGGCAGGTCAGCACGAGGATTTGAGGTTGCATTCGCGCGGTGACCACGAAGGGACGAAGCGAGCACAGGCAATTTGAGCCTCGTGGGATCAATATGCACTATGCCCTTATCACTTGGCGGGTTCCACGGGAGGTTGATTGCTTGGCCTACTGGTCGAACTGCCAGCTTCAGCATGTCAGATCCGTGACTTATCACGACCATTCGGTTCGAGGGCTGAAGCGAGAGATAGACTCGCTGTGGGCGAGGGCATGGAGCGCCTGGAGCGAAGAGCTACGGGGCGCGCCCAAAATCCAGAGCCAAGACTTCTAGCGCTGCAACCCTTGAGCCCTCAGTGGCGTTGGACGACGTCTGTCCGCCTCTATTCCACCACTCACAGGCCTGGAGGGCAGCGTGCCGCGGTTGGCGGGGCAGATGATCCACGGCCATCGCGATCCACTCTCAATCCACGTTCGCACAATCGACAATTGAAGCCCTGGTCAAGCTCGTCGGAGCTGCCATCCATTTACGGCATGTCGACGATAACCGTCCAGCGCTGCTGCTCACTGGCCGATCCAGCAAATACATAATACCATTCCACCTCTCCACCATGTCTCCCTGGTTGATCACTTTCGTCGCATTTGTGCCCGTCCTTCTGGTGGCACTCTCCTTCCTGCGCTCCACCGTCCTGTCCAAGTACCTCGACGACAAGCACGAGCGCAGACAACCTCCAGGATGAGTTCCAATCCAGACTCGATTGATCCCAAAGAGGTGAGGGAGGTCCACCACGACGGTGTGCACGCCGCACACCCGATCGATGCACCTGCGGAGGGCGGTGAGCGACGACGAACCCACCATGACATCCCCGCCCATGGGCACAACCCTTCGCTACAGAAGAGCGTCGACGAGAACCCCGACCTGACGCTGCACTACTCGCACGAGCATCAGCACCAGCACCTCCACCACGGCCGCCCCTCACTGGCCGGCAAGCACGATGAGGTCTTGTACGCGGACGGCACTACCGCCGACAACCACATGGCCTTCGTCAACAATAACCCTCAAGATTATACGAAGCACCAGCTCCGCAAGCCCTCGGAGCAGATCAACGAGAAGGATTTCAGCAACTCAGAGGATGCCGAAAAGGGAACCGTCGACCCTACGAGGGTCATGACGAATGGCTCAGACGATGGCCAAAAACATCGCGTCTCGCGATCTTACGCGAAATATAAGATCTTCGTGCACATTTTTATCTGGCTGTTCTTCACCGGGTAAGTTCGACGTAGCTGGTTGGCGTCGGGACTCCTACTCACGATTTTGTGACAGATGGTGGATCGCCGGCCTCGTTCTGCACCGCACGGACAACCTGGGCTGGCTGAAACCCTTCCTCCTGTATCTGGCCATCACCCTCCGTCTGATCTTCTTCTGGGTTCCCATTACCATCGTCACCCGTCCGATGCATTGGGCATGGAACTTCACCGGCGTGCGCGTCTATCAGGCCATTCCAGAGAAACTCCGCATCTGGCTCGCTGCACTGGTGGCACTTGCCGTCATTCTCATCGGCTCGTTCGTTTCGGAGGAGTCCGCAGACAATACGCGCGGCAATCGTGCGATTTCCCTGCTCGGTCTTGCTCTGATGATCGCCCTTCTCTGGATCACGTCGCGCGACAGGAGGAAGATACGCTGGCACACAGTCATCGGCGGCATGCTGACTCAATTCGTCATCGCCGTTTTCGTCCTGCGGACCAAAGCCGGCTACGACATTTTCAACTTCATCTCCTTCCTCGCGCGCGCTCTCCTGGGATTCGCCGACCAAGGCACTGCCTTCTTGACCGCAGACAGCGTTGTCGATCTGCACTGGTTTTTGACTGGTGTCGTGCCTCCGATCATCTTCTTCGTCGCTCTCGTGCAGGTGCTGTATTACTTGGGCATTCTGCAATGGTTCATCGGCAAATTCGCCGTCTTCTTCTTCTGGAGCTTGCGCGTCTCCGGTGCTGAGGCCGTCGTGGCTGCTGCGTCGCCGTTTATCGGACAGGGTGAATCGGCAATGTTGATTCGACCCTTCGTCCCCCACTTGACGCTCGCCGAAATCCATCAGGTCATGTGTTCTGGTTTCGCTACCATTGCGGGTTCCGTGTTGGTTGCTTATATTGGCCTCGGGTTGAATCCCCAGGCGTTGGTATCGAGCTGTATCATGTCCATTCCGGCCTCCTTGGCGGTGTCCAAGATGCGATATCCCGAAACAGAGGAGACGATTACTTCCGGACGTGTGGTCATTCCGGACGACGACGAGCACCGCGCGACGAATGCGCTCCACGCATTTGCCAACGGCGCTTGGTTGGGTATCAAGATTGCGGGCATGATTGTGGCTACACTTCTCTGCATCATCGCACTTATCGGTCTCATCAACGGCCTGCTCGGCTGGTGGGGAAGGTGAGTTCACGCCAGTCTACATTTTGGCCCGAACTAACAATGCGAAACAGATACATCAACATCACCCAAGACGGTGAAGCATATCTCACCCTGCAACTCATCCTCGGCTACATTTGCTACCCCGTCGCTTTCCTGCTCGGCGTCCCGCGCGGCGATCTCCTCCAGGTCGCCCAACTCATCGGCATCAAGGTCGTCGCGAACGAGTTCGTCGCGTATAACAGTCTGACCAGCGAGGCGCAATACATCAACATGAGCCCACGCTCAAGGCTGATTGCGACCTATGCTCTTTGCGGTATGCTTTGCCCTTTTGCAGCGCCGTCCCGTCCATAACGCATGCTAATCTGTGATTCGCAGGATTCGGCAACTTCGGATCTCTAGGCACCCAGATCGGCGTGTTATCACAGATCGCTCCGTCTCGCGCTGGTGACGTCTCCCGCGTGGCCCTTTCCGCCCTGTTCTCTGGCGTCCTGTCGACATTGACGAGCGCCAGTATCGCGGGCATGCTCGTCACGGACCAGGTCACCTTGAGCCAGGAGACCGGGTCGTAGAGATGTGCGTGGATGTAGATGAGAGAGGGTACGATGAGGTAGAACAGAACAGAACAGAACAGGACCTCGGATCGAGGCTGATGTAGTAGTGGCCTTTCTAAGTCCTTGTACTCCGAACCACGACTGCGCTCTTACCTTGCCTCGGACGCCGCGTGCGTATGTGTGCGTGCGCGTAGTATCGCGAAAGCCGAACTTCGTATGACAAAGTGTACGAGCTATTTACGATATGATATGAAATGATATGCTATGATTGTTCATCCACCGCCCACCACTCTTGCCATGCAAATTACCGGCCGTAGCATATGTGACGGACATGTTGAAGGCGCATCCATCTTGCACCGCATCCACCCATCCCATCCCATCTCTTTCCGCTCCTCATCCTGGCTTCCGGGTTACTTCCTATCTCTCTCTTTCTCTCTCTCTCTCTCTCTCTCTCTCTTTCTTGTCGCTGTTGCCCTCTCTTTAGAGTACATTGACCCCCCATACGAGCTTTTCCGGAAAGAACCATACACAGGTCCTGTACCTACCTAGATGGTTTCCTCTGCCGCACAGGTTCGAACACCATGGCGATCCTGCCCGGGTGCGGGTATGGGAAGTGGAGTAAGTGAGTGATACAGTAGTCCAATGGAAGAGAGGGGGGCCTAGGTAGCGAGAGAGAGGAAGAGATGGTGAAGAGATGGTGAAAAGAGTGTATGGAGTAAATCATACAGGCCGAGATCGTTGCTTCGCTTACTCCGTACCCTCACGTCTCTTCGCCTTCGACGGCGCGTTTCACACAAGTAATTGGCTGCCACGCTGCTTACATGTAACATTTGCCCGCTGATGTGCCCAATCGACGTAGTCTTTAGTCATCAGACAACAGAGTACACCATCCAACAGCACAGTATGTAACATATCAATATTAAGCAAGAGAAGCAATTACTGAGGCTTGAGAACGACCGACGAGCTGCCCCACGAGCTGCCCCGTCCTTGATAAGGAGTTCCGGTGTCAAACTGGGGTCTTCATTTGAGGAGTGGTGCTGAAGAGTAGGTATGCTCTCATTATCCGCGTGTCTGTGATCCACAATACACTGGCTCGACTGGCTGCCCCTTTCCTCTCAGAGGCCATCTCGACTTCCTCGTCATGCACACGCGTTTCCTTTTTCTCTCCCATGCAGAAAGAAGAAGTACAATCACTATTGTCCCACCCATTACGCTGTAGCACAGATTGGTTAAAGGCAGAACTGAAGATTGCTTTTCCGTATTCCGGCCCATCCTTTAGTAGCTTGTCTCCTCCTTCTCCATACTACTTACTGTGGCTGCAAACCCACCCACCCAACCGTTGCAGCCACGATGAAATCGAGATCCGATCGTGTCATTGTCAGTCAACAAAGAATTGATGCTCGGCGACCCTGAAAATCCGTGCTCCCATCGAAGAAATCGAGGACGTTGTGTGACAATGGTACCGAACGGGTGAGGTTGACCGCAGAAAACTAAAGGTTAGTAACACAGGGGTATAAAAACAATCCGGGTACGTGGGAACGCAGATGCAGACTGTTGTCACCAAGCGCAACAAAAGCAGGGGGTCTACGGGGGTTCCAGGGCAAGTTAGGGCAGGTGTGGTCAGTAGTCTGGGCGCAAGCTTTGTCGGCTCGATCACCGCGATCTGTCGTGGGGTCCGGATCGACCGGATCAAATCCTCGGCTTTCAGCTGTCGCCAGAACCCACTGACGATGAGAGCGGTGGTACAATGATGGAGCTAGGAAATTACGAAGACCGTGGCCGTTTGGGGTCCGGAGTGTCCAGATCGAGGAACAGAAGGTCGTCAGCATCTTCCGCCTTTCGCTTGACCTGCTTGGGAGTTACGGGAGGACTGAGGTTGTCCAGCGTGGGAATGCCGGCTGGCGATGCAGATCGTGGCTTCTCTTGACCATGGGACTCATCAAGGGTGGTGAACGAAACGACATCCTCCGGTGGATCTTGCGGGGCGAGGTCCTGTAAGGTCGCACTTTGGTCATCAGCTGGGATGTCTGCTGTGACATCTCCTTCGCGGGTCTCCTCATCTCCAGGTTTAGCGGGAAAGAGCTCCTCGTCATCGTAAGCCGCGTACCCATAGTCCGGCTCAACGATGTCATCTTCTGGAGGGAAGATATCCTCTTGCTGTGCGTCACCTGGGCCGCTATCAAAGATATCTGCACCAGGGCTATCGACACTGGCAGCTTGGAGAGATGCGTCGGCCGGGTCGCCGTCGACAGTGTGCGAACTGTTCGTCTCGTCTTCACGATCCTCATAGGAGTGATCAGTGTCCCCAGGTCCTTGCTTTGGCTCATCGCCAGCACTTTCAGGAATTGGAAGCTCGCCATACCCATCCTCTCGTTCGCCATCGTGTGGATTGCCATCCTCTCGTTCGCCATCGTGTGGATTGCCATCCTCATGAGGATCGGGCTGTTCGGATTCGTCGGTTCCTGCAAAAGTCTCCGAATTGTCCGTATCTGGAGGGGGTGCATTTTCTGTCGTAGCCGTGATCTGAGCAGCAGCGTCTTTCTGTGCTTGATCTTCCAAATCAAAGACATCTGGTTTATCGCTGTTTTCAGCAATATCTGTAGACGATATATTGCCTGGCTGGTCGGTGGCGACGAGTGGGTCTGCATCGGTTGCAGATTGATTACTGCTTACTGCCTGCTTTTGACTCGCTACTGCTGTATCTTCATCTTGCAACTCCGGGCTGTCCGCATGATCTGCAGCGATCTCGGCGTACGTCTTGCCTTCACCACTCGCAGCTGCGAGGTACGCGTATTGGGATGCTAAACTGACTCTGCTGCTGAGATTGCAATACAGAGGCTGAGCCTCCTGGTGCTCGTCGTTGTGGCAAAGGCGAAGGTAAACATCAACAACCTGAGCTAGGGTGAGTTGAGCAGCATATTTCGAGTCTTCGCAAATGTGGAGACCGAGCCCGGGCACGTCCAACACAAGCTCATCGTGATGATCCAAAGTCCCAACCAAAATCTCACGACATGCTGCAAGCAGTTTGTCCAACGGCTCGAAGGCTAGCGAAGAGTCAGACAAGAAGTATACGCTCGAGGTGTCTCCAAGCATAGGCGGAAAGAGCGACATTTCTTCTTCCAGGTAATAGAGGGTTATAGGATGCATAGTCTTGGGAGTACTGGTCTCTGCATTGCTCTTGGCCGGTTCCTCATGGTGCTCCTGTCCCGGTTCTCCTGCATCAGCTGATACTAGAGACTCACCAGGGTGGATTGTAGCCTGCGTTTCGTGTGGCTCCTCAAGGATGTCTTGCCGTTCGGTTTGCTGTTGAAGAGGCTCAACTTGTTTAGGATCTTCTTGGCTCTGTGGGAGAGGGTCATGCTGCTGATGATCTTGTCCATCGCTTGGTTCTCCTAGGTACTCTTGAGGAACGTTGAGTGATTGGTCCTGGTCAAGGTTGTCGGCGAGTTGATCTCCGGTAATGGTATCGTCACTGACTGGGAGGTTCTCTGATTCATTAGTAAGGAAGTCGTGCTCTTCCGTTGGTTCGATTTGGTGGTCAAGGTCTTCTAAAATGACCTCAGCAGCAACCTCTAGATAGCCTGGCGACGTTTCATTGCTGTTGTACTCAACTATCCCGTCGTTCTGTGGAGGCCCAGCCCTAATATCATCTTCATCTTCGTAGAGGATATCCTCATCTTCATCATGTTGCACCACTTCAATCGAGCCATCCATGTTGTAGTCGATATCTTGCTGTTCGGATTGGTCTTGTCTTGTGTCATCAAACATATCGTCGTCGGCGAGAGCCTCGTCGAACTCGTCTTGCATGACATCGGAGGCCGCGTCGGCAGCTACCACGGTATCATCGATCATCTCGTCCTGCACGGAACCAATCACAGACGGTTCACGAACAGAGTCAAGCTCGATGTCGATATCGTCGACTTGCCGAAATGGCGACGAAGCCACGTCCATCTTGTCATCGAGATGAGACGCGTCCATGTCTAGAATTGCGAAGGAAGGGATTGCCGTCATCTCAGGCCCGAATGGTAGGGCGGAAAGAAGCTGGCGCCTTTACGAAGTTTGTTGCTCGTGTCTTGCCTACAGCCCGGCGTTGCGCTGCGATGTTTGAGGTGGGTGTGGCGCTGATTGCAGATGGAAATGGGCGTGAATAACTCAGGAATGATGGGTATCAGGAGGTTAATGGCAGTAGCTTTGGGCGCGTAGAGCGAGTAGCAAAGATGTCCTGCAGGTTTGCTGATGGCGGTGCACGCTCTTTTGAATCATTTCAGAGTCTGCTGTATGAGCGAAAGGTGAATCTGAATCTGAAGGCAGCAGCGGCAGCGGAAGCAGTTGGAGTCGCAGTCCATGTGAAAGAATGCGAGACTCGCTTGACTCTTGCCAAGCTTTCTCCGCCGAAAGAGGTTAGCGTGTCTAGGCACCGTTTGCGCTTCGTTTGGCGGAGTCTCACACTTCTCGCAGCTTCTTTCTCTCAGGCTCTGCGACTGTCTACAACCAGTTTGTGCTGCTGAAACGCATCTTTAGGCATGTTGCATCCTGCTTTGTAGCTATCTTGTCGCTCCGAAAAGGGAGCGCACGCATGAAGGGCTCGTGCAATCTTGAACAACCATCCACCTATCCTTTCTGATTATGAAGCTCGTGCATCAAGTTATATCTTGGGCTAAACTTGGAGGCTTTGGTAGGTCTGGGACATTGCTACCTCGGCGAACTATAGTTATCACGTATTTATACAGGGGGTATCTTAGTTCGTAAAGCCGTGTCACCATTACTTCATCATCTCATCTCGTGTCTCCCACATGATGTTAGACGCCGTTCCCATCCAACTCGAACCTCAATCAGAGCTCATCATCTTCGGTTTCTGTTTCGACCTCGAGCTGCACCTTGGTTTCCAGGTCCACAGACATACTCTTCGCGACTTTGACCTTAGTATCTTCCTCTTGGCTCACTTGCTCTGCCACACTCTTCGGATGCCGCTCCTTCGCTTCGTGATCCTTGTTCCTGACATGTCCGCGGAGCACATCCCTTCGATACTGGTAGAACCGATCAAGACACTCCCTTCTCTCGGCCTGCGTCCAGTTCTCGACAACCAGCGCAAAAGTGACAACGTCGTCGCCATACCCTGCCCACTTTGCCATACTGCAGAATTGTCTCTTCCTGACAGCCTGAGGCGGCCGGTATTTGTATTTGACTCCACCATCAGGTGTGTCGGTTTTGTTCTTACGCTGTCGTTCGTGGAAAACATTGTCATGAATATTTTCATACAGATCTTCGTCTTCATGGCTGTGTACCAGTTGCTGTGACGGCTCATCCTCGAAGACTTTTGCTTGTTGCTCCTGTGTGCCCCAACGCTCTTTGCTAGCTGCGGCTTCCTCGGCACGTTTCGACAGCAGCGCTTCGACCTTTGAAGAGCCGACCACCTCGCTGTTCTCATGCGTGTAGGAGACGCCAACCGAGGACAGAATCGCCTGTATTGGGTCATGTTTCTTGGCGGCATTCTTGGTCGATTGGAAGGGCGTCCCTGAGCGGGATCGAGACGGACGACTATCGCTGCCAATTATCTCCGCCGCAAGTTGGGACAGTGCTGCATCCTCCGTGTCGGAATCTGCCTTGGTCCGAGGTGGTTTGTCATCCTCGTCATTTCCACCGTCTTCATCACCGTTGCCGTCAGAATCCTCCTCGAGCTCTAGGTTGGCGACCCGCACATCAGCTTTGGACTCGGCAATGTTTGTCTTATTCACGATGTCTCGTAGTACCTGATTCTCCCCTTGGTACGCGAAGAGATTCTGCAGGCCAAAGATTTCACCTTTCTGATCTTGGCGGCCCTGGACACCTTGAAAATATCGCCTTTCGCTCGTTGCGTTGTACCCGATATTGGCTTGCTGTTGCTTGTAGATCTGCCGAGCGTAGACTATTTCCTCCAATGTACCTTGACTGATGAGTCGGAATACCTCGACGTCTCTGGTCTGTCCGATTCGATATGCCCGATCTTGAGCTTGCAAGTCATAGCTGGGGTTCCAGTTCGGATCGACAATAACCACTTTGTTGGCGGAGGTGATATTCAGTCCAACACCTCCGGCCCGGGTGCTTATGAGGAACACAAATTGTGAGGGATCGGTGTTGAAGTCTCTGACTGCCTTGTAACGCTCGTCGTACGCCATACTTCCATCCAAGTATGTGACGTTGAACTGGGTGCTGATGAACAGGTTTTGTAGCATCCTGAGTAAGCGAACGCTATGCGAGAAGATGAGCACCTTGTTGCCACCTTGGTCATGCCAAAAGGTGAGAAGTTTTTTCAAGACCCGCCACTTCCCGCAGTACTCTGGGTTGCCTGTGTGCATGATGCTGTCACGAGTCCGATAGATTTCCCGCCACTTGTCAGGCATGCAAATCTCAAGCATGTCGAGATCCTTTGCTTGCTTGTCTTTAGGGTCTGTTCCCTGAGGAATAAGGATCGCTAAATGATTGGACAAGTTTCGCAGAGTATTGATTGCGGGAAAGACCCAACTCTGCCAAGTAGTCCCATCCTCCAGTGACATGTGGCAGCACCAACCCGCCTTTTTCTTTGGCACTCGGTTGCAGTCACAGAGCTCTGTGGCATTCTTGACCAGCTGGCCGATGTCACTGTCGAGGAAATTTTGGTAGGCTTCTGCCTGAGTGGGTGTGAGGGGACAGAAGACCACACGATCTGATTTCTTGGGTAGCTGATGTTTGATGAGAGCTTTCGTTCGTCGAAGAAAGAACCTGGGTAACAAGTTCTGCACAAGGGCTTTCGCTGTCTTTCGGGCGATGGCTAGTTCATACTGAGTAGCATCGTGACTCTGACCCAACTTGAGCGGCTCGCAGATGGATTTCTTCCACGTCGCAATCGGTCCTAGTCTACCAGGATTCGTCCAATTAAGGAGGGTCCACAGCTCCTCGTATTTATTCTGAATCGCGGTGCCGGTTAGGCCGATATGGCAGAGTGCGTTGATGTCGTTCATGGCTATGGTGGTTGCGGATTTCTGTTCTTTGATGATGTGACATTCGTCGGCAACGACACAATCCCATTTGATCAGGTTGATCTCTTCTTTGTGGGCTCGATAGGTGTGATAGGTGGTAATCATAATTTCGAGCATGCCTGCTTCGGCTTGTAGGAGCGCATCATGCCTCTGTGTTGCACCACCATGATAAGTCTCGACATACCACCAACCCCAACGCTGGAATTCATCTTTCCAGTTTTCCATGAGGGTTCCCGGGCAGATGATGAGGGTTTTGGGGTAACGCTGGTTGGACCGGGCCATTTTTCGCATCCTCTTTTGGTCGCGTTCGTCGCCGGTCTTGCCATAAGCCGCGGTCAGGAACGCAATGACCTGAACCGTCTTACCCAGCCCCATGTCGTCACCGAGTATGCCACCTCGTTGATAGACAAAGAGCTCGTGCAAGAACTTCACACCGTCAATCTGATAGTCGCGCAGGAACTGGGCAACTGGTGCTGGAATGAGGCCTAGGGAGTTAGGGAGCTCAATATCCTTATAGGCTTTGGTGGCAGTCGACAGCGGAAAGTCTGGTCGTTCGACGAGATCTTCCAAGTGCTCCTCGTCGGAGAAGTAGACCTCGTCAAAATTAGGAGGTAGTTCCAGACCGCCTCTTTTGAGCTGCTTTAGGCGCGCGTCAAAATTGGCTCTTCGATCCCTTATGTACTCAGGCAATGTCCACTCCATCAGATCCTGATCGTCGTCAGTGTCTGCGTAGGCTTTCACTTTTCGACGCTTTCTGAAGGGTCCCTGTCGTCCCACACCCGTTGTCAATCTTGTCCTTCCCGCTTTGGGACGCGGTGCCAACTCTTCGTTGATTGTTTCGAGTATTTGTGGTGCTGCACCCTTTTTCACGTTCGCCCTGGGTTTTTGGTTCGTCTTTTCTGCTGACACTTCATGATCTTCATTCCATTCTCGCTCGATCCGGTCAAGCTCTTCATCGGCCGAGTCGTATTCGATCTGCGCGACTGTATCACGGCCAGAATAGGGCTGCTTTCTTGAACTGCGACCATGTGCATCGGAGGTAATGGCAGGGCTGTCATATCGACGCGGAGTCTCTGGGTTGATCGTCGGGGTCTTGGGGACGTCGACGAGAGTGTTCTTTGCAAGAGATGGTTCGGCTCGAGCATGTTTGTGTCTTATGCGGGGGGCGTCTAGATCGTCATCTTCGCTATCGGTGAACACCATCTTCTCGGTGTTTGGTGAGTCGGTGATACATAGCTAGGAGAGGTAAGAAACCCTGGAACCTGTTAGATAACCTCAGTCAAAAACCACAAAGAGGGGCAATTTGCGGGCAGTGAAAGCGTGGCAACGCGACTCTGGCAACGCGCTTTCACGTGATCACCTCGCTGCTATTTGCAATCTGTCCAACAACCGAATCAACGTTGACTTGACACTGGTGACACCGTGGTGACCATGACGTCCCCGTGCCAAGTCGCAAGTTAAGAGAGACTCTAGCCGCCTCCCGTCGGCAGTTGTGTCTTTATCCCACCTTACACCCGGAGAGTCGCCGTCGTGGCTGCGACGGCCGAAGCTTTTCGTGGCTTACAACCTTGGCCCAAGCTTGGTGGCAGCCCATACGGTAAGGCCATGCCGACGCAGTACTGATATAGGTCATTCATTCGCTGTGTTCTGGCATTGGCCGACTCCACTCCTTTCCGTCCTGTGAGTACTCGCCGTTCGAACTGTGCACGCGGCCTTGTGCGCCCTCGAAATCGGGTCCGTACTTGCTTTTATTCCCCATCCGGGGTTCGGCAGATAGATCCTCAAAAGCGAGTACCTGTAGTCCCATGGGGAAGTCTCTACTCCAATCTGACGCCTCGTGCTGGCACACAACAAACTTCCCCACTGCCGACGTTGGAGTGGAAGACTCCGCATACGTCTCCATGGCAGGACAATTGGGAGGCCCCACGGCAGATCACACGGCCACTGCATGAGAGAATTCATGATATCTTGAAGCTTCGTCGTCTCTGCTGTTGCGACTTCTACCCATCAAAATCGTCTGGCATCACAAGAAATCGCTAGTCATAACCATAGAGCGGCGATACCGACCAACAAAACAATGGGTTCGATCTCACACATGACGCTGAAGCGCAGCCCGCTGAAGAACTCCGGGGCAATCGACCATCTCGAATATGTCGATGTAACGCCGATTATTGGGCGCGAATACCCGACAGCCAAACTCAAGGACATGCTCAATGCCTCCAACGCTGAGGCTCAGCTTCGCGACCTCGCCATCACCATTTGCGAGCGTGGCGTTGTCTTCTTCCGCGCGCCCCAGGATGACCTGACCGTTGAGGAGCAGAAGAAAATCACCGATCTGCTAGGGAAGTTGACGGGCAGGCCCGAGGATCATGGATTGCACGTCCACCCGCTGTACAACGACCCCAACAACATTCCCATGGCCGACGGCACGACGGATGAGAACATGTCAGTCTACCTTTCGGCAGCGCGAACTAGTGTGCTGACATACAGGAAGCTATGTGATCAACTCGGAAGCCATGAAGAAACTATATGCAACCATGAAGAACCGACCTAACAGCACGAGCGAGCCAAAAGACCTGAGCAGAGAATGGCACAGTGACTGTCTGTTCGAGGAATGCCCGGCCGATTTCAGCTTCCTGCGCATGCAGGATACACCCCCGTCTGGCGGAGACACTCTTTGGGTCTCTGGTTACGAGCTGTAGGTTGCCGTCAGCTCGTGCTCGTCGTGCAGTCACTAACTTCTTCCAGCTACGATCGCGTCTCCCCACCGATGCAAGCCTTCCTCGAGTCCTTAACGGCAACGTGTGCACAACCAGTGTTCGAGTCCGCGACCAAAGCCGGTGGTTATGAAATCACCTCGCCTCGCGGCTCGCCCCTGAACCATGGCATGAATTTCGCCCCCGTGCACCCAGTCATCCGTACCCACCCAGTGACTGGCTGGAAGTCCCTTTTCGCGGGTGTCGGCCTGCACGTCTCTCGGATCAATGATGTCTATACCTATGAAGATCAGATGATCCGGGACTACGTTCTCAGGTTGATCACGCGGAACCACGACTGTGTCGCGAGAATGCACTGGACAAAGCAGGCGTGTGCCATCTGGAGCAATGCGTGCACGCTGCATGCAGCCACAGTATGTTTCCCACCCCACGTCACTCGCTGCATCTATCCCCTACAATCTCCATTCTAGATCTTCCAGGATGCTGCTGACAGATTATTTCAATCTAGCCCGATACACATCTCGTCGATGGAAACAGAACTGGCGTGCGCGCCTCGGGTATTGGCGAAAGGCCATATCTCGATCCTGCGTCAACGGGGAGGAGGGAGGCCCTCGGTCTGCCCCGAGTCTAGCTTGCGAAACGATTGTGCGTGGATCATGCTGGCCGAACTGCGAACTGTGACGTCCCACCTCGGCAGCCCCCGCATTTACAGTACGAATGGCCAAAAGAAGCTGCGAGCCCTGGGCCTCGAAGGCATATAGTTGTAGCCGTCGATATAACTGAGCACGAGTTTTAGTTTCAATGGAGTGTATAGACTGATATCTTCAATGTATTGAGCAAATTCTCGCTCGTTCCTAATGTACCTTGCGAGCCTTGCCAAGCAGACAAGAAAGTTCACGTGCTCGACCGTGCTCTGCTATCCTCTACTGTCAAGCAGATTAACAGCACGCGCGCATCCCGCGATATATGCAGCCTTGCCAACGAGGCTGTGCTCCCCTTTCTCCCGATCTCCGCCCCCACGGGGCCCGCACGACGAGCATTTTGTGACACAAGACAACCCTTGTCGATCCGCGGCAGCTCGCGAGATCTTTCCCGTCTCTAGGACGATGCATCGACCTTGAAATCCCGAACGTCGAGAGAGAAGATGCCATCGCCGTGTTTCTGGAGCCGCCCCGTCACCTGTGCGGTCACGCCCTTGGGATGGTCCGCCACTGCCGCGAACAGGCGATCGTACGCACGGGCCTCTGCTTCCGACACGGGTTTCGGGGCATTGGCGTGTCGATCCCATTCAATCTTGCTAGCTGCCTGGAACGGCGCGAGGAACAGCTCCGGTCGCGTCGCGGTACCAGCAAGCGATAGCTGCTCCTCAGGACCAAGTTGATGTTTGGCAACGTGGCCGAAAAGCGTCAATTCGATGCCCCGCATGACATACTGTTTGTTTGCCACGGATTCGAATTCACGCCTCCACATGTCGATGTCCGGCAGGACGTCTTGCTTGAGGTAGACGAACGCGACTGAATCGTCCTGGCTCGCGACGCGGCGGACCACGTCGATGTCCTTGACGGCCTGCAGCCCGTGGTAAGCCCCGGACCAGCACGGACCCAGTCCATAAGGGCACGCGGGCGTGATGCCCACGATGACGGCCGGTCGGGCTTGTTCGGCGATGACTTGTTGGTCGAGCGCGTGGAAATCGACTTCGAGGTCTTTGGCCCGGGCTACACGTTTTGTAATGGCCGCCTGGTCTTTGTGGACGACATGCCCTGCCGGATATCCGATGTGCATGATGTGCGCCACGGTCGGCACGTCGAGCTGGTTCAACACGAAGAGCATATAATGACCTGGCGGTGTCAGGTTGGGATCGGTGGGAGCTTGCACCGTGAGCTTCGGGGCCTTGTGATCCGAATCCAGGAAGATGAGTGATTGACCAAAGTTGGCACAATGCGTCACCGAGCCGAGGCGCACCCAGCTCACTTTGCCAATCGAGTCGCCGGCGGCAAGGGTGACGTTGACTTCAAACGTCTTGGTCTCATACGTGGTGCTCTTCGGCGGCAGTGGGGCTGAGATGACTGGCCTGACGGGGCTTTTGTACAAGTAGGGCGGGTTGAAGATTTGCGCGTCGGTGTGAGAATTGGGTCCCATTGCCCCGGCGCCCTCGCCAGAACCGGCTGAGAACACTCGGCCGTCGGGCAGCAGTAGTGCGACGGAGTGATAGCAGCGATCGACATCCTCCGGAGCCATCCAGGTCCATTTTCCGGTCTTGGGATCCCATAGTTCCGCCCGGTGCTGCGGATTCGGATGATCTGTATTGTTGAACCCTGTCCCTGAAGTGCCTCCGGTCACCAGCACGGTGCCATCCGGTAACACAGTACCGTTGTGATGCGTCCTCGCAACATTCATGGGCGTTGCCTCCGTCCAGTCAATATCCTCCTCGTTTATGTTCAGATCCAGTAACTCGACCTTGTTGGTAGGTTGGCTGTTCGGTTCGCTGTTGACCCCACCTCCGATGAAAATGACCTTGCCCTTGTCATATTGAACCGAAGGGGCGTACTCACGCCAGGCGGCAGCACGTTGGGTCTTCAGCAATTTGAACTTACCCGAACCCGCGCCACCGTTGACCCCTGTGAGGACCTGCAGTTGTGCTTGTGGCCCTGTTATAAAGACATCGCCCTTCGGACTTATATGCATCTTCGGATAAAGGGGAGGAGGGTTTTTCAGGCCTTCGACAGGCATCCACTTGTCACTGGTCCGGACCTGCGAATTCGGGTTGCCCTGGTAGTTATTGGTCGAGGATCCAGACATAACGAAGGCGTTACCATCAGGGAGTGTGATCGCCGAAGGGTACCAACGACCCACTTCCTCCTGCATTGGGCCTATGTCGGTCCATGTGTCGGTGCCAGGATGGAATACACAGGCCTGATCACTTCCGAAGCCATCCTTGATATGCCCGCCGAAGACGATCACCGTCCCGTCGGGCTGATGGCAGTGGCCAGAGCAGAAGAGATTGACGCCATTCTTCGGCTGAGAGGCCGTCATCTTGCTTTGCTTGTTGCTGAGATCCAAGAGGTAAGCTTTGGTTTCTTGCACGTCCCAGTCTGTGGCTGTTGGGTTAGGGACCAAGGGTGTCCTTCGTCGACCCCAGTACAGGATCCTGGTATCAGGTAGCAGGGTGGCATGAGCGGCGACATTTTGGAGGTCGAACTTCGGTTCCCAGAACCCAATTTGTTGTTTGGACATTTTTGCCTTGGGGAATGTCTGACTCTGTCCTAACCACAGGAGGGATTCGAGTCCTCGAGACCAAAGACCAGAGACGGCACAACCGTGTGTCCTTGGGAATTGGTGCCGGCCACAAGTGATGGCTGTCGAGCAGAACAGATATAGCAGGAACAAGAGGAAGACCTCGAAGGATGATATATAGGCATTCGCATTCCGAGTTTGCGCCAAGCTCCTCGACCACGTCCCTCGCGCCTTCAGCATATAGATCCTCCAATGGACTAGTTCCACATCTCTCCCTATTTCTTTCAGCTCTTGATCATCACTGATCCGACTGATAGGGAACAAACGCCCAAGATGGCGTGAGGCCCCTCCAAACCCCGCTTGGTTCGTGATGTGAAGGTTTATCTTCAGCCAGCCACGAGCAGAGGCAGGCCAAGGAGGCCCTTCTGGACTCCTCCAACCTCCTTGGATATTTGCAGGTGGCACATCGTAGCTCAGCTGAAGAGCATCAGTTTATACTTCTTTGGCAGTGACAAAAGAGCTTAGAATGTGCTTAGCATTCTATAATTGCGATTGGTCCGGAACAGCTTGGTCCACGGTGTTCGCCACACAACGAGGTAGTACTGGTGGTGCGTATTGCACTGATACGATTAGAGAACAGCTCGAGGCGTGGTCGATCGGCGTTTTCGACGACCGGTGTAAACTTGCTACAATGTAGATAGAATCAAGAGATGGTTGACCGGCAACAGTGCCTCCAGGGTCAATACAATCTAAGCTTTGCCCAGTTTGCTCGTCAATGCATAAATGGACGGCACAAAGAAATACTCCCCACCCTTCATCGTCACCAGGCTCGAGATGTCGCTAATTGTGGTTACCTTATGGTCCTCGCCTTCAAAGTTGCATGTCAATTTCACATGGGGTCCCCGTTGAGCCACGAAAACGTCGTATCCAGCGTTATCTCTGGGAAAATTATCTTTATTTGCCCAAGCGATTTGGAGGAATCGAAAACCATTGTCAATGCTACTTTGATAGCATGCGAAGAGCAGACCACGCTTGTTTGTCGGCGCTTCGGAATATTCCTTTCCATACGGGATGCCACTCCGGATAATGCGGGCATTGAGGGCGAATTGAAGGTCGTCATCGCGAGGATTCATTTTGCGGATATGGGCGGCCATCGGACATATGCGATTGTCCGTAAACTTGAAGCTGTTGTCGCCTTTAGGATCGGTTGCTATGTCCTTTTCAAAATTACATGATGACGGGTGCACCTGTGCCACTCAATCAGTCCATCATCTCGCTGCAACAATCGAAACATCAAAGCAGCTTGTAGAGTAGTGCCTACCACTCGGCCAACGCCCCATCAACTTCGCAGCAAAGAGTGGAGCATTGTCGCAATGTGCCTTGGCGTGGTTCTGCTCAATAAATTTATTGAAACCTGCAACGTCCTGTTCAAGCTTGCGAAAGACGAGGAAACTGCCGTCAAACATCCAGTCTGGACGCTTGAAAGCGTTGCCTTGCGCTTCCGGCTTCGGGTGCAACCCAGGCGGGTCATTCGAGGCCGTGATTACCCTTTGTGCGGTGTGCATGAGTACGTCCTTGGCGAAGACGGCAGGCCGATCAATATCATCAATGCCTTCCAGCAAGGGTTGGGAAATCGCATCCTCGAAACCGAAGCTGAACGAAGTACTGGTTAACATCACGAATCAGCAAACTTCGAGCTTGGTTTATCTTACTGTTCACGGCCGTTGAGCTGTTTATCTTTAGGTCTGACTTGACCATCCACCCTGGAGTTCTCGGTTGTTGGCTCTGACGAGTAGACAATATCATTGATGACCGTCCCGTGGCCAAGAATCGCCTTAATGTTGTGCAGCTTGGTGTTGATTATGGCTGGGTCACTCCCAGCGATCTTCAAAAGTCCATGGATGTCCTGGCCGAACAGCGGGTGCCATTCTTCCAGAGGTGGATCGTGCATCTTTGATGGGTCTTCTTGCTTCATGCCCAAGAAAAAGGCAGGATCCGAGATCTTGATTTTCGCCAATTTCAGATCATCTCCACCCAGACCCGCTTGGATCTTTCTCAAACCTTCCATCGAGAAAGCGATCAAGGCGTTACAAACGTCGATTATCTCGCCTTTCGGTGTAGCATCGACCTTTTTCCAATCGTCAAGGACTTTAGTCAGATTTGATATTTCATTAGATTTGCCCAGGTCAGTCAGTTTCTGGGGGAATACTGTCTCTTGGACGATCGAGAAAAAGTAGTACGTCTCGTGGATTTTCGGGAATCCACGGCTAAACAGATCGCCCTGCACATTATTGCGAAAGTTGGCGTCGACGGGCGCCATTGCTGTGATACAGTGGTGATAGAGCGCTGTTGCACGTCCAACGTAGAGCTTCGAAGAAGACGAATTTGCTGGTTCAAAGTGTTGGTAGTGCGCAAATGTCAGGCACATACTGGGAGCCTGAAGGTACCTATCAGAAACTACCGACTCCATTGATGTCCGTGCTGCAGTTGTACACCTCAGATCTTTCAGCACTCTAATTTCCCCCTAGCGACTACCAACCGAGTAGGAAACATGCCGTCCAGTCTCTGCAAGCCACAACCTCGGAAGTAGGATAAACCAGAACCCTATCACCATGGCCTCTGGAGGAGCCTGGGGTCATCGGGCGAGGCCCATCATGGCTGGCTGAACATGCAGATCCAGATGTACATTCCGTGGCGGGCTGAATATTCAGTATAGACCTGGATAGTGCCATGTGCGACCTAGAGCTCGTCCAACTTCGCTCAAATCGGGAAGAGCATGTCCTGAGGAAGATGATCTCATCACGCCGCGCAGGAATGACATTGGATGAAGTGATATGCAGCATCACATGGCGTTCGGCAATAAGCGTGGGAGGCAGTAAGCGAACGGGAGGGTCAAAGGTCTAGATTCGATCACCGCAGCTTGTGGGCGTCTGTGTAAGGGTGTGTGGTGGAAGCTCAGCCTATAAAGCCACGGTCAGCGGTCCTATTGGAACCGGGATGGTGAATGCTCGCATGAAAAGTCAAAGGAAGACGGAGTACGGAGTAGCTGAGATTTAATCCGTGGTGGCGTTTCTTTGTAAAGAAGGTGGTTAAGTGAAGCTTTGTTTGGGTATCGTTAGCGGTGCGGGGGTTCCAAGCCCCGCATGCCCCGGGCTTCAAGTCTGTGCCCCCTGTGGCGCCTGGAGCTGTTCACCACCTAGCTGTGTGGCTGGGCAGCCAACAGTGACAAAAAAGTGAATGACAAAAGTGATTCATGGAAGGGTGAGGAGAGCACGGAGACTAAGCCAGAGAGTGAGCCAGGTCATATGATGCATTAGTAAAGCGGCAAGGTTACCGGCCCAAATGGGTCCATATTCGCCGCCTCATACCAACACCACCGCCACTGATTCGAACGCCGCCAGCTGCACAGTACACAGTACATCGCTCATCGCTTGAGCGCCTCACCACCGGAGGACGGATTCCACGCTCCTCTCTCCTGGATAGGCACTCAAGTACCTTGGCTTTCTGCCACGTATCCTAACAGCATCTTAGTCATGCGGCTCTGCGGTGCGACTCCCCCTCGTCGCTCCGTGATATCTGATGATCCTTCGCCTGCGTTCGTCAAAGTCAACATGAGCTCTCAGTTAACCCCATCAGAGACACGAAACTTGCACCATTCTGGCCCTTGTCGCCGTGTGACATAATCTTGTGCCAGACTCGCTCTACCCTCACCTGGAACGACGTCCATTCGATTCCACCGAGAGAGTTCTGGTCCTGGACCGCGATGCATGCACCTTCCATTCGAACTCGTCTGTGTACACAGTACTATATTTGATTCCCACGGTGCTTCAACTAATCTTAAGTTCGATTGGCCCACGCGGAAGTCTTGGCGCCGAGGTGCTAGCAAGGAGATTTCGGTCCCTGATGATGAGCCACTTCTTGTCGCTTCCTTCATGCTTTGATCTCTTCTGTGTCGGAAGAATGAAGGCCACAAGACCGGTACAGTCATTATGCTATTGTTCTTACGCGCAATTTCTCTCGCTACAGGATTCTCTGTTTCATGAGCCTCCCTGCTTAACCGCCGAGTTGGCCCCCTAGCACACCATGTGGCTTGTTTCAGGCTTCCCGTCGCTCCAGCATCGGCCGCTACTGCCACGCTTTTCCTGTGCTTCTCCACTGTTTTATCCTTCTCGCAAGTGTTGCGAGACGTTTCCGGCTCAGTTTCTGGCACAGCCCGCTCTAATTGTGCTGTGGAGATGGTCCACATCTTTAGAAGCCGTTCGCATGATTGGAATCCCGTTTCGAACGGTCAAGTCTTGACTTTTCGCAGTTGCGAAACTCCACGGTTTGTTCTTCCTAACTTCTCTCCTGATCGTCGCTGCCCTTGGGCGCAAGAGTCGGTATGGCTTCATTACCATCAACAAATGATCGGTCTTCCTACAGTGACAAACAGGTCGTGGCGAGCATGGACCATGGCAAAGAAGTTGTCGCAACCACCCAGCCTTATCCCGACGCGTACACATATGCTAATCCCAACAATACCAACAATGATAGCTCAAGAGGCGGAGGAGACGGAGGTCTTGAGGTTGTTAACGATCTCCTTGCGAGCGATAATGCGAGGCCAGCGTGGTCCGGACAGAATCCAAAACGGAGGATATGTGGGCTCAGCAGGAGGGCTTTTATAATTGTGATCGCAGTTGTGATGGCATTGGCTGTGGCTGCCATCATCGGAGGCAGTGTGGGAGGCGCGCTTGCCAGTAGAAATAATTCAGGGAGCTCTCAAGGTCAGGCTGATGCTGTAGAGGTGAGAAGGATATATCCCTCCTCCCTTCCCACTGACTGTGTACTGATATCTCTGCCGTGCAGTCGAGCAGCACGTCTGCAGCGACCACGCAGACCACCGCAACAGCAACCAGCACAACACCGACTACTACGAGTACAAACGAGCCGGTGATCCCCCCAACCATCTCATCGTCGTCGGTATCCTCGAGCAGGACCTCCACCTCCACCTCCTCTGCCGCGACACCCACTTCCTCCGAAGGAAGCTACAACTGCCCCTCAGACAACAACAAATCTTACGTCTCCTCCCTACTGAGCGATGCAACCTGGACTATCCTCTGCGACACAGACTGGCCGGTGGGCGTCGACAGCTTCAGCGGAGGAACTGTAGAGGACATCACTGCCGTGGTGGCGTACAGCATTGAATCTTGCATCGACCAATGTGCTGCATACAACGTTGCTGGCGGCCCTTGTGGGGCGGTTGTTTACGGCGCCAATATTACCCTTGCACTTAGCAGGGGCGGGGTCCAAGGCAATTGCTTTTTAAAAAGTGAACGCGGAGCAGAGAATATTTTTGATAATAGCGGGCAGGTAGAGGCTGCGTATCTATCCTCGCAATAAAAAAGTCGTGGTCGAAAGACGGCCAACTCAACTGCATACCACGTCCGGAGTGCTTGGACTTGATTGGTAACATACCTGGTCACCGAAGAAAATGCCTGGTACAATCCCAGCCTGACAGGGACAGAGCACCACCGACTCGATGCCAAAACGGGGATTCATAGCAGCATTCATGAATTGTCCGGCCCGTCACGTCGGGGGCCAACACCTGAAAGACGTCGAATGCTGCAAGTGCATCTCGTCGCCCCACGCCGCTCACGACTACTCAGCCGAGTTTCTCAGGTTCATACAGAGATAAACGTACTATCGAAACCTAGATCGCCATCCAATCCTTCGATCAAAACCGGAGCGCACGACTTCCTTGAATACCCGCCGATACAAGTCCGAAAGTCGGACCTGATGAACATCAGCTGACAATGGGTACAGCTTCTGGGGTTTTGCACTTCTGTAATCATTCAGAGAATCCTCATTCAAGGATTCTCTGGGTGAGCATTCTTGTACAACCATGGGCCAATCAATCATGCATTGTTTGCGGGAATACATTGATGTTCCCCGGGGCACAAGCACACGCTGAGGCTACCTGACTGAACTGAATAAAACGTTTGCGGGGCTGTCGAGGAGACCTGAATTCCACAGTACATTGAAGGATCCTCTACCCGTGTGGGTTTCCAGGTTTCTGGTGTCCACTCGCAGCGAACCATGTACGAGGAGGTAGAGGACAGGACGGACGAAGGATTGAACGAGTGATTGACTTGTGATATGGTTTGTTGGGATGAGGATTGTCGAGCATTGCATCTTCCCTAGACGGGCGCATAGAGCGGTCGCTATTTGGTGGTGAGTGGCTTTCGGGTGGCTTTCTACGGAGTAACGTCCACATATTCCAGCCAGGCGAATACATATGGCGCTAAGAAAGCTGACGGGTTCAGCAGCCGTGTGACTAGTATCTAAGGTCTCACTTACATACTGAGTAATGTGAGTACTGTATGGTTTACTAACTGGTGAGTCGGAAGCTTCCATAGCGCATGCAGCGTTAGTGGCATCATGAGCCCCTATCAGTGTCTTGGCGACTCATTATCTCTTGACTGTCAACTTTCTTCCACTTTACCTTCCCTTCACTCGACCCTCACACAGCAGCAAGTAGCACCTACCGATATTTGAAAACTGACCCATTTCTGGTGACTAAAGCATCCCTGGGGCCGCGTTCTCCTTTTATATTGGAGAGCGTCATTGGGTTTGTCCTTTCGTCGTGACCCAGCTTGGAAATACTCGGATGCTGAACCGTCAGCAAGTATTTGAAGCACAGCTTCTGGTGAGAACTTCTGCTACTCGGATATGGGCATGTTCTACAGGCCCTACAGGTGCTCAATGTCGCAACTCCGGCCCGTCTCGGGTGTGATGGACCGAATATAACCCTGCAGGAAGACCTATGACAGTGACCTCGTTGGTTCTACTTCATTTACGCGTTGTATTTTCTTTCAGGACTTTGCAAGGACTCTTTTGCCCCTTCTCCGTCCCCGCAAAGCCCGATCCAACCCAGTCTGGAGCCATGACCGCAATCCCTACCAGCGATCGATGAGCAGCGGTTACGGCTTGCCACTGAAGCCACAACACACGCCAGTGTTGGTGGGTGCACGACAGGGATAAATACCGAAAGTTCCTCATGGCAGGCGCGTCTACCCAGCTTCAAGGCGTCTCCTTTTTTCCTGTCAAGTCCAACTCGAAATCGTCGACTCGGACTATTCGCAGCGTCGACGTCGTGCGTCGGGTGACTGGTCGATAGACGCCTTGTCCTGACCTTGGGCTTCTTGTACACCGTCTCATTGATGGACCGTGCGAATCTCTCGAACGCCATTGTCGCTGGTATGGGCCTCGACGTGAGTTCTCCCGCGTTCACACAAGACGATGCTGCTTCTGGTGGAGCTGACACCATCGTTCCATCGACTGGGGTACCAAGTACATGCTAACCAAGATGCGCAGCTACGCCTTTTGGCAGCCAGTCCTCGGTCATTGTCGGTGTCTTCTTCCCCACCTACGTCCTACTGCAACCGCCTTCAACTGGTGTGATCCGAAACATCAGACCCAGAATCATTTTGCCAACTATTACACTACTGCGGGGTATGACTCTGCTGGCCTTCGGCTTCATCAGGGATTAGTCTCGCGCACTTACTGCCTAGGATGATCATATACGCAGAGAGATAGAGATGCAAACATTGCACACCAAGCTGTCGGAGTCATCTACCCTGTCCTACGGCACGTCGGGCCTGTTCAATATCACTCCCACGCACAATCCTAGCGCATTCGCGATTTTTGACCAAGTATTCTCAAAAAAGGTCGCTCCAACGATCATACAGCACACGCAACAGATCAAGAATATCCTGCGAGAACTCAAGCAAGCCGCCCAACGAGAAGCTTAAGGTGCCTGAGATCGCCCACGCGGCCTCGGACCCGTAGACTGTGGGCTCTGACCTCGTCACATCAGTCAACCAATACACGAAGTCGTCGGATGATGTCCAAAAAAGGGGCCTCAACACGAGGATCGTCTCGGACTCGTGCCGGATGATCCACCGGAAGAGGACCGTGAATTGGTACCAGTTGAGTTCTCGACGGGTCGCGGGCGCAGAGGCCAGAATGTCGGCCTTCTTCGCCTTGGACCACTCTGTCGCTGTCGCTTCGGCGAGACCCCATGCATAATCGTGGGCCTGCATCATCGGTAGGTCAGCTGGGCTTAACTTCACAACTTTGTAGTGGGAACTTGGGGTGGAGCTGGAGAGGGCTGTGGCCTGGGTGCGGTTGAGAGTGAAAAGAAGGACTGGCCCAATACAAATGGCAGAATAGGTATAAGTCAAGACAGTGCTCGTCCGTGCTTCGGGATATCACAAACACACACTCGCTCACTCACCTCTCTAGTCGTATATTCCCCGTCTCTCATGCCGACCAGGAAATCTCGCCACAGTGTGGTCCCCGGATTGCCGCCAGTTTCGGTACTCAGTCCCAGAGCCATGGCGCCGCCGCGCTGGATGGCCTCCACGATGCCCGTGTCGACGTAGCTGATCCAGCTGTCCGGGGCGCCGAGGTTCTTGCTGATGAAGAAGGTGATGACGCCCTCGATGGCGCGGAATTGGTTCGCCGCGTTGAGCGGGCCGAAAAACGTGCTCTGCATGTACCGGACGTAGGTGTGGCGGTCCTGCATGGTCGACGCTTGGATCTGGTCAAACGTACAGTTGAGGGCTCGTTGGCAGGCGGGCCACCCTGCCTGGCGTGTTTCGAGGGATGATGCCGAACGAGTCGCTGAGCCGGTCACGGTTGCGACGAGCGACGCCAGCGCGAAGAGTGCTTTGGAGAGCTGCATCTTGGGTGAGGACTTGATCTGTCTATTGGTTTCGGCTCAGCAGCGACAGCAATCACGAGAAGCGAACCTACGCCAGCGTACTATGCTCAACAGTCAAAACCGCGGACACTTCAAGACAACCTGAATGGCGATACAGGGCGGCATCGCACATCGCATTGACGGATCAGTCTTGGCCGTTGGATTGTTCGGCACCCCGTATTTGCTTACACACTCAAGTCACCGGCATGCAGCACCTTCAGCTGCTCAGTTGCCCAGACTCCACGTAGGAGCACCTGCATACTTGGCGGCCGCGTTCACGTCCGCCGGGCGCACCGGGCGGCACAAGCGAAGAGAAGCCGAGACAGCGGAACTTGGCATCACAGGGATCTAGGCGAAGGAGGAGGAGCAATACGAAGAATACCGCCTTCATTCGTTCTTGCGTCCTTCGTATCCAGCGCCTGAGCCTGAGCCTGAGCCTGAGCCGGATCCCAATATTATCACCACTCGACAGAGAGTAGTGATTAGCGGTTAAGCTTTGAGATTACCGCGAGACAAAAACCCAAGATTACCAGGAGGAAGCACATAAATTGATTGGTATGTGGTTCGTTGAAAGACGACCATGACGAACAAAACTATCAGACTTTTGCGGCACGTGCCGCCAGGCCGAAGAACTCTCCTCTCTTGACAGGCACTCGCGAGGATTGATCACGGAATGCTCCATACTCTATATGGGGTGCTCCAGTCACCTTGTTTGATGCTCAAGGCCAAGTTTGCAGCCCTCCGTCACTATCGTAGCCTCTGGATATACACTGTACACAAGTCGCAGCCCGTACCTCAAGCTGAGGTCCTTTTCTACACGGTCCAGCCACGTCTTGGTAGAGTACTTTCATTGGCGGGTGAGTCCTATATAGGTACAGCGCGAGTCAAAGATGGAGTGGCGCGCCTCTGCTGTACGTACTCCGTAGAAGCTCTTGAATCTGTTTTGGTTTCCACGATGGTGTTATAGTACATTTGTTCAAAGCTGACGACCAGTATCCACTGGTCAGTGGTGATCACAAATACAGTACCTTCTCCAACCAACCCATCATGCTTACAGTACTGTGTTACTTGCCACGTTTTGCACCAAGCTCTGCTCGACAAATACCGACTTTTCCTCCTCCAGTGCCAAACTAAGCAAAAGCATCTTCCCGATCCGCCCAGATATCCTCCAGCTCATTAAAACTGCTAAAGTGCACCGGCCGATGCAAATCGTCATAGAACCTCTTTGGCGTGTCGATCTTGACATAGACAGGTCTCTTCTCGACGGTCGAGAACTGCGCGCCCATGAAACTATAATTCCACACGTCCGTCTCGGGGACCAGGAAATACCCGCGTATCTTGTCCGAGAGGAGCAGTTGAGTCTTGACACCAAACGAAGTCGAAAATCCAGCAGGGTTGTCAGATTGGGTATCCTTGTTTTGGGCACCCCACGTGTAGCCCTGCGGAGTGAGAGACCACGAACTGAGCGAGACGGAGCCGGGTGTGAAGTTGACGGTCAGGGTGATTGTCTTTTTGTCCCACGTCGGATGCTGAGCCATCAGGCGGGAGTGCATGGTCACGTCAGAGGCCGGCATGTAAGATGTCTCGTTTCCCGACGCGGTGTGGATTATGCCCAAGGGTTCCATGTTCTTCAGATATTCGTGCTGAGGTAGTTGTTGCGGCAGCTGTACCTCGCGTGTGGAGCCGACTTGAGGCACCAGCACGATTGTGCGAATCTCCTTGACTTGGTCGTTGTCTGGCGGCGACGAGCCGTAGAGGTACCCAGCCACTTGGACACGTAAGTCGGCAATGGTGATGAATTTCTTGAGGACGTTTTTGGGCAGGATGTAAGTGTACGATTCCTCGGCCTCCTGAACATCGTCACCGGAAATGTAAATGTTGTTCGCACGAGTTCGGAGATTCGAGGTGGCAATGGCTCGGGTTCGCCATTCGGTCTTCGACGCAAAGGATTGCTGCTCGTATTGAGACGTGGTGGTGACGATGATTTCTTCACCTCGGACGTTCTGCGTCTTGGTGGTCACGGCAGTCAACTGTTGCTGTTCCAGTTGCTGCTTCTCAATCTCGGCAGCTTGTTGTCTTTGCATGGACGGCGCCGAAATCTCCATACCCAGGATGATATCGCGCACTTCGCTGCTGGTCAGAGACTGGACATTGACATTGTTCTTCTTGCCGTAGTCGTTGAGGATCAAGTCTCTCAACTGGACTTCTACCTTGATCCAGTCTTCATCCGACAGCGTGGGCCAGATGTGATGTGCCTGAGTGATGACGGTCTTGTCAGGTCGCAGAAGCAGCTTGGTTTTATCCGTGTTAACGTGCAGAGCGCGCAGGATGAGGATCAGCCTCGAGAAAGCCGTGTACGAGGAGATCGTCTTCAGCCACTCGTCATACAAGTTGAAGAGCACCATCTGTGGCTCCTTGGCTTGTAAAATCATGTCCGCCAACTTCTCGACCTTCATTGCAGCCTGGAAGGGCAACTGAAGTTCTGAAGCGCGGATCGAAATGTTGGGGAAATCCAGCAGGTGAACCTCCAGTGGGTCAAGGAGACCCTTCCGCGTGACAATCAGCTGCTTGGGCTGTTCTTCGACGGGCAGAGATCTGATGAGCGCTGCTACTTCCTCGGCCGTCTTCCACTTGGCTAGCTGTCCAAGACGCTTCTGACCAGCCCAAACGCTGGTGTGAATGATCTTCAAGAACAGCTGGCCAGTTTTCGGGTTGAATATAAAGATAGCACCATTGATCGGTTTCGTCGTCAGATTCCCCTCAAATGTCTTGTGGATGGTCACCTACAAATATATTAGTACGTATACTGTTTGACTGGAGCTCGGGGAGAGGAGTCTTTGAATGCATCAAAGAGGAGAATGTCTTACTCACCCTGTATACGTTGGTATCGTCAATAAACAACTGCGTCTGGTTGCTAAACAACTCCGAATAGTTCTGAGAATTGAGGAACTCTTGTGTACTCTCAGAGGCATAGAGCTGAAGACCTTTTCTGATGCGCTCGCGTAGCACATAGAGAGCCGGGTTGGCCTTCATGATCTTTGCCATGGCCTGCTGTATCAGAGCCTTCAGACCGGGGAAGTATTGTCCATAGGCAGAATAGAGGTTATATGCCAAATCGATGCCGATCATCAACCCAGTCGCGGAGGGATAGATACTCATGCTGTCGGTCGTATAGTCGAGGTACTTGGCTCGGACGTAGCGTTCGATGTCGTGGGAGTCGTAGTCACCGTACCGCAGCTGGACGTCGACCCAGAACTTGTTCGTCGTGTTTGCTTCGATCTGATCCTTGGTGTCGAACAGCAGGGATGGCCGTGTGACATTCCACTTGTGACTGGCGAAGAGCAGGATATCTGCGCACGAGCTGTTCATCTTGTATGACTTCCTGGGATGGATGGTCTCCTTTTGCACAGTCTCTATCCCCAACTGCTCGAGTTCTTGATCGAAGACCTGGCACAGATCCATGACAACGCTCTCGTGGATCTTCTGCCACAAGTGGGCTCTGAAAATCTGGATCAAAGAGATCTTCAAGGTTGGAATCTTGCCATGCAAGAAAATACCAGTCAGATCGAGCTGGACCTGAAACCCAACATAGACGTTTGCACGGTTGATGGTTGGCGACCACCACAGAGTGAACCGTCGGTTCGGAATCTGGTTGAGACCAGAGCGCTGCGCGTTGGTAAGCTTCTTGAACTTCATCGATTCTTCGAAGCCGCTGGCACGCTCCCAGAAGAGACCCTCCCACGAAGGGAACGCCGTAGCTTTAAACAGAGTATGCTCCAGGATGGTCTCGACGCCGCCCAGCGCCTGGATGACATCCGTCCTATAGGCATTCAAGTTCCACAATTTTCCATCATGCCTCTGACTCGTCCACCAGAAAGGGTTGCTCTTCATCAGTTGATATTGTTTGAACTCGGTGCGAGCCCGGAACCCCTTGTCGAAGGACAAGGTACTCCTGTCTTTCTGGAAGAGCGTGTTAATCCGGGGGAGACCTCTGTCCCAGCTATCCTCGAGATCTTCGAGCGTCAGACGGCGATTTTGCTGATTTGCTTCCATTCGCTTCTGGGAATACTCCGTCCATACTCGCTGCGAGTCGATGAACTCGGCTTCCCAAGGGATGATGTACCGGAAGATGTTGGGGATCAAGGTCTCCTCATCATGAGACATACCCGATCGATAATGCGTGACGCCAGTATCTGTCTGCTTGGACCATCGCTTGTCGCTTGTCGGAATCAAGATGTGAGAACCGGAGATCATGCCTAAGCCGCCCAGTTCCTTTGGTGTGTAGAATACAGCAGGCGGGAAACGGGAAGGCATCTTCGAGTTCAGGCCAATCTTGACACGAGTCTGAATCTTCGTCTCACACTTGACAATGGTGTCCAACAGGTTGACGGTGGAAACAGCAGCTTCTCTGTAGTACGTGAACAGAGCAATCAAGGTGGTGTTCCACTTGTTTGCAATCTTGGTGAAAGTAGTACTCCCAGACGACATGAGAATCTGTCTGATGCGATTATTGAACTTTGAAATATCTTCTTCGGTCACTTGCAAGAACGCGAATGCGGTCCTTTCCTTGGTCTCATTGTTGGCAAGAGCCCAGACGCTGTCCTTGACCGGGAACTCGTCGTTCTGGTTTCGAAGTTTCGGCAAGATTCTCACCTCGAAACCGCACATGGAGAAGAGCAGATTTGGATTGTCACGCGAATAGACACTTGCAAAGGTATCGTCCCATTCGATCGTGGTGATGGAACGAGGCAGTCTGTTCTTCAGGTCCCAGAATACGGCACGACCGAGATTGACGTCGTGTCTCATCAGCCTCATCCTGGAATCTCGGGGCCAGCACTTTTTGTTCCTATACCCGATCACATTCTCGAAGTTGGGATCCGGCTGCTCGGTCAAGAAGCGCTGGATTAGATCCTTCGACTCTTCTGCACTGAACCTGAAGAAGACCCAAATTTTGTCGATGTATCTGGTGTACAGTCGGATGGGGTGTCTGGTCTCGGTCTCTCGGTCACGGAATTGCAGGAAGTCGTTCGGGCTCTGAGGCGGTCCAGCCAACTCGGAAGCTCGCTGCAATCCAAGTAGAAGCAAATCGATGACCAGGCCATAGTACTGGAAGACAAAGCCAGAGAATTGCAAACCCCTAATCATACCGTAGCTGTTCGTGTGGTTCATGTCCTTATAATTGAGCTGGACATTGTTCTTGGAAGTGATGTAATCCGCTAGATTGTGGTCCATGATGAGTCGAAGGAGCCGGTTGAGCAGAGTCAAATCGATCTTCTCGTAGACTTTGGACAGCTGAGTCTCGAGCATCACGTTGCACTCTCCATCTGCCGTCTCCCACACATTGGTCAAGTTATTGATACCTTGGGCCCATTTGTAAACCAGAAGAGGTGGGACTTCTGAGTCGGAAGGCTTGACCCAGGACGGGAAAAGGTGTCGCGTATCCGCTTGATACCAGAGATATTGATCAAGGTACGCATCAGTGATCTTCTCGATTGGCTCAATGTCGTAGACTGGATTGATGGAGTTGTAGTTATCATTCATGTCGATGCCAACCTCCTTGAAGGCTCTTTGAGTGAGCAAGAAGCGCTTGATTCTGGCAAGAGTTGTTCCCGGAGAATCATAGGCTTGTTCAATCAACGCAAGCTCTTCTCGCTGACTCTGATTCAATCTTCCTTTGACGGAGTAAGCCTCCCTGAGTCGCTCCAAAGCCAAGATAAGAATCTTCGTATCATGCTTGTACGAGACGCTGGGGAAAGGAATGGGGGAGAATTTCCGTGACTCGAGCCAGTGGACGGTGGTTGTGTAGATCGCAACAGCTTCTTCAGAAGACACGTATGGACCGTCTTTCATGTAATTGTGCTGTCGTTCTTGTTCGGCCTTCAACCACAATCTTGTCAAACGGCCAAGATTCTTCTTCGCCACGGTCTTGTCGACAGTCGCACCCCGCCTGATGCGCTCTCGGTTGTAGTGGGCAACGGAGATCCACCAGTCAGCCTTGCTCTTGACGTATCGCAAGATGATGTTTTCAATTGGGGCAGGTAAACCAGGCACTTTCCATGGGATATTGCTCTTCCAGCATCGCCACGCTTCGGACAGATGTTGAAGTACAGTATTGACCTTGTTCTGTCTGATACCTTCGGGCATCATGTCCATCAGATCTGCCATGACCGAGGCACGAAGCTCGAGGTCAAAATGCGATTCAACTCGCTGTTTGGTGACGGTCTTCGCAACACCCTTGCTGTGCCGGCCTTCGAATTGTCGAGAGAGCAGGTTGCCAAGCCATCTCTCCAGCAGAGGAATGATCCCTCGCATGAAGAAAAGCCAGACTCTCCAGGCTGGTGCCCAGAAGCCACAACCAGGGCCTTTACCCACAGGGCCAGAATTGAAACGGTAGTAGATCAAGTGTTTCAAGTCTTTGCAAGAGCGGATCTGATGCATGAGCTTGTACTTGTACCGGTACATACCCGTAAGCTGGCCAACATGGTTGAAAGCGTAAAGAATACCATCAGCCAGCTGGAAGGCGTCGATATTGCCAAGTCTATACTGAACCTGGGCATCAACTATGAGCTTTGTCAATCTCAAGATCTCACGCATCAAGTGGAAAGCGTTGCCGAATCTTGACTTCTTGCGTTCTTTGGTGGTCAGAGTCTTGACTGGTTTGAGGTTGAAGTTGTAATCAAGATGCAGATACGTCAAGTTCTTTCGATGGATGAGGAGATTCAACATGTTGAAGCCTTGTCGGCAGACCTGTAATCCAGCTTCAACCCAGTCGATGGTGGTCTGTTGGAAGAATTTGGTGGATTTCAACGTCTTGAGGAGATCTTGCTTGTTATGCGCCTTAGGTTTCTTGCGATGTAGTTCGTTCAAAACATAACTCTTCAACAACTTTTGATATGAGACTCGAACCTTGACCGGCTGGCCAGGAGGACAGTGCTCAAGATACCACTGCTTGACAAGTGGCACATCTTGAGCCCGAACCATTTTTCCGGATCGTCGATCAAATGGGAAGGGAGCCCACCACAGAGCAATAGCGGAAGCCGTCTCACTTGTGTACAGCTCCTCATCGGCAAGGAATGGTTCGACGTTGCCTGGAAGCTCAAATTCGTCGTCCTCATTATTGCCCGCACCAAAGATCTCGTCTTCATGGCTGACCGTGATGTTCTTTGGCGCGACTGAGCGAGATGAGATGGGATTGATGGCAGGATCAAAATAAAAGGCCGGCAGGTTCGGGTCCTCCGCCCTGACGGAGACAATCTGAGGGTGCGAGTACCACGAAAGCTTGACGCTACGCGGTAGGGAATTGTACAGATAGGGGAATGCAACTCGGTACTCGGTCCGAATAGGCGCACGGAAGATGATTCTGTCAATGGCGTTGAATTCACCAAAGTCCTCGTCATTAGGGTCAATGTCCTTGTACAGCGGTTCGAAGCGAGGCCCGCCCGGAATAGCCACGTTGAGTGCTTTGGCGGTGAAAAAACTCTCCCGATCGAACATGTGGAAGTAGTTCTTGTCTACCACATCGCTCAGTAACTGATGCGACAATCTGTAAAGCGTCGCCATTTGCGGCAACGATAAATTCCACGTCTTGTAACTTGGGCCGTTGACGTGTGGTGTGTCCAGCAGAGGTCGGTGATCGTAGAACCACTCGTAGATGGGGCCATCCTCGTTCTCGTCCAATTCCATCTGTATAGGCTCGAGAGGCTCCACGTCTTCGATGTTCTCCGACCAGGACAGGGGTGGCTCCTCGTCGTCGAAGGGAGGGAATCGCATGCGCTTGAAATGTCGTCTGTCACTCTTCTCCCGCCTCATCGAGACCCACATCGTCGCCCACTGCGCATGAAAGATGGGCTCGATAACCCGCGGCGTCTCGTTGACGAGCGTCAGGCAGCCGTTGACGTGGTATAGCACTTTCACCTCTCGGGCACTTTCCCACGGCATCGGCATATTCTCCAGCAACTTGAAGACGGCATGCGGCATGTACTTCAACGCGCCCAGGTAACTCCTCTTGTCGCTGCTGAACTTCTTCTGGCTGACATCCCCAATATCTCTGACGATTTTGCGCAGATGCTCCGGAGGCATATCTGCCTTTTGTGTCTCGACAAAGCCACCCTTGCGTTTCTCGCCAAATCGATTGCGCTGTGTCCTAAGCCACTCCTTCTTCTTTTGCGCGAACTTGGCCACCCGAGGATCGACTGGTGGGCGATAGCCCGGCGGCGGAGGTGCCATGCCAGGCGGAGGGGCCATACCGGGAGGCGGAGGAGGTGCACCGGCGCCCCATCCTGGCGGGGGCGGAGGCGGGACCGAGGCCATTATGTCGTGTGGGACGTTGGCTGTCACTGCTTTGATAGAGAGGATGAACTCGATGTTCTTTCTCGGAAGGCGTGATTGGATTGTAGGTCGCTTACCATTTATGAAGCGCTGCTTGCCCTCTGCTCCGGCCAAGAGAGCAAGCTATGTCGGTTGCAGCACCTCAATTGTACTTCCACCTCGCGTTGCTCCTGGTGGGAAGCAGAAGGCGTCGCGGCGAGGTTGGCGGTCGGCGGTGATGCCTAGTTGTAACTTTTCATCGATGAAGGATCAACTTGCCCGCCAAAGCGGGTCAAATCACGCTATTCCAAATATGGAATGGTCACAAACTCTTGGCACACAACTGCGATCGGAGCCACCATCTGGCAATTTTCACGAGCGACTTCAAGTCTCGACCAACGACAATAATACCGCTCCATCTGTCCTTCCATTGCTAGATCAACACCGTCGCAATGGCAGGCGTCAGACTCCAATACCGTCGTCGAAACCCGTACGTTTGCTTGCGCCCCACGTCGAAGACTAGATCGAGGATGGCTAACGAAATCCGCGCCGCACAGTTACAACACCAGCTCCAACAATACCCGGGTGATCAAGACTCCCGGCGGCAAGCTCAGACTCCTACATATCAAGAAGCGAGGCACTGCCCCCAAATGCGGTGACTGCGGTGTGAAACTCCCAGGTGTAAGTCGCGTCCATGGAAGAAAGCAGTTTCCCTACACAGACGCTGGGCCTGGTTGGCTGGACTATTCCTGATGATCATGCCACAGGTTCCCGCCCTTCGACCTAGACAATACGCGACGACCAGCCGGCCACAGAAGACCGTGCAACGCGCATACGGTGGTTCGAGATGCGGCAACTGCGTGCGGGATCGGATCGTTCGTGCATTCCTGATTGAGGAGCAGAAGATTGTGAAGAAGGTGCTCAAGGAGACTGAGGATAAGAAGAGGGGAAAGAAATGATCGGTCGAATGACAGGGGGATGTTCTGGTTGTTGGTGATCCAACGAGGTTTACAATCAATGGCTGTACCTCGACCGAGGGTTAGGCATGGCAAGGGCAGGCACTGACCATCGCTTTCCCACTCCCGAAAGTGACGGCTGGCGAACCAGTCTAATTGCGCTGGCCTATTGAACCCTCTCAGATGCACAAAACTCCTCACGGCGAAAAGGTACGATGTGTCGAAGGTAATACCAGGGCGCTGTGGCTGGTACATCCCACAAAGCCATCACAAACGAAACAGAAATCGAGCGTCTCGGCCGAGCAAAATTTTCAGCGGATCTCCCAGTTACCATCAGTCAGTGTTGTTGCATGTATCGTGACGTTGGTTCTTTCGCGACCCAGTAGCGGTTGCGTTCATCCTAACCTGGTCAATCGAGTATGTCCTCGTGGTGACACAGGCGGACCGATGTGCAAGCTCCACCATCCAGCCTTGTGTGTCGCTCCATGCAGTGATCTTAGTCTCACCATGATGATTACTCTGACATCGCAACTCACTTAGATCAACTTGTGACTTTGGCGTGGGTCGCCCTACCTCTTACCAATTCCTCACGTAGGCGACATAAATCTGATATTGACTTTGCGCGGCATTTGTTATAGGTAGTCACTCGGGTGTCCAGCCCTCCAAGGCGGCGGACTACAGACTCGGCCCCCGTGAAGCAACTGAATTGTAATTGGCACGTGTTCGACGGCCCGTCATGTCCCGAAAATGCTGGGAAAGTGAAGGCTCTGTTCGGTCAGTATGTACTGCCATGACGATACACGGCCACAGAAGATGATCGTGGCACAACAACAGCAACGCCGAAACAGTTGGAGTTACCACAGGCTGTTGAGCGCCGAGCGAGCGCGACCGACCAAGATGCGCGTCGTCCTCGCCTGCAGCAGTGTGTTCCTGCTGGCTAAGGCTGCTAGTTGCACCACGAAACGGCTCACAACGCTTTGCCAGGGCGGCATGGAGGCAAAACTTCCTTGACTGCCACTCACCTTTTCTCCGAGATCACTTTCCACACATGCTACAAACAGTTGAGAGCTCTTTCTCACGGCCAGCCCATTGGGAATTTGGTTTCCGAACTATAGGTACGGAGTATTTGAGAGGTGCCTCCGGAACAACCGTGGCTGGAGGTGATAGTCGGAACGTGAGCTTCCTGACCTTGGCTGGGGTTGTGGTACAGTGCCGCTGTCAAATCTGTCATATCTGCGGGTGGCCAGGCTGGTGAGTCCTCGAAGAACCCTGCGGGCGTTTAGTACTGGCCGGGAGCCACCCTTGTGCGACCAAGCTGTCAGAACACCTGCCTGGCATGTGAGTTACTCGGTGATGGGCACCGTGAAATTTTGAACCAGGTGCCGTTGGCTGTTCGGAAGCCAGCCTCCGATGCCAGGCACGGCCTGAAGTGAGCACAGAAAGTTGACGAGCCGCCACGGCACAGGCATCCAGCACTCAGCTCCCGCCGCCACAGAGACCGTACTAGTACTGAAAGACTAGAGGTTGTTGTGGAGGGGACACATTTGGTGACACAAGTGTATCTGCACGATAGGAGATTCTCACTCATGATGCTTGACCTAGTGACCAAAAAGGAAGCCTCAAAACCCTGGCAGCTGTTTTAGATGTTCTGGTAATTTCGACAAGGAAGTATACTCCCAGCAGACCGGAAGCTTCCGGTTGGTTTGGCAGTAAGGGCCGACTATGTCCTCTGTAGCTCTTCGTTATTTCAAGCGCGGCCGTCTAAGGGTCGAGTACCCAAATTATACTCCGTTCCGGGGAATGGGAGAGATGGACACGCCCGAAGTACCTGTCGTTCACCCCTTCAAGGGAGTCCCAGTTGTCAGTTATGCTTCATGAGCAAAGTGAGCAGCAAGGAGCAGACAGTATGGCTGATTGTCGCGTCACTTCCCGGTACGAAGTTTCTAGCATGCTAAGAAGCAATGACTTTGGCTGCAACCGCCGTCCTCGGCGAATAGTATGGGACTTTCGAGGCCGGGTTGTCAGTGGCCAGACAATGCTCATGTTGAAACTTGCCTCGACGACTGACATGTCGAGAAATTGGCATGGGAGTGTCATGCTGAGCATAGCCTGCACGAGGTTGTTTGATGCCAGTGATACGACGCGAGACGAATCCGAGCAGAAACAAGCTGGATGCTTCTACCACTGAACATCGATTCGTCCAGTGGCAGGTCGTGCGTCAGACGTTACGCGGCATATGTCAAGCACGTTGTGGTTGACCGACCTGGATACGGATGTTCGGGAATGTGCATGACGGGTTGACGGCAAAGCGGCCGTGTCACAGGCGGCATAATGTTCAGGTTCGATTCCGAAAGACACCAAGGAAGCTGGTGTGATGGTCCGCAGAGATGGTGGAGCATAGAGGAGTTAATGATCGACGGCAAGTATCTCGCCCGGGGAGTTATGAAGCCTGATCGATTATCATCCTCGCCAATCGAGATTGAAATGATAGTGCGCCATCTTCTGCTCCATCATGCATGTGCTTGTAAGTCAAACTTGGGATATCCGAAAGTCTAACCGTCGAAGGAGGCCGACCTTGGAGAATGCGAAGCGCATACTTCGTGGGAACGTCGTGTTCGTGTCCTCGCAAGGTGCTGACCTAGGGCTTTCTATTTCTTCTGAGCAACGCCTCTTTTAAGAGGTGAGAGACATCGGTTCCTAGGGGGTGCCGCTGCATTCATGCAGAGATGGGGTGGTGCGAGACCAAGTCTCACATCAGTATGAGCGTGGGTGGACGGCTAATGCGTCGCATCTCCGCGACCAATCTGCGCTAACATGTCTGCAGCAGCGAGCGTTCAGCCGCCTTCGTCAGGTGCACAGCCTGCGGGCTCTCAGGTCGCCCCCGAGGCGTGTCAAGGGTGCCCGTCCATGTCAGATGCATGTCGGGAAAATCAGCGGAAGATTCTTGGTTACTGACCGGAAACGACAGGGGGGTTATCGAGGGTGCGTCACTTTACCGACTCGATCTATCACCATCCCGTGCTTTGCTGGCACATGGCCGAAGCTCAGATCCGAGATTCACCTTGTTGAACGGCAAGCGGGACGAATCTGGAGCGTGGCAAGCTCAAAGACCAACGAATGGACTGCATGGTGCGCCAGTGGTGGGTCGAGCTCCCCGGGACTTTTTGAGATCGTCGGATAGATCATCAGACGGCAACGCGAAAGAGTAATAGGACCGAGTTCGATCTGCTTCCGCTCCAAGCTTCGCATCAGATCCTGCTTGCTCGGACGAGATCTCTGATATCGTGCTCGGAAACCGAAACGGTAGAGAAGGGGCCGTCTTGCAGATTCTGGGCGTGTAAGGACGAGGTTGGGGTTGTCGGATTTCTGGATTCGTCATGGTTCCTCCACACGTTCTTTGCGCTGCGCGATGCTTGTCTGGTGTCGTTCTAGATCGGTCCGTACCGTGACGCCACCGGCGGTGCATCAGCAGCATCGGTATTTAGAACCTTCGATCCTCGGGGAAGCGGGAGAAGTTGTCCGCTCGACGAGAGCGTGCATTAGTGTGAAGAAAACGCCGAAGGTCGGGCTTGGATCTCTATCTGCTAGATGTTTTTGACACGTCTTGTGCGCCAACCCCGGGTTGTTGACGACACAATCTCCAATCTACAGCTGGGTTGTCAACCTTGGTGGAGGGCCTCATTGCCCTTGCTGGTACAAGCCTCTCCGGGGATAAGCTGCTGTAAGCCAGTGCCATAGTCAAGAAACTGCAGGGGAGACGATCGGCTTTGACCAGTCTGAGGCGATCTTGCCAACGCACAACCGGACCATACTGGCGACGGACGCTTTCCAAGCGAGGAAATCGGCGGTAGCGAGAGCCATTACGAACTGCTCAATCAGCCAAGGGCAACGAGGGGCTTCTTTGCGAGGAGCATGCCGAGTAGGGCCTGCTGGCTTTCCGATGAAAGAGTCAAGCAAATTGATATTTTGAGATTCTGGCCAGGTCATGTGATGTTCGCTGGGGAGAAAGAGGACATAGCGAGGCAGCGAGGCAGCGAGGCAAAAGGTCCAGGCCCGCTCTTTCAGCCAAGGCGAACAACCCAGGTCAGGCCGCACCTGGCAGGTAGGAGGTGGACTGCTGCGAGTAGCACCGCAAGCACGAGCACGAGCATCAGGCATTAGACTCTGACATCCTGCAGCTGCAAGCTGGATCGGAATGGCGGTTCTCTTGTTACAGGGGAATGGTACATCCATATACTAACGTAACTCCAAGTCGCATTGTAGTCAACGCGAATGCACGTTCATCCAGGATCGTTTGCTATGAGATCCGCTCTTTTCAATCATGACACCAAGATGCCGCCAGAAGGAGCTCTTGTCCTGCTTACTGCTCATCTTCGCCCACTTCATTCGGCTTCCCAGGCGCCCTATTCGTGTAAATTTTCACTACTAACGCTCGGGATGGTGATCAATAACGTGGTATCCAATGTGATGATTTCCAACCCCGGATCTTAAGTGGCGGGCTCCGGCTTCACTCAGCATGAAAGTCTGAAGTCGTCGACGTGTTGATCTCGCCTCGATTGCAGCAGTGCATTTTGCACATGCATGTTCTCCTCCCCGTAAGCGACGTTCTGCGACTTCAGGTCGAACTTGCTCAGCGGGGATAGCGAGTTGAACAAGTTGTTCTCGTCTACTGCAAGGTTGTCTTCCACAGGCGTCATTGGCCAACTTCTTAGGGCCGGTTGTAAGTCGTGGCAGTCAAAGCTTGGGTAGTCGCCATAGTCCGAGTACGATGTGGTCGACGGACTCGCCGTGGACGCGGGGTCAGTCAACGCAGAGAGGTCCTGGTGTCTCCTTTTGGCCGAATTTCGTGCTGCCCGGCCACCTCGTGCCCCGGCTCTCTGGCGTTGAATGGCGGGCATCCGACCTCCCAACGGCCTCTTCCCTGCTCCCGTCTTGCGGTATCTCGTGGTGGACTGAACGCCATTGTCGATCGCATCTTTGGTCAAGATCCACACGCTGGTGGCCTTTCGAGAGCTACCCCGTGCACTGTCTCTGTCATTTTCGAATGCCTGTGCCATTGTCAGAGGGTTGCAGAGGGCAGTATCGGGGTTTCACCAACCTTGTTCATCGAAAGATTGTGCCGAATGCTGTTCTGCCAGCCGTTTGATCCGGATTCCTGCGGTTTTGTAGTATTATGGCGAAACCATTCGTAAATCTCCCTGAGCATCATCCTATGTCCTGGTGCCTGCATCAAAGCTTCATAAATGAGTCGAGCATAGGGTTTGTCATCAGTGGCATCCTCGTCATGTTCCACGCTCGCCAATGGGGGGCAATGGACATATTCTGGTGATGAGGACCAAGGGCTCTGGATATTCCCCTCAACGAAATACTGTCCTGCTGGCTGAGGAAGCGCGGGTTGAGTCGGGTATGAGAACAGAGGAAGACCAGTGGTACCTGGAACGTGCTCCATGCTGTCATTAATGAGCTGTGGATATGCGCAGACGGCTGGCGCCCAGTTTGATCCCAGCTGAAAATCCGAAAGTTGAAGCTGTGTATTGCAAGGCATCCTGTGAGTTTGGCTGTGGTGCGGAAGACCGAATGATACATCTCCTTGTGTCTCCAGCTTGAGCAGGGAATGGATGTCTGGTTGATGTTGTTGTGTCTGATACGCCTGCAGCTGAGAGACGGATGGAGGCAATGTGTGCAAAGTTTGATGGCTGAACGACGCCCTGGTCATAATGTTTGAGAGTTCAAGGTCCACGAAGTCGTCGTAAGGGGCATAGTGATGGCTTGGAAGTTCAGCATCTATTCCTGCCATTTCACCCATTGGGACGCTGGTGTGTTGGCTGAGTTGAATATGTCAGGCGCTGCCGATGTAAACAGAGCAAATTTGCTCAACGTACACACTGTCGTATTCAAAATGAAACAATGAGAACTATGATGTTTGGACCGCGGACTATGAGTAACGGGGAAAAGAACTGTGCTTAAGGATTGGAAGTAAAACAAAGAGGCAGAGCCAGAATGGTATTATGCTAGAGCAAGCAATTGGCTCTGAAGTGCGTATGTACCATGTGGAATCACGCAAACAGGCAGGGGTAGAGAGGGATGAGAGAAGCGGGCGTCGGGAGATGCAAACAAGGGCGTTCCTGAACCGACCTCATATGGCTTCTGGGCCATAAGAGAAGACGCCTGGAAGCACTTCTTCCATGCTAGTACAGTACAATACTGTATCACTTCTCTCCAGAGGAATCCGGGCTTCCTGAAGAATCTCCTGTCCAATCAAGAGGTGAGTAACATGCGGAGCTTTGTACCACGCCCATTAGCTCAACAGCTTGTCATATCGGGACAGTGCATACTAGTTTGGTCTCAAATGCCAACCTGCAGTGGTCCACGCTCATCCTGCAGCAGAAAAATTTGGTTTGTGTTTTGTCTTTGCTTGTGGGATGGTACGGGGCGTGACGAATAGACAAGTCATGCTGGGTTGTGAATGACTTCAGGAGAGAGGTCAGCTGACTAGGTGGAAGGTAAAAGCCTTTCGCTTCAATCGCCGGAGACAAGGCTGCTGGGTATATTGGAGATCGTGTGCTAGAGGACATTGAGACGCTGTAGAGATACTCTGCCGGGTTGGCTTTGTAAGTCACTAGGGTCAGTGCATCGCGTCGTGACCTGACACCATCCCGCCCCATATCGAAAATTCTGAATCCCTGCTGGCGTTGATCCGGATGCAACAGGCCGCAGGTACTGCCCTGATGAAGAGGAATGCAAGAGATTCACTGCAGAACATTGCTCTTGTGAGCCACTGGTGCTGCTTGTCAATGTCTTCAGTCTTGCTTCACCTGCGTGACTAGCGGACAACTGAGCTTCAGCTTTGCGAACAAGGATAGGCTGCAGGTTTAGAAAAGATGGGTTATTGTTAGGTTCCAGAACCTCGGGGAGATGCAGAAACACAGTCAGATGAAAGGACTTTGATGTGTTTGGCACACTGAGATGTGGCAGGACGTTGCGAGGTGAGAAGAGGGTGGGAAAGCAAGGAGAACCGTGCAACAAAAACAACAGTTCTTGACATGACCCGTGACTCATTGAAGAGGCGATAGCATTCTTGTTGTCCCTTCGCGACAATGATGTCGCTGAAGTCACTCACTCAAGCAGCAACTACACAGTACCTCGTACTACGACAACATGACCCACGACTGAGCTTGAAGCAGGTTTCTGAGAAGACGCCAAGGTGTTAGTTTTAGCCGTGATCTCGTGACCACTCCGCGGCCACAACGGTGTGAACGGCCACAAACGGCTTAGCCTCCGTGGCAGCTTTGTGATGGGCGCCTCGGGCGATTGATTTGGTAAGTGCGGCAAGCTTTGGGCGCTGGCATTGTAAGGCGCCGCGCCCGGAGGCTTCACTTCCGGGCCAGCCAGTATTCCTGTGATCGACCGATCGACATCATAGGCACTTAAGGGCGACGTCAATTGCATGCGAGCTTACTTTGCTGAGTGAGCCGTCATGCCCGAAGCGGCCTCTTCAGGGAAATGGCAATCAACACCCTCACCTTCTCATATCTCTCGACTGCGATTTCACGCGTGACGACACTGCAAGACTAATCCTCCAGCGGCAGTGCCCTCTATCATCCTCTACCACGCTCTAGCGCCGAGTTCCGGAAGCGGTCAACCCTTTCCGCGGCCTTCCTGAGGCTTGAGTTTGGATCCTCTCGATCATACACATTCCCCCACAACTCCAGCTGAGACCCTGACCGCTGTTCCCTCCTCGCTCTTCTTGTTCGAGCTCCGAAAACCGAGCAAACACCACGCGACCCCATGCCGGAAGTTGTGCGAGGCAGTCGCGCCAGTATCCAAGTGGACCGGACGCCACTTGCCTCTCCGGATGGACTGGGTCCTTCATCTCCCGCGCGAGAGCCTCGAAATGTCCACTTCGGGCCGGAGAGCCCTGGGCTCGACAGGGAAGAAACGCCCACGCCCGGTCTAAGAGGAGTGGACACGGGACTTAGTACCATGTCAGGCACCGAACGCAGAAAGAGTAGAGAAGAGGCGAGAAAACAGCGGAAAACTGAGCCTGAAAGAGACGCATATTATGACAGTCGTGCCGCCACGAAACGAGAATTCCGACGGAGAGCGAGCACGCTGCAAGAATATTATGCGCAAAATCCGACCCTATTGCCGCAATTACCCTTCACTTGGAGACACGGCTGGAAAAGATGGAAGTTGTTCTTCACGATATTCCTGATCATTGTCGACGCGTGTGTCATTCCGATCGTTCTCTTCTATACCATGAAATTCATCGGCCACATCGAAGGATGGATCAGTAAGACCTGCCCCGTTACTTGCGCCATGCTCCTGCTGACTACCATTGTACCCAGTCTTCGCAGTTGTCGCTACCATCTGGGGTGGTCCTACCTACGTGGAGTTCGCAGTACGAAGCTTGCGACTCTGGAAGAAAGAGAACTTCTTCCGACCTCTCGGCTCCAGCAACAAATGGGCTTTCGACATTACGCACTGGATTTCGGTGTTGACCATCACGGCAGTCACGGCACTCTTGATTGTTGGCAGCGCGCCACACATTGTGTGGCTCCGTGTGCTCTCCATGCCGGCCCCTGCGATATTGTACTGCATCGGAGGCAGCGTCTTCGCGCTTACCATGTGGAGTCTTTCCGGTAAAAGAGCGCCGTTCCGGATCAGTTCGACCGAGAAAGGCGGCGAGGTGTATCCCGGAGTGTACTACCTCATCGAGGATGTCGTTGCTGTTAATGCCAACGCCGGCAGGCCTTTCCGCGAAGCTCTGGCGGCTCGATACAAGGCGAGCCCGCGCTTCCGGAGGATGATCAAGGTCCAGTCTCTGTTCTGGTCTATCCCGTCCTTGATAGTCGCCATTGCATGTACTGTGGTTGTTGTTATCCACCCTGTTTCAAAAGACGTGGCATATGGTGTTGGTAGGTACCGCCCCAAGGCCCATGAAGTGGACATGGAATAGCTAACTCGGCACGTACAGGTTGGGGCGTCCCTTTTGTTTTTATCGGGATCTGGGTCGTCATTACCATTCCCTGGGTCCGGCATGACATGCACAAGGAGACCGTGACATGGGAGGAAGACTGTGGCATCGCGCCCGGCACGCGCCAGAAGGAGAAGCAACTTCAACTCGAACCCACAGATTCCGAACGCGAAACACCAAAGGAGCCAGTGCCTCAACCCGAACCATGAGCGCTCAAGTCTCGTTCGACTTGTGTAGGAACCATTCTACCTCGTCGCCACATACTACGAGATATAGTACGTTTGTTCGAACTGTCAGCGCCAACTTTCTACCATCTGCCGTCCGCGTTCAAGCCGGTCCTCCCTATGTCGGTTCGTCTAAACATTCAAGCGTGAAGCATTGGATAACCCCATCAGCATACTGGCCTAAAAGAACATGGCGTCAAGGGCAGATACATAACAGAATCACAATCGTGGAAACTTAATGACAAGATCCGATTTTCTTTTGGATCATCGCCTACCGTAGACTTGGTGTCTTGTTTTCTTTCATGCGATAAGTGTAGATTGAACTACGATAGACCGAGGTCCTATCTCTCACAGTCTGCCTCTCATTAGTTGACCACAGCACAGTACAGTATGAGGAATGAATGACCTTTGAGTGACTCGGTGGACATATAGATTGCCTGTTATGCAGGGTCGGGGGCTGACAATATCAGCATGCGCAGGACGACTGAACAAGGTGCATAATTAGAGCATATCTAGCACGTTTGGACTGGAAAGAAGCTCAGCGGTAATCAAGTCAACCAATCCCATGTGCATAATTAGTGAGGCCATGGTTGAGGGTATTGTGATTTAGTAATCGTCAGCCACATGTCCTGTGGATGCCCTGCGTGGCAGGCCGTGCTGACATTGACACTGACACCGACACCGACACCGAAGCCGACAGTGAGACCTGAGCCCCTTCAGCCTTTCAGCCTCAGCTCAGCCTGCTCACACGCTCATCTCCCCTTACCTCAGCCTGATGCACGTGTCGTCATCACAACGTCTCGACCCCGAGCAGGCCGCATACTCTGCATTCAACAATGGTATACAACTACCTACTTGCGGTAGACGATCCTCTTGAAACTAAAGTGAAGGGTCAACACGCCCCGCTCAAACGTGCTCTTGAACCCTCTCTCATGCTTGGCACTATAATCCCAGTCGCGATCCACAATGCGGAACGCAATGTCCTCGTACGGCGGACCGGACATGAACCTGATGATGCAGGTGTCTTCCTCGCCCGCCGGGGCCATCGTCTGGCCCTTTTTCCTGCCGCCCTCGCGTATAATTTTGTACGTCGGCGCCTTGGTCGGATCGATCAGGTCCGGATAGAAGATGTGGAATTTGTAGCCCTGCACGACTTTCGGGGGCGGGTTATCGTGGTCGTAGTGCGTTTGGTTGTACTTGTTCCACTCGTAGCCCATCTGGACGCGGTTGAAGTACCGAGGTTTTCGAGGCCGGTATTTCCCGCCGTACTGCGAAAGCCAGGCTGGTTGTTGTGACGAGGTGGCCGACTCGTCCTCGTTCGCAAAGATTTCTTCGTCGTCATTGACGCCACGGGCGACTTCGCGGTCGAAGAGCGCTTTCGTGCTGGAGGAATCGTCGTGCGAGGATGTGTCGAAGCGGGCGGTCGGGTCGGTAGGCTTGGATTTTTGCAAGGATGGACGCGACTGGGTTGAGAGGGAGGGTGTCGATGTTGCGGCGGTGTTCGTCTTCGGCGCTGGCACGTAGCCCATGTGTAGCACTTTCCGTCTACTCGCAGCGACGCTTTGCAGGAATGTGCTTTCGTCCTGGAATTCTAGGGACTTGTCCTTTGACGCTATCTCCAACAACGGGTCGGGGTCCAAGTCCTTCGAGTACTGCACGGTTTCTGTAGCCTCGACCCCAGCGCTGCGGAACTGTTGCTGTGCAAGAGTCGCTTTTCGCTCGTTCTCCTGCCTCAGGCTCTTTAACCGAGCGTCGAGGACATCCTGATACACCTTCTTCAGCTTGGCCTTGGCCTTCCAAACTAGCAAGCTGTCCAACAACTGCTGCCAATAGTCGGTGTCGATTGGCTCGTCTGAAGCGAGCTTGGCCCGGATCTGGCCCTCCAGCGTCTCCAACTGCTCGTATGTCTTGGGTCCCAGCAGTTTGTCAATATCCGCGGCAACGGAGCTGACTGCTCTACCTTCGGGACCTGATGCGCGCAGCTTCTTCTGCCGATCTTTGCATATGATTTGCATGGTCTTCCAATAGTCCCTGTTCTTCCGATTCTTCTCCAGATTCATATACGTTTCGATATCCCTGCGCAGTTCCGTGAGCTGAGTCTCCGACAGGTCGTCGAACACACTGTCAGGGTCCACGAAGTCCAAGTCTTTCTCGTCCACTTCGTCGTCCAACGGGTTCCGCGTAGGGTCGACAACGCGAAGGGTGACCGCCAGCCAGTCGATGGGTCTTGCGCGGCCTTCCTTGACTCGAATATCTGCCTTCTTCTTGGCCTGCTTGAGAACAAAGTCATCCTCCTGCGCAACCCACTCTCTCATCCGCTCATCTTCCTGCATCTGATTGATCCTCATCTGGTCTTTGTGGGACCATCGTTGGGGCTGGCCATGCTCGCGTCTGCTGGGCGCCTGGCGGTCTCGATACTGACGGGCGCCATCGTGAATTCGCCGCGGAGGGGATTGCGACCGCCGCCGCTTGTTGGGGTAGTCACCGTCGCTCATCTGGGCGATATAGGCAGAAGCGAGGACGGGCGGTGCAGCGCCCAATTTCAACTGTTGTAAGTTCAAGTTTGCAGGCAGAAGTGGCGCCGGAGAAACTTCGGCAACAAGACTTGAGAAACACGAGAGCTTCACTCCAAGTTGAATGTGATCCTCATTCTCACCACAAGGCAGTGCAGACCACTATGACCAGGTTCCCATTTGCCGCCTTGGCTAGCAAAATCGGGGATGTGCCTTTCTGTAGCAGGGTCGCACTGTGCAGAGGATGGAGAAGGTCCAGAAGACCCGGAACAAGGGCCCGGCGTGCACTCAGTGCCGCCAGTTAAAGGTAGGTCCATGCAGAAGAGTCGATTTCAGCGCGACTGCTTTTCTCTATATATTGTGTATGGCTTGTATTGACCTCGTGAACAGTTAAAATGTGACTCAGCTCAGACCTTTCCGGCTCCGTGCACAAGATGCACCAGGACTGGCTCCAAGTGTCTGATCGACTCTCACTTCCGACGAGAGAAGCGGCAGGAGTAAGTTGGATGGATCGATGCCAATGTCCGGCTCAGTTTTGACTTTCTTTGGCTAGACGAATTGAGAGGCTGGAAGAGCAACTGCTCGAGGCAAAGCAGAAACTCGAAGGCACACCACGAGCACGGGAAGCATCTGCCCCTTCGATCGGGTCACCTGAAGTTCGACACCGACCCTCGATCGTCGAGGAGGACTTCAGCACGTTCGATTTCGCCCAGTTCTTCGAAGACCTGCAACCGACTACCCTCGACGATATCACAATCCAGCCTCAGACGATTGTTGAGTTGTTTGAGCGGTAGGAGATCTGTACTCCCTGTGTGTGCCCGTCTAACCACGTGTTTGAAGCTACTACCTTTATCACCACTCGCGATTCCCCATCCTGTCCTCGCCGTCAATTACCTTCCGCTCGTCTAGGAAATGGCCACCCTTGTTCTGGAGCATAATTCTCGTATCCGCCAAATGCCGCCAACATGTCGCTCTGTACTCCAAGCTCAGCCAACCACTCAAAAGGCTTGTCCTTAGTCCGGAGTACCTGTCAAGTCAGTCCCTTGAGATGATCCAGGCGCTTCTCCTGCTCTGTACTTGGGCAGGCGGCGACGACAGGAGTTGGACCGACCTGTCGTGGACGTACAGCGGCATCGCCACCCACGCAGCTCTACAAATGGGCTTACATCGACCCGAATATGCAAACGACTTCATCTATGGCTCGAAATTCGACGATGAGATCATATTGTCTCGCAGAAAAGCATGGATTGCTTGCTTTATCGAGAACGAGATGTATGCCTCTCTGTCTCTCTGCCTATCTGTCCGCTGATGTTCAGCATTAGGGCAAGCCGCAGAATCGGCGTTCCATGCACCGCTCCCATCGACCATACCATCCTCGAAGCCCTTTCCTCCCCAGCATCGACTATCCCAGTCAAGCTCAAACAGCAGCTCCAGATCGCCTATCTGTCCTACAGGACGAACACTACCCTAGGCAACTCCGATCTCAGCCCGGCAGGTGTCCTCCAGAGCTCCATCTCAGCCATCCACATGTTCGAAAAGGAATTCTCCCTAATGGAATCCACGTCCGGCCTGCTCTGGTCGCCCCACGAGGAAGTTCTGTTTCTTGGGTCGAAGCTCAATCTGTACATCTACGCCATAACTTCGTCGAATGTCAGCAGCACTCAGAACGGCCGGCACTCGAACGTGGACGAATTCATCGGGCCCGCTCTCGCGACAGGACTGAAGCTCATCGATGTGGCCAACAATGCCGAACGCGAAATCAGCTCCTGGAGCGTCCACACCAAGGAGTCTCTCATCGCGGCGACGTTCTTCCTGTTGATGCTTCGAGACAGCGAACACCCTCTCGTCGACCTCGCCGCCACGAGAAAAGCAATCGGCCAAGCTTGGAACACGCTGCATGCTTGCATCATTACAGAGCACGACTACCTGAGCCGGACTTGCACCACCATCTCGTATCTCAGCCAGCATCCGCTGAAGCGGGAGGGCAACGGTTTTGCATTGAAGACAAAGTCTAGGATGGCGTCGAGTATCATGTGGGACACGATCAGACGGCTCAAGGAGCACTTCGGCCTGGAAAAGCCGGCGCAGTCACTAAGCGAACGACTTGCCGCGGCGAGTGGCCAGACCCAGACGACGCCCAACGGCACGGAAATGCAAATCTTCCCGGACAACCTGTCGTTCGATTACGGGGGCGACCTCATTGACTGGGACTCCCTGTTCACTGAACTTGGAGACTTTTACGTGCCGCCGCAGTTTGACGAGTCATAATGCTGGGCGAAGTGGCAAGGCCACCAACCGTGCCGAGGCCGTGTAGCTCAGTGTGCGGGACAGGATGTACATTATCTGTCTGTTCATCTGCCTATCTACGTACGCGAAACCTGTTAGAGACAGATCTGGGGATATATTTGCAGCCATATACAATTCGTTCAAAATCGTCGGCACATCATGTCGTGAACCCTCAAATCCAGCTCGAAGCATAAGTCGGCGAACCCGACTTTGCATTTCTGCCCAACCGCACTCCAGCCCTGCGAATGTGCTTCGGCACAGGCTCCGCGCCCTGCAGATCACCTTCGTCGGCAATTAACCTCGACAGCGCCCGGTCCCGCGTGACGCGCACGATTGTCGAAAAGGAACTCGTGTAGGACGCACCATTGCGAAGCAGCGCATGGACACCGAGCAGCACGCATATCAAAGCGAAGAGCGCGCTGATACCGTATGCAATCAGCAGCGTGCGCGGCTCATATACGAACTGAGATTGGAAAACCTGGCGATTTGCCGGAGCGGTCGTGCTGTCTGGTCCGATGTGTCTGGTCCAATGTCAGCCATGCAACAAGTGCACAAAGTCAGGAGGAGTGAGGGAAGACGACGTACCCAGAGACGACACTATACCGCATACTCAACGTAATATTCTGGAACAACATCTCGTTCTGCCTCGCTTGCCTCATGGTCATCTCTGTTTGGGTCAGTCCTGGCCGCGAGGGAAACAGCGCCTGATTCATCCCCAGCGAGTAGACCGAGTTGGTCGTGGGGAAGTTGACGTCGTTCGAGTAGGTGATCGGACCGGTGACCATCATGGCAAAGGCCTCCATGACGGCTTGCATGTTCATCTGTCGACTGACCAGTGGTTCGGCGGGTGTGCCTTGCATCGTGGCAAGTGCCGGCATCCAGTTCTCGAATGTAGGGGACGCAGTGATGAATTGGGCACCGGTACTCTTGACCTCGAAATGTGCGGCATAAGATGCGTTATACAACTTGCAGGTCATCATCTGCGCCTCAGGCTCACCAGCAAACCCAGGAATACGATTGCCTGACTCGTCAACACCAGTCGTGTTGAGGTAGATGAACACTCGCGCCGCGTCCTGCGAGGTGAAGTCAAGACGGTTATTCCCAATCTGAACATCGGTAGATGCGAAGAACGAGCCGTTCACCTCGGGACCCCAGCCCGGTTGAGGTGCCCAACCAAAGTAAAACACCCGACTGTCAGTCATATTCTCATACTGGAGCATAGCCTTCTTGGCCCAGGCGAAAGCTTCGCCTCCGGCCAAGTCGCATGAGATAGCCGGGCCGAAGAATTGCAGGTTGTAAGTGAGATTTGAGCTGGAGGATTGAACGGGCAGGACGCTGTTGGAGAGAACCGTGGAGAAAGTCGGGTTCAGCAGACCTGTGGCCATCGTTGCATACATTGTGGTGTCGCCATTGGTAGTCACGCCGCAGTATAGATTGTTGTTCGTCGTATACTCTCGTTGAGGGACTTTGAGTGTGCCGTTCGTGGCGACTATCACGGGTTGGATGGACAGCGTTCCGGGTGTGATAATGGCGGAAATAGGAAGCAACCAGGTCACAGCGGCCAGAAAGGCCAACACCGGGCGTCGAACCCAGACCCCCACAGCCAGGAACTCAAATGCATTACCCAAAACCGCAAACATCGAGTCTAGACTCCCAATCTCGTGCGGCTTTGCATGCAAATCCACCCACATCCACTGATCATACGCCACTCCTGTGCCAATTGCCATCGCTAGCTTTGAAAGAAATGCGATCGCCGTGCCACCGCGGATGGCCCAGAGCTGTAAAAGAGCGTGGTCGGCAGGTTCGCCGCTTAAAGTTTGATAGAGGGCGTGGTGAAGGCCCATGAGCACGATCCCAAGGAGGAAGCCCACGCCCATAACTGTCGGGGCACGCCAGTGAATGTGGCTGAGGCGGGAAAAGTCCTTTACCTCGACGGAGAGGACAGTCTGGGGTTGTTTTTCGAGCATGTCGAGGGCGAAGGGATTCTGACTTTCCGGCGCAAAGACTGTAAAGAAGGACTGATGATGCCGATTCGAGTCAGACGATCTAAGAGACGCAGACGATATCGATAAAGACAGCGAACGACAAGGACTGCTTGGGTGGTTCCGGCGTATATCTGATGGATATCATGTGCCCGGCTGTTTGGGGGCAGACGTGGCGAAAGGCGTTACAACAGGGTGGAGGTGAAGACTGGGCATATACGGTACTGACCATCGCAGACTCGTACGACGCGAGGTAATAGGGAAGGTAGGACATCGCCAGCCAGATCGCGCTATGAGGCCATATCCGTTCCTGGGGGCTATATTAAGGCACCGACAACCGTGATAACAGCGCACCCTTGACCCGGGTCATGGCAGGAAACAGTACGGGCCACAGGAGGCCCAATTTTGCATGTGACGGACTGATGCTGCGCGTTCATAGCTTTCGGCTAAGCGCTCGACCATTTCAGGCGCTGAAACGAAACAGGTCTGGCCAGACGAGAGGGCGGTAAGAAGCTAGCATAGTCCGGAGGCGAGGGCTGGTCACTTTTTAGGGAGGCAGAGCTGGCTCGCACAGCCCCATGAGTCTGCCGGTCCAGAAGGCGAATCTCAGAAACTAGAAAGCTCAATGAATGGTGCTTACTTTATGCTTGCCATGTGGTGACTCCACGACACAAAGAGAGACAGGCACGACAGGCAAAGAAAGGCAAGGCTGCAGGCCGAGATAGCGGCCAATCAGAGTACGAATGCCAAGACAGGTGCTCATTGGTCGCCGCGAGGGCGTCATTGCAGGCGGTCGACGCCTTCACCACCTTTACCAGTCTCCCGGGCATCGAGCCGGGACTACGTCGCTAAGCGTCTAATGACCGTATAGTAGCTATAGCGAAACCGCTAGCTACACGGCGATCAAAGTTTCCTTGGTCATCTCCGGCATAAAAGATGTGACTGCTTCTCTAAATCCTCACACATGTCGGAACCAGGCAGCGAGGGAGGATGGCGAGAACTCCAGACCTCCTCCCGCCGCCAATGCCCCAAGCTGTTCTACCAGTTTTCGACCAGCCGCGAATCGCTGACGCTGCTCCTCACCGACTTGATATCCATCTGGGAAACTAGTCTGGACAGCTACGACATCAAAGCGGCAGCAGCCCGACAGCACACGACCGTCGACCCGTCAGCCTCGGACCGCCAATTCGAGGTTCTGCTGTCCAAACTCCGCCAGAGCCTAAGCGACGGCGAGAACACAATCACACGAGGGTCAGAGAAGAGTTCACAGAGACTGTACCTCCGCACGACAATCGACCTACCTCGCGGTCTGCCGCCGCTAGACTGGACGTTCACGCTAGAACCCCAGACCAGCTCGGAACTTGCTGAACGCCTCCTCCGGCCCAGCCTGCACGAGGTGGCCGTGTCGCAGAGCAAAATCAGCTCCTTGCTCAGCATCGTCAGGGAGAAAGACCATGTCATCTCGAAACTGCTCGATCGGATCGGCAATTCGGCTGTGGACCTGAGCCTCGTTTTCCCTGGAATTGCTGGCCTCGCGTCGAGAAAGGGTAGCCATGTCTCTGTTGCGGATGCGAAGAAGCGCGTCCCTGGGATGGCGGATTTCGACGAGGAAGCCTGGATCAAGCAGTTCGCCACCGACGACGGGTACGAGGGCGCGGATCGGACGGGGCTGGGTAACCTCGTTCGCGGGTGTGAGAAGTGCTTCGTGCACAGCAGGTCTGAGCACGAGAGCTGGGTCAGGGATTTACCGACGACAACTGCAACACAGCGTGGCGCGAAGGGCGACGCAGAGGTCAAGTCGCCGCCGATGAAGCCCGGCCCAGACGACGAGTCTACGGATGATGAATTCGAACGTCAACCAACCCCACCATACTTGAAGACTACGAGTCCCGCAGCCACAAGGAAGACCCAGCCCGCAACTACCACCACCGTGGACGACGATACCCAGGACGAAGAACCCAGTCCTCCAAAGAGTACCAAAGCATCCAAAATCGGTGGCCTCGGCAAACGAGACGCGACCAAGGCATTTGGCGCCTCTACCTCTAAAAGTCCAGCCAAGGCATCTCCGCCCGCCGAACGAAAGGCATCACCAGTGCGTCGAGCCTCCGACGCCTCAACAGACCCAGCGACAGCGACAGCCTCAGAAAACGCCGAGGACGAAGACATCCGACTGCCCTCACGACGGGGCACCAAATCTCCCCAACCAGCCCAGAAGCCCAAAGCGCGCGTCCCGAATAAGAAGGGAGCCACGACCCGCTCACCATCAGCTACACCCTCGCCTTCAGTCTCTCCATCTCCATCTCCATCTCCGTCTCCGCTGCTCACACGCTCACATCCCAAGCATTCGTCACCAGCCTCCCCCAAAAATCCGAAAAGGGGCAAGGCAGAAGATGACGAAACTGAAACGGAAACAGAAACCGAGGATGAGGACGAGAACAAGGACAAGGATGAGGACAATGACCGTCATCACCCTCCCTCCTCAGCCTCTCCTGCGCACAACCCACAACCCAAGTCCCCTACCCCCACGACCGCACAACCGCCCAACCGTCTAGGTCGTCTCGGCGCCCGCAAGAGAGACCCATCGCCGACGCCGACGCCGACGCCGGATCCAGCCTCTGATGAAGAACGCCCTTCTCAACACGAGAAGGCGCAATCCCCTCGGAAACCAGGTGTCCACAAACTTGGCGGCTTGCGGAAAAGGAAACAAGCACACAGGGATGAGTCTTCCTCTCCGGAGGCTCGCCCGGATGCCGACGCCGATGCCGATGCCGATCCACGCGCTTTGGAATCCTCCAAAGCCGTGGGCCGGTCCAAGTCTCTGTCGAAACGCCGCGCAGCGTCAGCTGAACCTTCACCACCACCGAAGGAGACGGCCGAGGAAGCAGCATCTCGGCGGCGAATGCAGCTGAAACGCACGATCGAGGCGGGCACGGCGGGGAAGAAGAAGCGGAGGTTTTGAGTCTAGCATCGAGTGTGGGAGTCAACAGATACAGTATTTTATAATTGTAAAGCCCGCGTGGGGATCATGTATACTCTAAGTTCAAATGTCAAGGCGATGCTTCCAGTCTTCGCTCGCTCGGCAATCTTTTGAAGCTGGCAAGCAGCACGCAGCACGCGGCACGCAGCACTTGGCTTGTCCTCGTTCGTCCTCATGCTCAATCCAGGCATCCAATGTGTGTTCTGTTCCAAAACCGCAAGGCAAGTACTCTTTGCTCTGATAGCAGCAGAGCCCGAAAATACCAAGTTTACCAAAGCCCCCAACGGAAGTAGGCGAGAAACTTTTGCCACGCTTTGTCCTTCCTCAAGCTCGAAACATATTTCAACACTGGAACTGATTCCCGCTCGTCTAGCATTTTCGTCGTCTTCATATAGCGTCTCATCGTGAGCAATCTTGCCAGAAGCGTGGCCAGTCTGGGTGCATGGAGAGGAGACAGTCAACAGTTAATAGGCTATAGCATCCCATAGACAAGAAAATGCCGCTGCACCGGAAGTTTGACCCATAGGATCAGCCAGCTTGTCGGCCACGTTCTGTACGACAACTGGCGTCTGTCGGATATGATGTAAGTCCAGTTCAAGGGTGTCCCGGCGGTTTTCCGCCGTGGCCGTGCGCGCCATCGGTGGGTCCCGTCTGCGAACTCTTAGACTGAGCATCTCCATCTTGATCCCGGTCACTCACAGTCCAGTTTGCCCGGAGATGGCTGCTCTCACTAAAGTTGACCCTTTTGTGGCCTCGACTCCAATGAGATTGGTCTCGTTTCTTTGACTGTTCGAGCTCCTCTTCGCTGACGCTGGCACTGTCAGCCTCGGCTTCTTCCAGTGCTTTTCGAGCCCGGGTATGGAGTTCCGCAGCCTCCGCAGCAGCTCTTTGCGCCCTGGATTGTTTCCGCCACATGCTTGCATATTTGCCCCCCAGCGCAATAAGTTCTTGGTGCGTTCCACTTTCAACCACAGTGCCGTGGGAAAGCACCAGGATTTGGTCGGCGTTAACAATGGTGCTCAGTCGATGAGCGATGATGAGCATTGTTCGTCCTTCAGCAAGGGAGTTGAAAGATTCCTGAATCTTTTCTTCGGTTTCGGTGTCCAAGGCAGCAGTGGCTTCGTCAAGCATAGTAATGCGTGGATTTTTGAGGAATGTTCGGGCAATAGCAACTCGTTGACGCTCTCCGCCCGAGAGTCTCACACCGCGCTCCCCAACTTTTGTCTCATAGCCATTAGGAAACTCCATGATCCGGTCATGGATTGAGGCTGCCCTGCAAGCGTCAAAGATTTCTTCATCCGTCGCATCTTGATTGGCGTAACGCAGGTTGTACATGATGGACTCGTTGAACATGTTGCAATCCTGTGGCACGACACCAATAAACCTCCGTAAAGAGTCAATGGTGATGTCCTGAACGTTTCTCCCGTCAACCCTGATTTGCCCCGAGTCAGGGTTGTAGTAGCGGAAGAGTAGCCTTGAGACCGTGCTCTTTCCCCCTCCCGATTCACCCACCAGCGCTGTTGTCGACCCAGGCTGACATCGGAAGCTCAGTCGGTCCAAGGCTGGTCTCCGCTTATCGTAGCTGAAGCTCACGTTGTCAAAGACAATATCACCTTGACAATCCTCAAGTATTTCCGCGCCTTCCCGGTCGACGACATGCGGTTGTTCTTTGAAAAGTTCCAGCATTCTCTCGGCATTGATGAGATTGGTCTGAATCGCTCTGTAGAAGGTCCCGAAAAAGTTGAGTGGTCCTTGCAGCTGTGCCATGTAGGTGATCAAGAGGACAAATTTACCCACGGTTTGATCACCTTGTGCAACTTCAAAGGCTTCGATGAAACAAGCAACCAACAAGGCAATCATGAAGAGCGCACCCTGCACCGTATTCATATAAGCCAATGTCACTTCGACCCAGTATTCGAAACTCTGCATCGTCTTGATCGATGACCGGTATCGGCCGAATTCATAACCCTCGGCATTGAAGTATTTGACCGTATCCCACGAATGTAAAGAGTCATTCTTGACTGCTTCCATCTCTCGGTCCGCGTTGACGTAATTGCGGCGCAAGGTAACACGCCACGCGGCAAGCCGAATGGTGACATAGATGTACAGAAATGTCACGATGGCAACCACCAAACCTAGGTATGCGTCGAATTTGATGGTCAAAAATACGACCGCGACAACGAGGTCGAAGACCATTGGTCCCACCTGGAAGGTGACCATCTCAAGGAAGCTGTTGATCGAGCTCCCCTTGTTCAGTGCCGAAATCAGCTCTCCCGTTCGCTTGCCCGTATGAAATTCTGCGCTGAGACCATGAACGTGTTCGAAAGCCGCTGTTGAGATGGCGCGGTAGGAGTATTGCTCCACGGGGATCCAGAGAATTGACCTAGCCGCGCTGAGAATACCCTGGGAGCCCTGCAGCCACCTGAATAGGATATACAGGGCGATATCCAGCCAAGGAGCTCGCACCCCACCGTCATCATCCCCGGAGAGGGCGTCAGTAATTTTGCCCACCATTACAGGGACGAAAACGTTGATGACTCGCTGACCGATCATGATGAGGAAGCAGGATCCTGCAAGAAGTTGCAATTTGAGTGACTTTTTGGGCCAAAGGTACGGGATCAGCATGGCAAATCCTCTTAAGTAGGCGTACCAGGTGATGTTAGGCACTTCCGTTGGTTTGGCCCATGCATCGACATGCTCCTTGGGCTCGGAGGACGGAGTACTTTGATGGTTTGCATGAGGGTTGGCGTTGGGGCGTCTTCCAGATTCGGTATCTCCACCAAGTAAGGGCGTTCTCTCATTCTCAATACCCGACGTACTAGTCTTCTGTCTTCGGCAGTTGATTTTGATCGCGATGTAGAGGACGCACAGACCGAGGAGGAAAACAATTCGGCCCAGGTTGACGACAACTTCAAGTGACTCCCAGCCTGTGATGTTCTCCCTGTACTGGCCACCCTGCTGATTGCCTACTCGAGGTTCAAAATGGGGCATGGTATAGATGCGGAGGCTGGCACCCAGAATGACGACCTCCAAGGGAAGAGCACATAGCCAAGAGATGAAATGGGCGTTGTTTGGAGAGGGCTTCGTGTCGAGGATAGAGATGAAAACTATCAGCCAGAGAAAGGTAGAAGCGATTACGTATATCTAGGAAGTGTCAGTGGAATTACAGGCAACGAAACTCAAGGACCCCAGCCTACCACAGCATTCTTACCAGGCCACCATTCGTCTTTGCGGTTCAGCAGGATCTCAAAGAGCAGAATAGCCGCATTGCCTAGAAATGTCAACATAACAACGACCTGGCTGATCTTAAACACAGCCTTGACCCCGGGTGGTAGGTCTTTGGTGGCCGCAGCTTCCTTGACCTGATTGGCGGATCTCCTTCGAACGGGAAGTGGTCGTCCACCAGGACCTCGCATGGCTTGAATTGTGACTTTGCCATCATCGGGCGACGTCTTGATGCCATGGTAGATGAATGCGATGACGAAGACGACAAGAAGTATGGCAGGACTGGCTGATTTGGTCACATTCAGTACCCTGAGAGAGGTTTGAATGGCATTCCAGTCTGGCTGATCTGGCATATTCCTCCTAGTGTTGGCCCCTGCGTATGGTCCCGCAATATAAGTATGAAAAAGCCTCCCAATGTTATGGACTCGGTCTTGAGCGGCTTTCTGCCAGGGTTCGCTGAATGTGTTGCCCTCGCGTCCACTTAAGAGAGTGCGGGACACCTCGCTTGTCTGTCTTCCTCGGTTGATTGCCGAGATTTCTTCAGATTCCAATGACAAAGACTCGGTTCGTATTAGACAAAACTGGTGTACGAATGATTGAGCGAGGGACAGAAGGAACTATTACAACAACGAAAAGGAAAATGACTGCTTTGACAGTGAGATAGCGATCGTCGACAAGTTGAGAAAGTGATGTCTGGAAGTGTAAAAGTTAAAGGTGCTGCCAGTATGACGACGTAAGTTGGAGAGGAGGCCTTCGGGTGGCGATCGAACTGGGGGGAAGGTGACCTGGAGGCGACACAACTGGCCTGCTGCCCGTTCAGATTTGAGTGATGGTGTGCAGTAGTCTTGTTCCTTACTTCGGCCGCCGCTTGAAGCCCAGAACCAGCTCAGGTCAAGCTGTAATCATAAGGTTGGCCTTCCGCGATCGCGCTCTTGTCGCGTGATGGAAAAAGGAAATGATTGGGCTGTGGTGTTTGGCCTAGTGAGCTGAGTCTGAAGCGCAGACTCTGACTGAGATGGTGTTGGGGCTGGACGATTTCGGCGGGCGCGTCGTGGTAGTGCGTGTAGCGGGGACAGCTGCCTCGATCCTAGATGCGCTGCAGTTGGCCTAGGCCCCAGGGGAAGTGCGGAACGAGGCAGTGGGTGGCAGCTAAACGGTGTCACTGGACATGTGAGAATCCATGTGCCGTGCCTAGCGCAAAGTACGTGATACGTGGGTACGTACCTGGTGACCTTCCCACCGCAGCTATGAGAAATACCGACGTCAAACGTCAAGCGTTAGTTAGATGTCAGGTGCCGGTGCGGGGTTGGCAGAAGAATGCAGTCTTCGCTGTGGTGATACGGGAGACAGAAAAAGGTATATGCGGAAGAGACAGACGATGAAGAAGATGTTGTGGAAGCAGAAGAGCGAAGTAAGTGGCCGCGAGCTCAAAGCTGGCGCATTTAGGAATCACACTGGCGGTCGCAGCCGGTCTTGTTTGACAGGCACGAGGAGGAGGGAGGTAAGACTGCGGTGCTTCCGATGGACGCTGCGAAGGAGATATAGACATTTCCACAAACCCTTGGCCATGGTACGGCAGTATCACGCAAGTGCTAGTTAGATACCTTAGGTAGGTACATGTCTCCCGAGGGTATCATCTTTTGGCTCGAGCCTGCATTGGGATCCGTGTTGCATCATGATGAGTCGGCGGCTTGATTTTGGGCATTTTAAGAACAGGTGAGGGAAAATTGAAGCAAATGTGAAGGGGTGCAAAAAGCACGAAAGAGGTCAAAATTCGCTCACCGCCGAAGAGTCGTCGAAAACGGAATGCAAGTAGCCACAGTAGCTGCTGCCACCTGTCGACTTAAGCGACGACAAGCTGCGAATGGTGCATGCCGTTGACAATAACTTCATGCCCAATCCCAAGCGACTGGTCCGGATGTACATCTGGCTTGTATAGCCCCCAGTCGAGGTTCTTACTGCCGGCACTAGCTTTACCAACCCGCCAGGATGGATGATACCTGGAAGGGGAATAGTCCGTGTGCCTGCGTCGACCACCAGCCTGTATTGGCTAGAATAAATGTCGAGGCAGCTAATCACTATCGGTCTGGACGAGCAAAAGGCAGGGCACGGCGCAGTTACTGACTCTGAGAGCCGAGGGCATTTCACCGGCGAGCCTTAACTAAGCACTGTAGCCGAAGTCCTACACAGGTGGTCCGGTATGCGCCCCTACACCAGCCTAGGCACCCGGCGAGTTAACTTGTTAAGGGCTGCAGCCACCGTCCTGCATCCCCGGACATCGAAGCCTCGCCAGCGCAGTCAGGCCTCCGCGCCACTCGCTCTCACGTCCAGCCTTGCAAGCCAGTCGCGCTGCTCCAATTCCCACCTCCATCCTTTTCTGCCATGCTGCTTCGTTGCCCTTCCTCTGGTGCATTTGACCTGCGACTTGGTGTGCAGCTACCTTGCAGGACCACAAACTCAGGCGCTGATTATCCGTTCCAATGATGGGGCTTGCGAACAGCCATGGTTGCAGCCCCGTCGTCCTCGGTAGTCGTCATATGCGTAGAAGGCGTTGACACGGTAACAGGATATGTCTGAGCCCTCCACCTCTCAGTCTCAGAATCTTGCCCCTCCACCAGCACCTCCCCTACCGCCTGGCCGGCTCGGCCAATTGCAGAGAATTATCGCACCTTGGGGCAAGCATATTGGTTCCAAAGCGCATGGCAGCCCAGTACAGGGCGAAAGAGACGGTGGCTTGGGTCGAATCAGCGGCATCCACACGTACAGGTATGAAAGTCTGCTTGCTAGGTGGCGCAGGCCTGACTGACAACCACCGTGGCCAGTCCGCACTCGTCTCGAACCGTAACCCATCGCACCGGCATCCCTATCGCTGCCCTTGACATCAACAAGGGCAAGACTCATGCCATCTTGGCCGGAAAGGAAATTCTCAAGACAGTTCGGATCCACGATGGCAAGATCACTGAAGATTTCAATCTCCGGGGTTCCATCAGCTCCTACGCGTCGGCACATATCTCTCCCCACTCAGACAGCGCCGAGAAGCGCAGGGAGTACCTTCCGGCAAGAGACGTCAAGTGGTCAATAGGGAACTGGGAGCACATCATCGCAACAGCCGCCACGAATGGCCGCATTGCGCTGTATGACCTGAACGCTCCAAGTGCAAAGACGGAATGGGCATGGCTACATGAACACACCGGACAGATCAACAAGCTAGACATCGATCCTCACGCTGGCTATCTCTTGCTGTCCGCCAGCCAAGATAAGTCGGTCAGGCTGTGGGACTTGAGAGCCCCCAAGCCAGAGAAATCACGCACAAGGTTTGAGGTCCGAAGTGCAGTTCGAGATGTGCGCTGGTCCCCCGTGGAGCCTTTTGATTTCGCCGTCTGCGCTGATGGCGGATTTGTTCAGAAATGGGATGCTCGTGCCCCTACGTTGCCCAAACTAAGCATCAACGCACACGAAAAAGCTTGTTATTCTCTTGACTACCATCCGGACGGCCGACATGTCATCTCCGGAGGTTTTGACAAGTATATCCGCGTTTGGGATTTCGAGAGTGACAAGAAACGCCAGAAGCCTGTTCGTCAGCTCAAAGCCCCTCATGCCATTAAGAACATCAGATGGCGACCTGCTTGTAGTATCTTGGAATCAGAGGAAACGAACTTGTGGCAGAGTACCCAGGTTGCTGTCTCCTATCACCATGATGACCCTCGGGTGCACATTTGGGATCTTCGACGCCCTTTATTGCCGTTTCGTGAACTGGACAAATACATCTCACCGGCTAATGACCTTCTGTGGGCAGACAAGGATCTACTGTGGACGGTTGGTGACGACGGCATTTTCACCCAGTGGGATGTCAGGCATAACACACCCTTTTATAACCAGCTTGCACCATGTACTGCGCAGTTTGTTCCCGATGGGCGATACTTCAGCTTCTCGGAGGACAGAGAAGTGCGGCATGCAGCTTCCCACGGAGACTCCGCTGTCGGCTTCCTGAGCGTTCCACGGGGCAAATTAAGCAGTGGTGACGACGGCTCGGCAAGCAGGAGTCTGACTGACGATGAGGGTGGGCTTGAGGCGACAGTGGGAATGAGCGCTCGTCGCCGTGAAATCACAGTGGTCGCCTCGAGATCAAACAAGTCGCAGACAAATAGCCCGCAATCAATGGACCAAAAACCGCCAATATTATCACTTGACCAAGCCGTCCTCACCCGTCCGGACTTGTTCAACAACGATCAAGTTGGTGCTGATGGGTACGTGCCGGGCGTGGCGGTTGAGGCAGAGGTGGTGGAATATCTAGCCTCACATTACGCCACACCAGCAACAGTCGAAATGAACCGGTCTTCGCCCGACACTATCCTTCACCGCCTCCAGGACGTTTTTGATCAGAATGCAGCTGCGTGCGACGTGGTTGGCATGCATCGCACGGCGCAAACTTGGCGTATTCTAGGCGCAGTGATTGTGCCGGAATTGAGAGACTGGGCAGATGCCAACCGCGCGCAACGCCGAGCTGACGCTGCTCAAAGAAAAGAGGCATTGGAGAGCTTCCGATCGGGTGCGCGCCGCTCAGCCCTTTCGCCACTGGCCGGTCTCCCGGACCGCGGGCACAACTCACATTACGACAGTAAGGGCCACAAGCTGATCAGCAGCCTGTTCAGGGGTGTGGCAGAAGGCGATCGTGTGCGGGCTGGTCTTGATGTGGACAGCACTTCGAATATGACTACACCCCTAGCGAAACCCTTGCCAAATTCACCTCCAACCGATGACAAGAGATGGGCTCAAGCCAATATTGACGACAGGCTAGATAACCTTCCACCATTACCGCCTTCGGTGCTAAGCTCACATTCCACCGCGGCTGCCGCTGCTCGAGCTTTGAGGGAGTCTCCAGATCAGGTGATAAAATCGGACATATCCTCACCTGAACCGCACAAATCCACGGAGATTTCCCAGAAGTCATCAACGACTACCGGGTCGCCTGTATCCCCAGTCAAACGGCCAAAATCCGATCCGGTCGTCGAGCAGAAGCATGCAGCAGGTCCAAAAAGGTCTCAAGAGGATCGCCGAGCAGCATTACGGGACTATCGTGCCCAAGCACGGCCGATACTGAGTTTGGGTGACCCGATTCCCCGTGGAACCTCGGGGTCCAGACATGATTCTGCGGAGAGTTTTCCCATGTTCTCTGTATCGACAAGCAGCTCGCACAAAGTTCTGTCTGTCGGACGGTCTCTGGACTCTCCTCATGATGCAGGCAGGGCGTCCATGCGGCGTCAACTGAGCGACCTCAGTTCGGATAACGATGATGATTTTGACGGGACATACTCCTATCGCTCTATTGATCGGTCAAATGGGGATCAGACAG